GACATATTTTCATTCTTTAACAGACATGTCGTTTTGTAACCATTACATTGCTATGAACTTCGTCAACTGCGGCCAAGTTGTTTCGTTCTTTGTAAAAAATAAATTTTCAATTTTATGATATGGTGACAGTGATCTGGTTTAGAAGCACTGGGAGATTCAAGCCAAGTGAGCCCGTACCCTACGTGTATAACAATACCAGGTTCGATTCAATATATATGGTGCCCTTTCGTCTGGCTTGTAAGGGGTCGCCCCAAGTCCTGATTTAGAGTTGCTTCTTATTTACTGCACTTTGTTTGCGCAGTCATCATCCTTTATGGCTCATGCATGCAGGATTGTATGACCCGGCAACGGCTCATTCGATATACCTGCACCCAGTGTGTGGACTTTAAAGGGATACTTCAACCAAATTTGAAATATTCCCGTCGTGTTCAAAAATAGGTTGAATTTGATCCACAATATCCGTAAATGAATATCGCGCGTTTGTATTTTGAGCCTGGTTGGTGTATTTTTCGTTATAAACGGCCCACTCTGGCAAGCACTCGGAGAAGGCCCAGCGGAGACCACGTGACATCCAACGCAATCGTGACGTAGGTCGTCTCAAGACGTTCAAAGCTACGGCGAGGCTGACGTCGAGAGGATGGCCTAGTCGTTCCAGCCACCGAAGCGACTGCTTTTGTACGAATTTTGAGTGACGGGTTAATCTTCTGTAATCTTGTAGGGGGACAATAGCGACTTCTGCGACACACAAAAGGCATTCTCGGGAAGAGGGGAATTCCCCTTGCCCCTCTTCTCTCGTCGTGGCCGGAGACGAGACAACTGAGACAACCTCCGTCACTAGCTGTCAAGGTTCCTAGACGGGCATTACAAGCGAGGCGTTAGCGACATCCACCAGGTGCTCTTTGCTAATCGTTTAATTCGTTTTAAAATTCCTTTTCGTGACTTTTTTAACAAGATATTGGTATGTTCGATGTGATGCTGCTTTTTTGAACACATATAGACCAAAAAATGAGCGCCGAAATTTCGTTGTAGTATCCCTTTAAGTGCATTACCTAAAATACTAGTTTTTGGAAGGTTTAGAATAATTGTACTTGAAGTACATTCTCTGAGCATCACTTGTACTATTTATATTTTTTCCTTGTACTTTCCAAGGAAAGTACAACTCTTGACGTCAAAGTAAATTCCCCAAATTTTATCTTGTTAAATTTGTATCACAAAGTTATGCTTTGTCAACGCTGAAGCCGCTTGACTTTATCCAGTATTCGTCAAAATTTCCGGAAACAAATAATGTATATCTTTTATCAAAGAAGAAACAAAAAAAAAAAATTTATAGGGGTACGAAAATAGAAAGATTGTGTTCAAAAGTACCTGTACTTTACTTTCTTACGTCAAGTGCATTGCGCCCGGTGTACTTACTCTACTATTTATTACTCGTCGCTCCAATTTTTGTGAAAATCCTTAAACATGCCTCCGCGAACAACTGTAACCTAAACTGCGGATTTTTTTTTTTTTTTTTGTCGAAAAGGTTTAGTATTGCTTTTAAAATAATACTACGCGCAGAAACTTTTATTGCCTTCCAAATTAAACAAAGTTTGTGTCTTTATCGTGTACGAGTACTGAGAAATTTTTGCATTGCGTTATCTTTACACCTTTCTTTTAGCCAGAATACATTCTGCACCGGTTTTGAGTTTTAAGCCTCCAAATATGCCAAAAAAGAGCAAATGCCGATGGTTTTATTCTTTTAAAGTTTTTATTGAGTTTTTCAAGTTTTTATTGAAAATTAACACCGAAGTAAACAACAGCATCCCACACCAGCATGGAAAATTCAGCACGTGTCCTAGATGTCTTTGCTATGTGGAAGTTGCCTTGCTTGCACGAATGCAGTCACGCTAACATTCATGGAGAAGGGGAATAAGAGGGGCAAAGGACAAACACAAACCTCCGAAAAATCCGCCTGGTCCGGATATCGAATCCGGGACCTCTCCATACAGGTGTAGTTGTAATCGGTCGCTCACCAGTCAACTAGCTGTGTTTGGAGGTTTGTGTTCGTCCTTTGTCCCTCTTATTCCCCTTCTCCAAGGATTACTTTCATCATTCTTGTCCAGCTCACTTGCACCTTTGCATTATAATTGCAACCATAAATTGCAAGCTTCACCCTTGTTGGTGTTAGACTGGTGGCAGCTGATGAAACCCGTTTGCTCTACTGACGTCTAACCCCTGGTTAGCTCAGTTGGTAGGGCGCTCCACCTGTAATGGAGAGGTCCCGGGCTCGATACCCGGACCAGGAGGATTTTCATTATATTATAATAATATTATATAATAAATAATACTGTAGTATATAATATATACTATAATATAGCGCTCAGAACCCGCTTGCGTGGAATGGAGGTTTGTTGAGACGTTTCGTGCTAGACGTCCCAAGAACTGCCCCGGACGTTGAATAGAGGTCGTGGAATGTCGAGGATGTCAAGGTAAAGCGCGGACGCTTTCAGGAAGTCTCACAGTTGACGTGGAAATAACCTCTCGAAGGAAACATAGAACAGACATCAATTAAAATCGGTGACGTCAAGGTGTAGCTCAGGACATTGTTGGGACGTATACTGCTCGACTTTCAAAGAACTTCCTGAAGAAAACGTAAAACTGGCGTCGATTAATAGAACGTTTTTGTGAACCGCGTTTAGTATCCCTACTATCCCTCCCTCCTCCTCCTCCTCTCTCCCTCCCCTCCCTCCTCCTCCTCCTCCTCCTCCTCCTCCTCCTCCCCCCCCCCCCCCCCCCCCCCCCCCCCTTCCCACGGCTGCCCTCTGCATCGAGAATCTGCTATGTCCGCTACTGCGGCTGCGCGCCGATGGCATATCCGGGTATCGTAGAGGGACGGCGAAAGCGATCCACGAAAACTCCCTTATGTCGATGACGTCAAGGTGGTGCTCTGGACATTTTTGCGACATCTCGTGCTGAACGTTCAAAAAACTTACAGTCGTCACATCGTCGCGCGTTTGACGTTGTCGGAACCTTTCATGCGGACATACCACTGTAAGGACCAGGTCGCCGACGTCTAGGACCTGACTTGATGACATCTCGAAGTCCTGTGCTGCCTGGGCTCCTGCACCTCGCATGATTGTTCGCCCCCAAATGCACCCACGTGCGTTTGTTTCCCTTCGCCCAGAGCCTCTGCCTTCACCCAATGACGGCGCGAGCTTGGCCAGCTTGGCTGCCTCGTCACCCTTTGATTGACGTGCCAGGCCTCTTTACGTTTCGATGTGCCAAATACGGATTTTAGGACACTTGCTCGCCGTATATTTCGCTCTCCTTTTTACTTGGGATCAGAAAATTACGCTCCGCCGTGTTTGCGGCGGTTTGCGGTGGCCCACTTTACGGCGGCGGCGGCGGCGGCATAAAAACGCACGGCGACGGCGACGGCGTGCGGCGCAGTCGACGTCTTTCCAGCGCGTTCCAGTTACAGTTCTACGGTCCTGCGAGGTCAAAGGTAGTGACGTCATGCAAGCAGTCCCTGAAAGTGTTGAATAAACGAACGCACCAGCTAACCGTTGAAAATTTGGATTTGAGCGCGAATTCGTTTCAACCTTTCAACGGTTTCAGTCACTGATCTCTATTGTGGAGATCAGTGGTTTCACTCTTTCATTGCTTCTGCTTAGGTTGACAGGTAATCACGACAGAATGCATATCGAACAGGTAAGTTGAGGCAGTTCACCTTACAAGCTAACTTGGCCTGCGCGCTTTTATTTATTTAACGAACTCTCCACGGCTTGCCGCACTTTTCAAACTCGACAAACTGGCAGTTCGAATCAAGTCAAATCAAATCGCATTCTGTAACATCCTAAGTGGTCTTATATCACTTAAGATCAAAGATCGTACTAGACCGATTTGCTGTAGCGAGCTGTTATCCCCTAGATCACCTTGGAGGGCTTCCTCAGCTACAAGAACAAGACTGTACTGGACCAACTTTCACCGCGCATTAATGTCATCAGTAAGTACGGAAACGCACGTTACCCGGATCATGAAATGCTTGAAAGCGTATGTCTAATAACAGGATTTCTTTGTCCAGTTGGAGAGAATGGCTCTGGAAAAAGCAACCTGCTGTATGGTACGTCGAGCGTTTCATACTTTACCGGTCGGTTTGATTTAATCTGCGCAAATAGAGTACTGACAGGATAAGAAGAGCAGGGCGATCTCTTTCGAACACCCGGCCTCCAGCATGCGCTGGTTGCCTTCCACCATGCTTTGCGTGCACGCTCGAGGCTCGTGAGACGCTGAAGCATTGTCGAAGGTAGGAAGCTGGCGCTGTAGGTGAGACAACTGAAATTCTTCCCGGCAGTTCTCATTCTCAGAGGCTATTGCGTAGCACAGCTAGCATTGAGGTGTACCCACTATCGGAGCCAATAAGAGCTCGGCATTCTGACGTCGGTGCAACCACCGCGCAAGAAGCAGACAAGCTCGCACTCGACATATTAGCGCCGCACTTTCGGGTGCAACTGAAAGGGGCGAAAGCTGCGGCCCCATGATCCAATTAGAGTGACGAAGCGAATCACGGGACAATTCTGTACAGGAGGAGTGGGCTGGGGGGCACATTGTCACGTGCTTCGCCGCAACGCGCTGATTGGTTCACCACAGGCACGTAGCCAGGATTTTGTTTCGGGGGGGGGGGGGGGGGGGGAACCTGCCCATGACAAAATGCTGTATGAGGGGGAGGGGGGAGAGGAGGTCCGAGCAAAGTGGAAGATTTCGGGGGAGGGGGGGGGGCGGGCCCCATGGGCTCCCCCCCCCCCCCCCCTTGGTAGGTGCCTGGTTCACTGAGACCGTAGCTTTCATCATTGGCCAAGTTATACCGAAAAGAGTATACATGTCTACCCTGATCATTTAGGGATTTTTTCTCTCAGTATTTACAGTGCCAGTCTCCTGGGATTCCCCCGAGAACAGTTCGTCTATGCTCTGGTAGAAAAGAAAATCGCATAATAAACTATGCATTGCCGGTAGCCCAGTTATGCAACAATGTAGCACTACAGTTTGGGACCATAGTCCAAAGCTTCAGAACTGTATGTCATCCGATTCAAAAGTTATAAACTCTTTTCACAAATTTTAGACAAAAAAATTTGACCCATTGCTGGCAGCAGGCACTTATTTAATTGAAAATTTTCAGAATCGTTTATATGATTTCTGATTCAGATAACAATAAATATCTTGAAGCTTTGGCACCTGGCCCAACCGCTAGCCCCTACATTCGGGTGGAGACTGAGCACTTGGTGACACATTATTCATTCTTGCAATCCGGAATATGCGGTTGTCTTTTCAACCAGACACCGGCAGATTAAAAACCGGCCCTCCAAAATCTACATCAAGTGCTTTGGTGTAGAAGCGTCGTCTGTGTCTGCCCATCTTCCAGCCATCGAGACCTTGGTGTCCCAAGAGGCCGACTCGCTGACTCAGCAACAGCGAGCCAAACTGCTCAGCGAAGGAAGGCAGAGAAGCGGCGCGATGGTGGCAGTGCGGTTGAACAATGCCCTCAGACGCTGTGCAGTAAGCGGCGCTACTTTTCACCTGTCTGCGAAAGTCCGAAGCATTTGCTCGGCGCCATCTTTTCGACGCGATCCGGAGGACGACGGACCAAGCTCTTTTGATGTCTCGAGAAATAACTGGCATAAAGATTTGCAGCAACTTTTAATCTTCCAAGTCCTAGCAATGGATGTAGTATTTAAGGTGAGATCGTTTAAAAGTGTTAATAAGACAGTCATTTCAGGAAAGAAGAACCTACATTTTTTTATAAATTTTACCGCTAAGCTTATTGGAAAAACCGACTTGGTGCATAGGCCACGTGACGTTAATTTCCCCAGTAGGTGTAGCGCTAAAGGGCACTCAAGTGAATTCTGACATTGCTATCTACAGTCATAATTCAATCTGTGGGACAATCTATCATAAAAAACTCGAAATTACTTTCAAGGGCAGCCGATTTCCCTATTCAAAATCCAATCGAAGATCGTGCCACACCCCTTTTTCTGCGCTGTAGCGCAGAACAACAGAGGGTGCCGCCAGACGGGAAGGCAACAGGAGAGGGCACGCGGCAGCCAATCACGGGTGACGGCCTTTCTACGGACATAATTTTCGAATATGCGCGCCTTCGAAAAATTGGTCCGCCTGGAAGCTGTCCCTTGTGATTGGCTGTGGTGTGCCCTTCCCTGCTGCCTTCCCGTTCGGTGGCGCCGCCTGGTGTTCTGCGCCACGATGCAGAAAGAGGGGTGTGGCACAATCTTTGATTGGACTTTTAACAAAATAAACCTTCCACAAACAAAAAAGAAATAGTGCATGTTGATATTTACATTGTGAGAGTACTTGTGAGTTGAGAGGAAGCGATTACAAAGCGTGTTTTTATTTCGAGAGGTCGCACTCGAGAAAAGAGTATGTTTTGGAAGAGGGGCTGCTGGCACTAATGAATGGAATGCAGGTCCTTCTTTGCTTCCACCGAAGCGTCTTGACAGCGTTTGATTTCACCAACAACTTCGGTATGTTGCAGCTTCCTCGTGACGTCATCGACATCACAAGGACCCTGACGCAGTCCCACACCATCCTCAAACTGAATTCAACAATTGTCAGGTAGGGCCTACTGTTTCCCGCAGTTGCATTGACTTATTCTCTGCCCAAATTATCTCTTTGTGTTTGCCACCGTAAAGTCTATAACAGCACGCAATGTCGGTGCTCATGCCTGATATGTTGCACCAAGGTGGTGACATGAAAGACTCGAAGAAAAACTGTGCACAACTAAGTAGGGACAGAAAGGAGCTTTTCGCCCGCGTGTAGTTGTGCACTGTTCTTCACCGCGTCTTTAAAGGGACCTTGAAGACGATTTGGAAGTGTAGCTTAACATTGAAGTAGAAGTCATGTATTGCAGGTGACGTTGACGAAGTTTTAGCCTGATGTGCTTCCGCCCCGCACAAATTAATTTAACAGATCCCGCAAAAATCACGCCAAGACCGATGACAGTGACGCGCTAAATTGCGAGAAAATGCAGCTTTTGAGTCACATGGACCGTGACACCAAATGAGGCTCGTCGAGCGATTGGTCAATGTGAACGGAGTCCGCTTGTTCTCGATTGCGAGTTTCCAGTACTCCAAGTCCACGTCAAAAAGGCTTTGGTCAGACCTGTGACCCTATTTGTGGAATTTTCCATCCTAAGTTTGGTTCTAGATTTTGTAAGCCTAACGGACCTCAGCAATGCTAGGAGCCATCCCAGCCAATCCACTACCGCGCATGTATCATGTGAGCGTGCGTCTCATAGGTCACTGCACCTCTTCCGAAGTTCATAGGACGCTCCCACGGCGTTAAATTGGTGTCAGTGGCCTGTAGGTGTCCTCTGCGAATCATCATAAGGAGAAGCAGAGCGTAGTGAGAGCTACGGGTGGCCTTGTTACTCAATTCCTGTTGCTTAGACGACACTTTTGATTTCTTCCTTGATCCCTGTACCTTCTAGTGTCTACTTTATGAGCCTGCGGAACGTTTCTCGTTTTCCTGTCGTACACAAATAAAGCGTTCTAATCATTTTCCAGTTTTTTAGAGGGCAGCTCTTAGGCGCCCGTTTCCGGGTTTCGCGGCATCGGCATGATTGTGCTAAATTTAAGCGGGAAAATTGACATCACGTGACTCAACACCAATTCAATTCCCCGCTAAGGTTTAGCGGGGAAATTCAGTTTCTCAGCTCGATTTAACGGGAAAATTGACATCACCTGGCGTCAATTTTTCAGCTAAATTCAGTGGGGAAACTGGGAGAAGGGATGGGTATGGAGGAGGAGGATGGGAGGGTATGCAGGAGGACGGTGAGGGGAGGGTATGGAGAAGAAGGAGGAGGGAAACACCCTCCCTTCTTTTTCCTCAAGAGCTCTGCTCTAATTTCGCATTACAGGGATTTGGAAAAGTCTTTCATTTTTTTATTATCTTTCCTACAGTAAGAGTGAAGTGGTGGAGTACCTGCACACCGCTGGATTCTCGAGCGAGAACAAGTTCCACATTGTGAGGCAAGGGCAGGTGAGGTTTCACGCTAAAATTTTCTGGAGGAATTAGTTTCGTCTAAGGTGAGTTTTCAAGTATGGTGTTTTCCGGTGTATAAGTCGCAGCGTTTCTTAAAGTTTTTGTGGGCCTGTCTTGCACAGCAGTGTTGCCAGTCGCGATCCTGGCGGCGTCTCAACAGCTGTAGTGCACGTGGCAGACGCCTGTTCTGCTGCAGGTCGCCCTCCAGCTTGGCAGTCCACGGAAGCCTCGGCAGCCAAAAGTTGCGACGCCGTGATGACAGCGACACCCGCGTTCGCCCGTGCCACTCGCAGCTTCTTGTTAGCATTTCTGCGACCGACCGCCAGGATTGCGACATGCGACAGCATGACACTCCGGCTCCTGTGACGTCATTTGTTGCCGCTTCGGCACCACTTTTGATGTATGGGCAGCACAGGACGCTAAACACCAGTCGGAGACGCCCTCCAGACACCATACCATGACGTTTTGTTGCTCGTGTTGCAGCATGTTCGTTACTGACAGTCCAGAAAAACATGATTTTTAAACACCGTTTATAATATGCAGACACAAGATTTCACCGCTTAGGAATCAATGTTCTTGCGGTTTAATGAACATGATAGAATTAAAATTTGGCAGATACACTGTCTTTTCAAGACCCTGGTGGGTTCACACACCTGCAACTAATTATAAGCGCATGCCTTAAAACCTCCCAAACTTTATTGCGACAAGACAACACTGCTGCCATCTAATGTCTACCGGAAAAAAACAACCAAGTTCTTACCGCAAACCACCTCCTTTACAAGTTCTCCTGCCCCGGTTTTGAACATTCACCGTGCTTCTCTTCTCAGCTCCAAGAAGTGGCGCACATGTCAGGAGAAGCTCTGATCCGGCTCATCGGTCAGTTTGCGGGCTCACACACATGGAGCATGGCGAGGAAGCTGAGCTTGGACTGCGCGCAGTACGGCGACCAAGACAAAAGCCGCGCGCTCGACTCCCTGGGAGAGTTGGAGCGGTCTATCGACAAGCTCAAACAGGAGAGGCAAAGTGCGTGCCTCTACCGCCGTTGTGAGCTCGAGTGCAAGTAAGAGGGCACCTCTCTTCCTTATGCTGGTAGGGTTTCGTGTTTTTGGTACATGAGGTGCTGTCAAAAGGTTTCGGCATTAGTCCCGTACGGAGCGCAAGTTTGTCTGCTTCTTTTGCAGCGGTTGGACGGACGTTAGAACGCTGAGTTGTGGTTGTCTTTGACGGAGAGATAGCAGGTAGACCTCAGTGTTAGCTGCCTTGAGGTCTACCCACTATCTTTCCAGTCGGAGCCAATCAGAGCTCAGCGTTCTGACGTCGTAGCAACCCCTGCTCAAGAAGCAGACGAACGTGCGCTTCGCATACACGACAAAGTAGCGGGTGTACCCGAAAAAAAGATAATTGTGTTTTTCTGCCCGCGTAAGTACAGTGGACTGTCGCTATTTCAAACTTCAGGAAGCCACGGATTTTGTTAGCATTACAGTGTAGACCGCATATAATGTGTGTCGCGGGAGTTGCGAAAATCCGCACTATAAGCGTTACCGCGCTATAACCAAAACATCAATTTTTCAGGCCAAAATACATGCCGTGAGACAACTTTGCTTTGTAAAAGAAATTATTTTTAGTGTTAGATGAAAAATAAAGCTTAGTTTGAGGAAAGTGTTTATTTCACCAGAATAGTACAGTTCTGTCTCAAGTGTGTCACACATTTTGAAAGAAATGAGCGGCTTTTGCCTGGCGCAGCCTTTTAACGGCGTCGCTGGTTGCGGACGGACGTTGCGAGCGTTCAGGATTGCTAACCCTAATCACTTTTCTCCGGTGATGAAAACGCGTGAAAATTCGCATCCTTCATACGGTACGCGCCAGTAATACCTTCAACTTGAGCACACGCATGAAATGCACCAAATAAGAAATCCGGGCGAAGTTCGAGGACACAAATGCTTAGAAATCACCACTGTAGTTGAAGTAAACAAACACAACGACACGGGCATTTCTGCCGTCTTGAGAGCGCTGCCACGACATCGCCGCACCGAGTAGGTGGATCTTCCCTTCTAGTACGTGCTGGGTTATCATAGTGACACACAACGAAAATTCACAGTCAAGGATAGCGCTTTTACGCAGAACAATAAGCTTCCACCAGACCACGCCGTCTACAACGACCATCACAACCGACGCCATGTTTGCAGATAGAAGAAGCCGAAGCCGGCCCGCGACCGGCATGCAACGCGCGCAAACACTTCTCCTCGACCTGCGATTGGTCTGTCATTGAGGTTGTTTTCCAACGCAGCGGAGGGACGCAGGCACGTGAACGACACGTGCGTGCGTCCCTCCGTCGCTATGGCATCTGAAGCCTCTCTCTTCGCTTCTCCCCGCTTCTTCGAGCAACCTCCTTGCCCCGCGAGTGCCGCTTGCGGCTAGCGCCGTCAGCGCCGTTATCTAGTGTCGCACAGCGAAGCGTGCTCGCTTTTCCGGTCGTCGGCGCGGTCGGCGGGCTGTTCCAGAAACCGCACTATAACCGGTATTTCCCTTCGCGCGCCTGCATTTTATGCGGTGTGTAATTACATGGAGTTCTATGGGAGGCGAACCGGTTGTTTAAAAAAACCGCATTATACCCGGTCCTGCAATATAAGCGGTTACGTTGTAAGTGGTCTATACTGTATCAGAAATTTATCTAAATATGATGAGAGATAAAGTTATTTGTTATACAGGTGGCTGCGCATACAAAGCAGATATTTGATGATTGCCTCTACTCAAGCATACAATCATGAGCAGGTATGCCACATGTGAAACATTGGTTAAATGAATGAGTTAAGTTTATTCATCCCTCAAAAATGTTGTCTATCGTGGACTGTTTTGGACAGCGCATGATACCTCAAAACAAAGTTAAGTTTGTTAGTTTAGCAAAAAAATTGTCTATGGTGGACTACTATACCAACGTTGACTATAAACCCTGTTGAGCATGCTTCTTACTCAGCTGCACTGCGGAGAAGCAACACCCGTGGAAGAAAAAGCTCCGCGGGTGTTGCTTCTCCACGGCACACGGGTGCTCGGTGAGATACCCACTCAACGGGGTCCGCGAGAACAAAAAGTATGAATTACACGAAAACACCATTCGAATTTAAGCGGCTTTTAAATACGTTAAAAACATAGCAGGACCACCAAAATTTAGAAATTTCTTAGAATTAACAAGAAGCATGAAATATTTGAGTTTGAATTATTGCGAGCCTACTTAAGCTATGCATCTCAGACAGCTCAAACTGCGTGAGAATGTGACTCTAGCAGTTAGGTTACAACACGGGAGTTTGAGAACATGTCGTTGCCTGGATAAAAGGTAGTGGAGAAGGATGAAAATAGATAAAAAGATAATTGAGAAAGACAACAGAGCAAGCAATGCTTAAAAATTGCTTGCTATGCACTATGTATGCTTTGTGTTACATTGACCGGCTTTTTTATGAGAGTCGAGCGTAACACTTTTCACATGAACACATTTTTTTCCAAAGGATGTCTGACTCTTTTTCGACACATGTACCACAAGATGCTCTTAGGGCTTTTAAACATTTTTCTTTTTTCCCTTTTGCTAGGACCATTAACTTGGTTATTCAAGAAAAGGACTTGGGGATACTCAAGAAAAGACTGTCAACTGTGAGTCTACCTTCTGTTGCTTTTAAATTTCTTGAAGCTTTCATTGAAAAGCTTCAGAATGCTAGTAGCTTGTCCAGTGTCTGCAACTTGGATGTCGAAGATGACACAACAAAAATTGACCTTCAGTGTTTCTTGGGGTTGCCATTCATAAATTATAAAAGTGAGAAGAAAGAATTTATCGGAGGACCCTGACCTGCCTGCTTCTCTTTGTGCTTTTTGAAACCCTGGAAAGTCCCGACTGGTTTCTGCTCGTCTGCTCACCCCTCATGCCATGTCAGATGATTCTGTCTCTTTTAAAACTTAGAAAGAAAGTAAATTTCGTACTCTTGTATGTAAAGGCTACGACACAATTTTGTGTGAAGGCTACCGCCCACCTTTCTTAAGTAAAAAAATAGCTTGTACCCCAAAGAAATGTAGTGTTTTTTTTTTTCACTGCGAAAATAAACTCTGCATTGTTGGACGCTCACTTTTTGACCAAATCTAGCGGTAGTGGTTCGAACCAGATACCAAAGTTTTGGAACTAACCGTTATCTCATTCAAAAGTTATAAGTGATTTTCTAAAACTTTCAATGGAAAAATGGGGGCTGTTTTCGGTAATTCTTTTTCGGTAACTGGCACTATTCAGCTTCATGTATTTGAGAGCTCAGTTGGCTGTTATTTTCCTAAGGGAAATTTGACAAAATCAATATGTTAACTTTTGATTGATATAATGGTTAATTATAAAACTTTAGCATCTGGTTTGAACCGCTAGCGCTACATTTGGACGCAAAAAGAGCGTTCGGCAGCGCATAGTTAAATTTGCGGCCAGAAAGACTACGTTTTTGAGGGAGGGTGGGGACCTGATGATCTTAGACGAGCCGGTGTTTTGCTAGGTTTGCTGGTTGGTGCACAATTACAGGTGGGGCGCTTTTCCACAGCTAGAGCCACTAAAAAGACTGCGCCTCAGAGTAGTGACACTCCTGCCATCTTGGTGCTTCAAACCAGAGTTGCCGGCTATCCAGAGCAATTCATCTGGAATCGCAGGAAATGCTTTTTCGTCTTCTAGGAAAGTTAAAACAGTTTGTGATTGAGTGAAATTATATCGCTCGAGCTTCCTCGTACCGCATTTAAAGGTCAGGGAGTCTCGTTTTCGAATTGTAATGGTCGGCAGTTGCACCCACTCTGCACCAAGCACCAAAATGGCGGCGTCTTCAAGAAAATCAAGGAATGGAGTGTCCATACCCTAAGCGTCACTTATATAGTGATGCTAGCCACGGCCGGTCAAGCGCAGCTTATCGAGGTCGTTTGATCCCCCGCCTTCAGATTGATGCAAAGGCCGAAGAGATCCTGCCCAAGTACCACACTGTCAAGGAGAACTACCTGCGCATTCACGGTGCAATCAAGGTAACGACGCTGCTTTGAAATGCGGCGGCATCTACTGGACCACCGAACCGCGAGATTGTGCATGTCGATCTGTCGCGGCTCGACAGCACGTTCGCTCGTCGGTCGAAAACCGGGGGAGGAGGGGAGCGCGTGACGAGGGAAAGGCACCTCGGTAGACATCTGAAGAGCACACTAAATATGCCGAAGCATCGTGTGCATCTGACGTCGCGTGAAACTACGAAAAGACGTGACACCGTGACGTCTCGCGACACATCGCGACATGACTGAGCACAAGCAACGTCTCGGATACTAACCTGGCAGTTTCAAGGTTCACATTCTTGCGAGTTTACAATGTCAGTCTATCAGTATTGGGACAAATTAGACCGGACAAGGGAGCTATGGAACGCCCGGTGTAATAAATAACTCAGAAAAGTATCCGAAAACATACAGGCTGTTATATTTTTGTTAGGGAACAAAGTGTGGCATTTGAGTAAATAATAGTTACTAGAAAAATTAGCTTTCGACTTTGCGGGTAGAGTGAAAGCGGCGACACCAGCAGGCGCCGTCTTGTACCACCTTAGAGGGTGGCCACTTACGATGAGGGAATCCGAAGGATTTGCAGAATTAGCGAGATCAAATCTATGCGTTAATGAGAAGTTATCTCTTTAAGGTTAGAATTGTTTCAGGCTCGCGGTGTAAGCATGGTGCATAACATACACGGAGATCGGAAGTGTTCTAAGGCCAACCGACGGAAGGTGTCGTTACATTCTCTCGTTTTAAAGGGCAACTTCGATCGAAAACTAAACCGAAATAAATGACTGGTATCGCTTTAGTGGCACCAAATATGATCGTAGACGAAATATTACATCAAAGTGAAGCTGCGTACTCCAAACCGATTTTAAAGATGCGACCTGCTGCTCTTTAGTGGGCGGCAAACGGGTTAGCTTTTAGTCAAGGAACACTGGCGCAGCACCCTTCGTGACGTCACGTCGCGGCCGTACGGCTGATGATCGATGTTGCAATCCCTCTAGCAGATAGTTCCGATTTTGCTGTAGACTCCCGAAACCAAATTTTGAGGCACGACGTTTATAAAACCACACATAATATCGAGAAGAAAAAAAAAAAAGTTGTAGTTCCGGGGCACTACTTTAACGTTCAAGGTGTTTTTTGGCTAAACATTAATCATATAGCTGGCAGCCTGAGGTAACCAAAAGCAAGAAGCTCGTGCAGCAATGTGCTGGTTACCTCCTCGACTGTATGTTAACAAATCATAAAAGAGAAAACCTAAATAACGAAATGATGATGATGATGATGAGCTTGTACAGGTGGAGCTGAAAACATAATCCAAAATTCAGAAATATTGACTGGAGTTGCCTTTTAAAGGCCTGTTCGTACGTACACCACGGCGCTATTAGTGCCAAAAATGGCGCCGCCCTTTCTAATGCAACACTGACTTCACGCTGTGTTATTGATAGTACAGTGCTGTTACAGCACTGCATCGGCGCTGAATTAGTGCTGTTCCTAGTTCCTAGTGGTTGCAGTGCAATCGATTGTACTCGAATGCAACTATGCGATCCAGCCTCTAACGCTGTCGCCGATTGCAGGAGCAAACACAGCGGCTCAGGGAGCTCAAGCAAGCCGCCCAGGCAAGGAAGTCGGCACTGTCCGAACTGGAGGAAGCTCTGCTCGCCTGCAAGGCGAAGATCATCAAGGAGAGGCTGTCCCGAGAGCGCTGCTTGGAGCAGGAAAGCGCCGCCAAAGAGGAACTCGCACTGCTTGCCGGGAAAGAGGCGGAGATTGCGCAGATGGAGGTGGCGCTTGGCAACCAGCTCGGCGAGGTACGCGAGGCGCTGAGCGACGTCGAAGAGGAACAGGCTCGCCTGAATCGCAGGTATTTGGACCCTCTTTGATGCGTGTGCTTTGGACACTGTTGGCCTCGTATAATGTCCAACCTTACTTCTAAATGCAATAGCATTTTGTTTGGCGGCCCCCTGGCAAATTCTCTTCTGTAACACGAAATGATTTGTTTCGGAGCTTCAGAGTTGGTTTACGTGCATTTAGTTCTCTACATTCTCCCATTTGTCTCTGTAATCATCCTATACCTCCCCTACCCTCCTCCCTGTGGGATCTGGTCCCCCATCACTTTTGCCGATCCTAAAAGGGTTCTTCGAAACCCCAGTGGTTGACAACCACTGCTCTAGTGAAACGTGGGCCAGGCCACCTCGTAGACGGTGCCGGCGTGTCTTCCCGTCACGAGAGATCACAAGACTTGACTCTGCGCATGCGGTGTCATACAAAGGACGGCGCGATACACGGTTGTCGCAGTGGATCAACGGGTGTCGCAGTTGGCTTCGCTCCATGATCAAAGTGAGATGCTCGCCGGAAGTACTCCGTTCTTCTTCGCAATATCTTGCAAGAGAAAGGAGCGGACCGAAGAACGGTAGTGTGCCGAGGCTTGGCACGTTTGTCGTGCCAAAGAGATGTTGGAAAAGGGAGAACGGCATTCTCCCTTCGAACGAGGCACGGCCCATGCCGTCCCTGCGACTATGCTACGTCTTTAGCGGGTAAAGGAGTAAAGTAGGGTTGTGCGAATATTCGAAATTTCGAATAGTAGTTCAGAATAATACACTATTCAATATTCGCTTCGAGAAGAACTGCACTATTCGCGTTTTTCGAAGTGTTGATTGCTGCGGGTTGGCCCCGTTGAGTGCGCTTCTTACCAAGCACCGGTGCGCTGAGGAGAAGCAAATCTCGCGGAAGCGAACTTCGCGGGTGTTGCTTCTCCGCAGCGCACCGGTGCTTGGTAAGAAGCGCACTCAACGGGGTAACCAGCCGCGATAAACTTTGAAAAAGTATGAATATCGTAATTGCGTGCTTGGAAGTAAAGCATACATTCAAGGCGGGATGGTGCACCTGTGCCGACTGTATTTGAAAATAAATGAAAACTTTGTGAATGTGTATATCTACATTGCAGTAAAAATTTTAAAATTAAAGCAGAGATGCCCTTACAACCTGCGTTCATCATGCACGATTCATTCTTTTTTTAACTCGAGATTAAAGAAATAATATTTTATATAGCGAGATTTGTAAATTAACTTTAGTTGGTATAGTTGGCCATCTCTACAGGATTCATTTCATGTCAAATTCGTCGTTTACTTGCCATCCCAAGACACCAGACCTTCTGTAGTCACAGTTCATAAATATAGATAGATTAAACTTAGCTTATAAATGAACAAGTGGAACAACCTTCACAAGTTTAGCTGGGTTTTCGTCTAAGCATTATGCAATGATAATGAAAGGCGTGGAAAAACTATTCGATATTCGAATCGAAAATATTCGGCCAAAACCACTATTCGCTTCGAATTCGCTTCGAACTCAAAATCCACTATTCGCACAAGACTAGAGTAAAGAAACAAAGCATCTTTGTTGGATGAGAATGTGTGGACATGGCGATGCTTAGTTACCTGCTACAGCGTTCTTTTATCGGCGGAATGCGAGCTTCATCGAACAAAAGCAATGCCATCACATTTTCACATAGAATTCGGCGAAGCACCGGAAAAACAGCCCAATTTTTTTATTGGCCCTTTACCAGAACTGGTAAAACGTTTGGTGTTGACTGAGGGTTGCGATCTGAATCTTGTCAGCCAAAACGTTTCAAGTCACATTGTATTTTCAGTGAGTAAACTCGTTTGATTTACCCGCAAACGTCTGCGTCGGTGGCAAAAAAAAATATTTGATGTACGTGTTTATACGGTGTAAGGGCCTTTGAGGTGCGGAGACAATGGTTTTTGCCTTAGACGGGAGGTTTAGCCAGCAAAGTGCCAGTGCTAGGCTGGGGTTTTTGACGTGCACCACGCAGTAGGTATACCACACGGTGGTATAACACTCGATTCAGATCGAAATGGGCAGGGGTGGGGATTGAACCCAGGGTCTCCGGGCTCTGCAACGCGGGCTTTCACTCCATGTGCTCCGAGCTGCAATGCGCCAACGCTCTTGACCAATGATTCCCCCTCTACATCGGTGCAGAAAAGTGCAGGGTGTACCCTGTGTGTTCGAGATCGGCTGTGCTTGTAAATTGAAAAATATTTGGCAGTCCTATGTTAAGTCACAGTACAGTCACAGCGATAAGCTTCAACACTTCGCGTCGAAGTCGTTTGGCATTGGCGTCGTGCTCACACACCGTGGGGTGCGTGGACAAAGGCGTTCGGAAAAAAATAAACATCTGACCATTTCGTTTCGAAAACTTTTCTTTCTCTTTTGTTCCGGGGCGTGGGAATGCTCGTCTCCCGGCAGGAGCTCTTGGCATCGACAGTGCTACGGCAACATTTTATTATTGGCTTTTTCTCGTTTCGAGAGAGCTCGTGCGGTGGGCATCGGGTACCACAAAAAGGCTTGAGGTAGTACACTACACTTATGAGTTCTGAATGCAAAAGCATGAATGTCGTTCTTGCGCGCATTCTTGGGAAGTGGCCGCGCCGCACTCCGGAGTATGCTCGAGCGGGCTCCCTCCAGGAGGCCCCGCCAGTTAAACGCTTCCTTTTCCTGGCGCGCTCTGGCACAGGCACGTAGTGCCATGGGGTGGTTTCCTCCCAAACTGACGCGCCTCGGCCAATGGGAGCCTCGTTCCTTGAAACTACGATGCGCACAAGCCAATGGGAGCCCTATCCATCAGATTTCGGCTTCACTTAGAGAGGGGAATTTAATTCTCGTTTGGCTTAACTTTTTGCGCGGCTTCAAAGCTGGGAGCCTTCAGATCACAGCTTCCCTTTGCTCATTGGTAGAGGGGAGTTTAGCTGACGTTTGGCGCGGCAGCTGATGACGTTGGCTCGCTCCTTGGGACAGTTAATGCTTTCGCATTAAAACCCAAAGTGTAGAGCAGGTCATTAACGCTGTGGCGTAACTCAATGGTGACGTCTCCGCTTCACGCACGGTGGACCCAGCTTCGATTCCCGCGGGCAGTGGGCGATTTGTTTTGAAGGTTTTGCACTATCAGCTACAGACGCCCTACATCGCCAACTACAAAATCAACACCTATGACGATAGACATCATTCCTAGTGGTGGAAAGGGCCCATAACAGCTATCGCAGGCTTGGTTTCTTGCCGCCTCATTCGACCGGTTTCGCCATTCCGTCGACGCAGGCTGGGAGAGATCGTCGAACAGCGAGACTCGGCACTGAAGCGACGAATTCGCGGCACGGTGTTCAGCACGACGCGCGAGCGCGACGCGTGGATCAAAGGCGAGCTAGAACAACTGGACAGGTGCATCCACGCTGCGCAACAACAGGTGAGGCCTTTTTGCATCTGAGGTTTGTTTCGGCAACTGCACGACATGCCTTGCTGAAGTCGCCTTCCTTGCATCGTCTCTTGTTTTCTAAAACGGGCACCAAAACAGGCCGAGAATTTGCAGTCGGAGATCGAAGGAGTTGCCGGCGAAAGAGCTCGCTGTATCTCGAGACTGCAGGCAAGCTTTGCATGTGCATGGATTGCTCTGTTTTGGTGGAATGCCCTTTTGTGACTGTTGCTTGGTTGTCTGGTGCACCTGCCACATATATTTTTGTGGGGCTTTTATGTCTAACCGGGGCTCTTTGTTTTCTTGGAGATATAACTTGCTCTAGGGAACTGCTGGGTCCCTGCTGGCATGAGAAATAGTGCTGTTATTAACGTGACACATTCTTTGGCTTGGTGTTCGGCATTTCGTGAAGCCCAAAAGCAAAGCCTGAATAGAAGCGTGGCCGCGAGGCTCGACACCGATTGGTTGACGGGTGAGAGAGGAGGGGCTAGGTGCTCGACACTGATTGGTTAATGGGGAGGTCATGTGACCAGAGGGGTAGGGGATGGGGAGATCGACCACTTGGTGCACTGAGGGAGAAGAGCTTGAGAGTATGGGAGGCTCTGGAAGATTGCCTAATGTACCAGCCTGATTAACGGTAGTAAATTCCTTCATTCTAGGAACAACTATCGAGCGAACACATTGCACGCGTTAAACTATCGGATGAAGAATGTCGTCATCGTAGGCGTCTGGAAACTTGGAGTATTGCTAAATGTTAATGATGCTGGCACGTTTTCTGTATGCAACACAATTGCCTAGCAATTTGCCATAAATTTTTACTGGTACGCACATTGCATGCTTGGCTTACAGACCCCAGCATCATGACATCTCAATTTATTCTTGATTGCACTGATTTTCGTTTGCGTTGGAAGATCAATCAGTCAGTCAACCATGAGTAATTTTTTTAAGATAATTGAGAGCAACCTTGTGATTCTGGCACTGCTGGACTCATGCAAACAGAGAAATAGTATGACTCTATACGCGATTGAATCACACTTTAGTGTATAGTAGTGTTTTTCAAATATTCTAATTTTCTAATTGTAGTTTCGAATAATATGCTATTCAATATTTGCTTGAAGTTTAACTGCAATATTCGTAATTTTCCAAGTGTTGATCACGGCAAGCGAACTCCGTTGAGCTCTTCGGAAGGAGCCAACCCTACAGGGCTAACCACCACGATGAACGCTTAAAAAAATACAAATTTAGGTAGTGCTTAAAAGGCCATGAAACAATTTTTCAAAGTTTTCCTTTTTAGCTTTCCTCCTTAACTCACGAATCGCGCATCGTTCCAGACAGTTCAAGAAGGGGGAAAGCAAGAACTCTCCTCTTGCTCGGACCCTCGATAATGTACCCGGACATTGCCATTCTCTTCCTGGAAGATTAGCGCGTCGCTCAAAATTGGGACAAAAGTTGCTTTCCCCACCCCGTTCACCCCTAAGCTGACAGTGCTGTGGAAGCTACGCGCTCGTTGGGCCAGCCACACTTTTGCCACGTGATCTTGTTTCCTCGCGCATACCCACTCGCAGAGGATGGGGTCAAGTGATGAAAGGGAGGCGGCTGATTGGTCCGGCAAGCACATAGCTTCCACTGCACTATCGGCTTAGGGGTGAAGGGAATAAGTGAGGTCGGGTGTCTTGTGTCAAACATTGGGGCTGGGTGACATGCTTTAGATACCGCGGATGTACACACTGAAAAGGCAGAGAGCTTTCGAGGGGAAGGAGGTACGAAATGGTCCGCTATATTTTCAAATGTTTGTACCGAAAATCAGGCTTTTGACTTTCTACCTTCTTTTTCTTGGTCCACTAAACAAATATGCAATTATAAAATCTCAATCTAAATTCATTTATCCCAGCCTAAAATTTGTTTCATGGCCCCTTTTAAAGTGCATTTCCAAAGCGGGATGGTGCACGTGCGCACCTGCTGTATTTAGAAACGAAACCTTTGTGAATGTTGATATCTACGTTGCAGTAAAATTTTCAAAATTAAACTGGCATGCATGAGTATATGCAGATATGCCCTGACAACCCATGTTAATCGTATGTGGTTGAAGAAAAGACATTTGCATATAGCAAAAACATTTATAAATCCCCTTGATTTGGTATAGCTGGGCATCTCTTTACCGTAGGTATAATTTTAGATGAAATGCGTTGTTTACTTGCCATCCCAACGGTGTTGGACTTTTGGAGGCCATCGTCAATAAATATAGATTAAAATTAGTTTAGCTTAGAAATGGGTAAGTGGAAGCTTGGCAACGACTTTCACAAGTTCAGCCGGGTTTTAGAGCGCAGCTCTTAGGGGCCCGTTCCCGGCTTGAGCGGCGTCGCCGTCGCCGTCGCCGTCGCCGTCGGCGTAACCAAGGTCATCCCAAGGTCACGTGACCCCTCCCAAGGTCATCTCAAGGTCACGTGACCCCCTGGTCACGTGACCCCTCGAGGTCACGTGACCCCTTCCAAGGTCATCTCAAGGTCACGTGACCCCAAGATGACCCCACGTGACCCTTTGAAGGTCACGTGACCCCCAAGTCACGTGACCCCTCTGTCACGTGGTCGCCTCCCCAAGGTCACGTGACCCCCGAGGTCACGTGACCCCCAAGGTCACGTGACCCCTTCCAAGGTCATCTCAAGGTCACGTGACCCCACGTGACCCCCAGGTCACGTGACCCCTCTGAGGTCACGTGACCCCCCGAGGTCACGTGACCTGGAGGGGTCACGTCAAGGTCACGTGGGGGTCACCTTTGGGGTCACGTGGCCTTGAGGTCACCCCCAGGTCACGCCTCCCCGAGGTCACGTGACCTCCTCCCCGAAGTCACGTGACACCCCCCCCCCGGAGCATATTAAAGAATGAGGGGAGGAGGAGGAGAAGGGGGAGGGGTCTACCCTCCCCTCAGTACCCTTCACTCCTCCTCCTCAAGAGCTGCGCTCCAATTCGGCGTTACAGGGATTTGTAAACGGCTTTCACTTTTTGTTTAAGCATATTGTAATAGTGAAAGGCTTAAAGAAGCTATTCAATATTCAATTCAAAAATATTCAGCCAAAACCACTATTCGCTTTGAATTTGCTTCTAACTCGAAATCCACTATTTGCATATGTCTAGTGCAGGGGTGGTCAGGCAGGCCTGGCCTAAGAGCCACAAGCAAAACCACGGAACTTCTAAGAGCCGCGGGGGGGGGGCAACTTAACTTTTGTTCAGAGTCTGACAAGGCTGTACGTATAAGAGTACAAGGCTGTCAAACTGCAAGCTGCAGTGTGCTTTATTCTGAAATCCTTTTTTTTGGGGGGGAAACGCGGAAAGGGGCGAAAAGAGAGGGGGAGGGGGGGGTGGTCCCCTTACGAGGGATCCGCGAGCCGCACTTGGACCAGCAAAGAGCCGCATGCGGCTCGCGAGCCGCGGTTTGGCCACCCCTGGTCTAGTGTATAGATATCTAACACTTTCCCGTAGGTTCAGTTACATGACTGTCACGAAACTTTGGTTGACGCGGGTTTTGGTAGGGATTTGTTTTTTCGCTACATATTTACCCAAACACTTGAAAAAGTAATGTCTCGATTATCTTGCACTGCAACTGGTTTCAGAAAGTTGAAACCCAGCAAAATTAAGTAAAGCCGGAATCTGAAAGCTATGTACCGTAGTGAGCACAGTCACCTCAGGTGTTGTTCCTAAATCCTATTTTATTTATTCTTGCTGGAAGCGTGGAGCCCCAGTTAGTTATTTCTCAGGGCTGTCTGGTCTCTCGTTTTCTTCTGGGCAGTTTGTTGTTTGCATGGCATGACAGCGTCTGCATGCTTCATTGTTGTCACAAACCGCTTTGCGGTGTCGCTTGCTTGACACTGCTTGTCTGTCCACCCGTCCTGTACCCCTCCAAGGAGGCACAGACAGAACTGGCTTCGCTGCACGAAAACAGGAATGCCAACCGCTCTCTGCTTCAAGACTTGAAGAAGGAGAGCTACAGAGATGTCGATCAGAATGTGTAAGGTGCCTTGCTTGCCGGAATGCCGACATGTCTCTTGTCTTCTTTCTCTCGTTTTTTTCCCTGGGACAAACTCAAATGCTGCATGTGTGTGTTTATTTCTTGGTTAGTCACCATTATAGTCCACTGACACGTAGGCAGGCGAAATGAAGCCCCTCCCATAAAAATCTCTACTCCATGACTGGTGGCCTTGCCTCCTCTCCAGCATTTGCTCTGCTAAAGTGGAAAGGGAGGGTACATGGGACTTTGTGGAAAGAGTCTGTCCTGCTAACCTTAACCTGCAGCAGGCTATAACTCATTGGCTCGCATATTTGCTTGCATCCTCTCAAATCAAACCAAGCCCTAGAACATTCAGGAAAACACAAAAAATCTGCGAAATGCAGACATAAGTAGCTTTACTTTTGTGTGGGGGTTCAACCCGGTGGGCAGTTTGTCTGCATTTATACTCTGTGTCACTTTTACACGGTTAGCTGTTAGTGCCCCTTCCCGGCAAAAGGTGCTTGCGCATGAATGCAAAACCGCACTCTACGGCGGAGGTACTTTTTTCCCTTACCCCGTCGTTCCTCGTACACTTCAAGGCTCCCTCTTGCTCCACCCTTCCTTCTCCCCTGTAGGCCTCCGCCGTTCTTGCTCCGGCGACGCTGTTGCGAAACACCCACGTGGTCGCGCTTTGCAGACACAAACGAAGCACAGCCTCGACAACATAAAGCGAAATCTTGGACGCCCAGTAAATTTATTCAGGCTCGCGTTTATGCTGTGGAGGCAAGATTCAGCTAGTGCAGTCACGCTGCACGCTTACATAGAGTTTTCAACGTGCAGTGCGGGGTAATCATTACTCAAATGCGTGCCTGAAATTTGAATTGACGGTAATTTCGTCGGATCAATTCAGCCGTGGCAGATCAATGTTCACTAGACAATCGCTCGTCATAATCTCCTGAAGATTATGAGAGATAATCCCTCTCGTAATCTTAGTGACCGTCGAGGCGGTTGTTGTGAGCGTTCGGCGTGGTGTATGTGCGTTTTCAGGAGACACTTCAGGGACGAGGAACATTGCCAGTCCGTCCTGAACAGCGCTCGGGACGAATTCGCCAAAGCGCAGTCTCGGCTTGCCAAGGTCATGGGCAGGGTATGTTTATTTTTGTGTGCACCGTACATAGCCTGTATCAAGCAAAATACTTTTTGGTAGAAAACTCTTTTACTACGTTATTTTACTATGCAAGTAGAGTGATGTCTCGTTAATACGAACGCCTCCGTTCCCCTCAAAAGTCGTCCGTAATTTTAAGACAGAACTGCTCGTATTTACCCAGTTTGTCCTCGAGAATTTTATCTGTACTGTATAGCGGAGCATCTCTATTAACTAATATTTACAATTATTGAAATACCACTTGAACAAACTCTAGTTGAAGAGAGAAACTATTCAGATGAGCCAAACTTTCATAAATTCTCGAGCAAAAACCCATTTTGTCCAGTGGATTCAGTTGAGTGAACCCTCACTGAGGTAAACGTTTTCTTGAGGTCCCTCGAAGTTTGTTCGAGTTGTATTTCACTGTGTGTTTTGCACAATTGCATCAGCTTTAGAAGCTCATCGCTACTACTTTTGGTTTATTATTCATACTTTTTATGTCTGTAGCAATATTTGTTTATTTTAAATTTCTGCTGCTTCAATTTCTCAAACTTCTTTTAGATCAGCTTTTTTTTTTTTACATTAACGATAAGGTCCATTTTCTTCGATACACAGGGGTTTTAACACATAAAAAATGAATTGTTTCACTCACAGTTACAGGAATCATTTTCTCCAAAGTCAGGTTTGTTCCTGTCTTCTCAGTCCCGCATGTTAATATTATAGGTTGTTACTGATTAAACAATCGCCGAAAACTTTTTTTTTGTCGGACCCAACTGGACATTTTTCTAGAATGTTGCTTTGGTGACAAATTGATGGCCATTTACACCAAAAACGCTTGATGCACAAAGGCTGTATCGCCTATAACGAGTGAGCGCACCGGTACCTTTTATCGACTAGTGCTGGAACACTCTGGATCTTATGCATCATTCTTTCACTGTAGGCTGGAAATGAATCTGACAATATTACAGGGCGTCCCGAGCGGACCTTCCGCCTTAAAATGAGCCAGGAAAATCAGCGCCTGCTCATAGAGAGATCAAACCTTCACCGAACGTGCACCGAGCAGGCCAGTCTTACCGTGTTAAATTTCAGGGCATAGTTCTCTTCTTGTAAAAAACTAGAGCAAAAAGTTTTTCAAAATCAAGGTTGGGCGTGTTGGCAGACGACCGAGTTAGCAACGCTATTTATTTGTGGCGCCATCTTCCGACAGCCGTAGCAAGCAGACAACAAGGTGCGTCTTTGGCTCGCTGCGCCCATCGGTGGTAGATGGCGCCACAACTAATAAAACTCGCTAACTCGGTCGTCCACGAATGCGTCCAACCTTGACTTCGGCAAGGTTTTTGCTCGCATGTTTTACTGGAAGAGAACTACCGTAATATTCCGAGAGATGCCTCACCCCCGAAAGATAGCCCACCCCTATTTTTTGGCGCGATTTGCTATTTCTTTTTTAAACACCGAAAGATAGCCCACTTCTAGTAATTGCAGGACCCTGGCCATTTGTGACCTCAGCAGAAACGGTGTTACTTAACCACGGTGGGAGATGAGCGAACATTGTTGATTGGGCAGGTCAGTCGTCTTTGGTTCTTCTCCCCTTTCTGCGATCACAAGTTTTGAAGGTCATAAAATTTAAAACTAGAATTTTTTCAACTTTTTTTTTTGGCACCCCGAAAGTAGCCCACCCCTTATTTCCATCCGATTTGCTATTGATTTTAGGCAGGCTATGTCTCGGGATATTGCGGTACACCTTGAAATTTCACACGGTAAAACTGACCTGCTCGATGCACCTTTGGTGAAAGTTTGAGCTTTCTGCGTGCAGGGACCGATTTTTTCCGACTCGTTTTACGGCGGAAGGTCCGCTAGGGACACCCTGTATGAGCAGCCATCTCTCGTCGATAGTGCATAGATTTGATCCCGCAAATAGAGCGAAACCTTCGGTCCAGTTATACGCAGGCCGAAAGTGTTCCGTGGTTATCCAACAGATGGCACCAGTGTTTTCTCCCGTCGTAAGCGGTTGCAACGCAGGCGATCGCACTCGGGTGCAACTGTGTAAACCAGCCTTAGCACTTCTCCAAGGGTTGGTCACTCCCGTCGCGCCAACTGACGTTCTGATCGGTTAGGCCGAGTGCACTGGCTGGCAAGCGTTCGAGGGTTTGCTGAAGGCCGAAGGCCCGTCCCTGGCGTCGCTTTACCGTGGCATGCTGCTGGACCACCTGCAAGTTCCCGACGCCCTCACCGTCGCCGTGTCGGCAGCACTGGGCAAGCGGTAATAACCGACGTCGACTGCTGGTCGGATTTTAATATTTAAAGGCCTCAAATCTCGAAAACCGCAAAAGCTTTACTTATTTTATTTGTTTATTTATTCGTTGCAGATACTGTTGTAGGACCCTAGTTGCAGTAACAACAGACGAGGTCGTTGTGAGAGTGAGAGATACAAAATTAACACCAGGGGCTTACATTCCGTTAGGTATAACTGAAAGTTCATATCGGCATGAGCCCTACAAATGCGTATTATTAGTTTTGCGGGACATCCGGAAATAGGCATTTTAATGTTGTAGACGATTTGACGAGTCTGTATACAAGATTTAGTCAAAAGAGTATGAAGCTTACAGGTATAAACAAAAGCAGCAAAAATGGCCAGGACTGGTGAAAACATGTTTTGTCCTTGCACTTTCTGGTGGTTCCCTCCTATTTCTGTAACATTGCCAGCATGCTTCAATTCATTGGGTCTAAAGCTTAGAACAGATTTTTCGCTTGTTTGGTAAACTTCCTCCCTTGCTCGGTGTTGTATGTATTCACACTCTTTCTTGTTGTGCATGCTGCCTGTTCAGTTATCTCTTTGTTTGTGCATCTAATATATCAAGTCCTAGAAATAGCCATAAAAAGTTTACATTTTCGTTTTAACTTTTTTTTACTTGAAAGAGACCATGAAATGAATTTTGGGTTGGGAGAAATGATTTTAGATTGGGATTTCAATTAATCACATATTGTTTAGTGGGCCGAGAGGAAACTATAGTACACGAGGGTAGAAAGCCAAAAGCCTGCTTTTTGGTACAAAAATTTAAAAATGTTGCACGCTATTTTCTTACCTTCTTTCTTTCGAAAGCTCTCCGCCTTTTCACTGTGATGCATCCGCGGAGCCAAAGCACGTTAGCCGAACCCAGCTCACGCATTGGGTGTCAGCACTGCGTCACTCGGACGTATGCACTCGTTATCGATCAATCAATCGAACCGTCAACATATAGTATTTGAATTCGCATTCTTTGCCAATGATTGCCATGACAGCACTTGTCGTCACTTGCAAATGGCAACTTCCGTGGTGTGCTTAAAAAGCACGGTGGAAGCTTGGAGTCATCGCATCTGGTAAAATGCTACGTCACGACCACGTGATCTCTCAATTTGCTGATTTGAGAATAAAAAATGAGGAAGAAGTTGAAAAATAATTTCGTGGTTTCTTTAAATATCAGTTTCTTTTCTTTTTCTTCCTTTTTTTTCATAAAAAGATTGCTAGGAAAGCTTTGCGACGCGAAAGAAACTCTACTGTGTCTCACTATACGATGGACTGTGGTGGACGCTACGAGCCATGGAGGTAGGAAGCTTCTGGAGGCGACACGACGCCATCGGAAGTGAAGCCGGGAAAGACTTTTGGTTAGGAGAGACATGCCACCAACAACGACCGAGAACGAACAAAACCAACACACGCCATTGGATGGAAAGGACACCCTTGGGCACCTTTGGGGGCATTCCCACCGTGTGTGATTTCTACTTCCGTCTTTACTCGGGATTTTCTTTATTGGCTAGCTCGAGCCGGTACGTCGTCTCCCCCTCTTCCTACCTCCGTGCTACAAGCCAACCCAGCACGGTGAACATACCACACGACTTCGTACTCCACGCGTCGCTGCGCCCGTCCTGTAGGTCATGAGATACCCCCACGGCATTGGATTGGCTTAGATGACTCGTAACGTCCTCTGGGGTCCGGCGTAAAATAGAACGAGTATAGCATTCTGCCGAAAGTCCCAGCGTCTCTGTAATTTGCTGGCTGGTCGTCCGCTTGCCACGGACTTGCACGGCGAAAATACGCATGCGCTAGAGAAATTAAGTCTCTACGATACCAACCCCCGAGTTGTCGCTGCTGTCAACGCGCTGGCAGGTTGTTCACCCACCTGGTTCCGAACGTGGCGGCGGCCACCGAGATCCTGCGACGCTTCAATGCCCGCAAACTCCCCAGCAGCATCGGTTTCCAGGCGCTGGACAGAGCGCGCCGTGACCACGCTGCCGTCAAGCCAAGCGAGCGGGTACGATCGCTGGTTTTGTCCCGGATTTTGATCTCGGTTGTGTCAGTTAACTCATGCAGATGTTATTGTTGTAACTTGCTAAGCTAAACTATATGTCTGATCATGATCACCTACTAGATGTGAATGGCAGGGCGGAGTTGTCCCGCCTCTGGTGCGAGCTTGTTAACTTCAATGGCGCTTCGGCATCTCGGGAACCTCTAGCGTGCATGCGCAGCCAAAGAAGGGCGGAAGTCAAGGAGTCACAAGAGGCAGGCATTCGAAAGAGACGCGCTGTCGTTGTCATCTTGTCAGTGAGAGCAGTACACGCAAACTTCAATAACCCTACTAGAATGAAACGTTACAACTTTATTGCGCCTCGTCATTTTAATACAAACTCTTTTAAAAATGCTTCTTATCGTTAAATGTGTCAATAAGTGCAACTAGTGTGCGAAGCGATAAAAGTAAAGAATTCTCATCTACAGTCCACCTTGAAAACATGTCCGCATCGTTAATCTGCAGAGAAGCTCGTATCGTACAGAAATCATTGTTATAAGAATCTGTCATTCACAAATTGCACTGAGTCTCGTCATGGTGCACAAAATCTTGAAGAAACAAATTCTTGTGTAGTTTGCACCTGTAGATGTAGTTCACATCGTGTAAAATTTCAATTTATTGACACATATGGCTTGAGGACTGTGGTCTGGAAAATGTGGTACAGAAAGGAACCCTAGGGTCTAGTTATAAGTGTTTCGGGTTACGGGTGGTTCGTTTATGGGTGCTAATTGGATCTTACCACGGTTCCTCGACTGAATTCCCTTTGGCAGACGGTGGAGCGCCTTCTCGACCGTGTCGGCTGTAACTCGGAGGAGCTGAGGCCGGTTCTGGGCCACTGGCTCGGAAAGTGGCTGCTCTGCTCCAGCCTGGAGCTGGCAGTGGAGGTCAGCAGGAAGTACAAGCTCAACTGCGTCACCCTCGAAGGTAGCAACCCTCCCACTCCGCGGTCTGCCGGATGCGTCTGAGCTTCTGAACACGTGCCATTTCAAAGGGCGATTTATTGCCCATACTTCGGTAACTCCAACCCCCAGCTCTGTCGTAGTTTGGTAACTCCGGTATACTGCCCCAGTGTCCTGCCGCGATTGTGTCTTTTCTTCGTCTGCATTTACTGGGCTGTTTATTCTCATCGTGTACTACAACGTTTACCAACTGACCTCATTTTCGCTACCTTAGTATGCAGTTCTAACCACCACTTTTGAGTGTCAGTCATAGCGGTACCTTTAAATGCGAAAACTCCGCAGATACCGCTTACTCTTGTTGGTCGATGTCAATATGTCAGGTGAGGTTGGGGTGTCATGTGACACGATAATGTCACGTGACGTGACGTCAAAATTTGTCCGCTAAATTTGGCGGGGATATATCTCCGCTAAATTCTGACGGAAAGTGCCGCCCGTCGCAAACTGTGCTATCATACCTTCGTTTCTTTTGACAGGATTTCTAAACCAGGCGGTTTGTTTTCACTGCGAAACCCGCTTCACGCAGGGGACACGGTGCTTGCGAGCGGGGTCCTGAGCGGTGGCCACCGCGACCCGGTGAAGAACGCCTTTGTCCTCTACTCTCAGTTCAGCAGCGCCAAGGAACGGCTCAGCTCCGCGCTGAAAGCCAGGGAGCAGATGGCGCTTGCGGTGCACCATATCCTTTTGCCTCGTCGTGCTGCAGTTCGTTGCAACATAAAAAATGTAGGACAGGCTCCTTCTACGAAGTCCTTCACTTTTTTCCCTTTGGCAGAGCAGTAAAAGTGTTTTGGGAACATTTCGTGACCCTATAGTGCTTGTTACCATGGGAAAGGGGCAAAACCGTTTATGGTACCACGTTTGACTCTACGCAAGGTGTCGTTCTTGGCTTTTGTAAATGGTCAAAAGATACTGCAATCCTGTGCGTTCAGTGGGAATTAGATTGGGATGCTGATTTTCCCGGTTTGTTTTTGTGGTTTTAATGCATTTCGATGGAAACCTGCTTACACCTGCTGGCAGTATGGAATTGTTTTCAACGGGGGTTTGGTGTTGGAACTCTTTCTGGAAGATCTCCGGAGGTTTCTTGCAGTTCTTTGATTATTTGTTGCATTTGATGCCTCGAGTGAAAAATGGGGTTTATGCCCTTGCTTATAATAAATTACAAAAATTTTATATTAAAATAAATCTTTCTATTTTTTTGTTTACTGCTTGTAAAGGGGCACTAAAGTGGATTTTGGGGTCAAGGTGTGCGTCACAATGTTTGGTCGCATTTTTAAAAAAAAGAGGGCGATGCGTGATTGAAATTTTGGTTTTCTCGGATACTTAGGGCATGTAGGTTGTATTTGTGCAATAAAAAATTGGAACAGAGCCAACTATGTTTTGTTTTAATTAAGCAATTAGCTGCAGATGTAATTGAAAGGGCTGCAGCCTGTCACATGTCAGTTTTCCCTCTAAATTTAGCAGGAAAACTGAATTGGTGTTGAAATAATGTGACCTCAATGGCCAGAAACATACCTCAAAGTGGCCCAAAACATCCTAAGACAGCTAACCACTTTAAAAGACAACCTCAAAGTCCCCTTTAATGGCTGACTAAGCTTCCAAGAAACAGTGTTTGAGGCTAGTGCCCACCCCAATTAAAGTGAATTCCAGGAAGGCCATTGCAACGTTCCTTGACATTGTGCACATGGTATCAAGTCCAGCGAAGAGGTTCTTGCCAAGATTCAGAATCTTCAACAGAAGGTCTTGCGTGATGGGTGGGTTCATTTGTTTGGGTTCGAGTAAGGTCTCGTGCCACTATGCAGCGTGGCGCGATGCAGTCCGAGGTATGAGTGTCGCATTGTTTTATAATGCGCAATGCGGTGTGTATGTCTTTCAGAGATGGCATCTCGAAGCTCACATCTGACTGCAAGTCACTTCTGGCGCAAATTTCACACTTCAGCAGCACCCTTGAGACACTAGTGAGTGATGTTTATTTTTATCTGTAGCAGGTCCTCGACAGTGCCGCTCTTTTACAGCATCAGCTGTGCGGGGCTCGTTGTACTGGGCTAGTGTCATGTCGCTGAAAACGAACTGGGGATGCGCGCATTTATCGCAGGTGGCTTTGGTGCCAGGAGAGGACGAGTGCTTAAGTGGTACTCTTGCCCTTTCGTCGATAATAGCCGCGGTTGAGGTGCAACGCATTCGGCCAATCACGATTGCCCCGGGGGTCATACGCGATCGCGTTTCTCGACACCTGCCATTTCTCGCCTTCGGTCACTCATTCCCTTGGCGCTCCGAGCCTTTGCGCGCAAGAATGGGACGGCCAAAGCGTACGCCAAAGTGAAGGGCGACTGCTGGACGGCGTAAGTGCGCCTGTGAGAGAGAACGTCGACGCGTGGGTGCCGACGGTCTCGCCCCGCCTGTCGAAATGAAACACATTCTACGTCGAGATCACGCCGCGCATGAATGCGAAGCGGCTCGTGAAAGAAAACGTTACCGAGTGAAGAGGGGATGCGCCGGTGCGTCCGAGCAATTTGTGCGGCGCATCTGCGAGGATGTGTTTGGTGCCAGCCGTTCGGTGTGCGATTGGTTGGGGTTAAAAACAATACCTCTGACTTGCATAACAATACCAACAATTTATCAGACGTTTCGTCTCCTATGCGGGAGACATCATCAGTGCAGCCTAGGAACACCCGACTAGCTACCAGCAATCCAAGGCTTGCTTGGGGTTTAATCGAGACGCCTCGCGACGCAACTTTGCCGAAATTTTCAGTCAATCGCTACGCAATATCATCGAAATGTCGCACCATGCCGACGCCGTTCATTCGCATCACGTCGCGCGATCGTCTGCGCAATTTATTTTTTCTCATTGTTTATGCATCTTAAAGTTGCTGATGGGATTAGAATGTCAGAAAGATCCTTCTGTTGGCCAACTTCGGCGCAAGCTGACAAATGAGAACACTCTGCACTTCTCATCTTGTCGGTGACTATTGTACAGTGTGCCCTAAACTCACGCTTCAACGATATTGTGCGGGAAGCATTATTTTAAACGCCAACTAAAGCCGTAGCAGTCGGATGACGAATCATGCCCAAAACAAGCGAGGCAGTGACAGAACCTTGGCTCAAGAATATAGTGCTTTGTTGTGTTGTTAAGTTCCTTTGCATTAACTGTTTGAGTGGTGGGTTTTTTTCTTTTGCACATCGAACGCAAATTTTGCTTCCATACGGAAAAAGACTGTGGCGTGCTCAATCAAGTATATTTCAATATTTATCGAAGACACGCCGATCTATGGGCTCAAAGTTGATGTCTGCATGCCTCCAACCTAGGATATTTTTCTCGAGTTATACTTTTCGAGACGCAGTACTACGCAAAGTGGCACCCCGGCCTCATTGCCTCAAGGTCGCTGCATCTAACCGACATTATTTTTACTAGAAACTGAGACGTTCTTATTATTGAATTAGTTTATTACTTGTTTTTAAATTTCGGTGTTTGCCGTAAAGCGCGAGGTTGAGTGACTTTCTGACGTCCTTATCTGATGTCCTCCGAGGCTAATATATTCGTCGTAAAGACGGCACTCGTCTAACTCTTGCTCACCTTTGTTAAAAAATAAGTTTGAATTAAAATCATGCGCCCTGTATGCCGAAAACACTGAACCCTAGTTGTAAAAATTGCTGAGCCACCACCTTACAAACTCGGATTTCGAACCCGTCCTTCAACGGTTATATTGATGCCGCTCTGCCCTGTTGGGGTAAAAGAGAACAACATATTCCGAAGCTAGCGTTTCAGGTTGTTCACGAAAGACAAGCGTGGTGGGGGAAGAAACCGACATGTCTGTCAATAGCAGAAATAATAATCATAATAATACTATATTTTTCGGACCTCAGTTCGCACTCGGTGTAAACTAGTTTGCAGGGACCGATTTGGCTGAGGGTGAGGGAAACACAGTGCCAGTATGACCTTGTTTCATTGTTCCATTAAAACAGAAAACGAAAGCCCAGAACCATCGACCTTGTGTATAAGCCGCACAGCATTAAATATCAATTTTTAGAAAAAGCAAATGGTGTATAATCCACACCTGGTCCGCACAGCATGAAATATTTACTTTTAAACATATCTATAGTCCACAGACTATACACTGAAAAATAGGGTGTGAATGATAATAATAATAATAATCTTTATTCCCTAAAGTCAAGGCACACTTAGTAGCTCTCAAGGCTAGGCAGATAAGCACAGGGGCCCGTGTGCACAAGCGTTTGCCAGCAACCTCCTCTCGAGTGCTTGTCCGCAACTATAGCATTTCCGATTAATTGCTGGTCAACGGGCTTCTTTCATACCAGGAGAAAGCCCTCGCGGAGCAGAACGGCTCGATGCAACACTACCGCCGAGAACGGGACGAGCTGGCGCAGGAGCTGTCGACCGCTTTGGCCAAGCCGCTGACGCGGCGAGGTCAGGAGGAACTGCAGGCGACTTCGCTTGAGGAGCAGGAGCTGCGGAAGCTCCTCAGGAAAGCCTCTGCTCGGAAGCTCGAGGTGGGAGTTAAGACCTTCTCGGTCGCCAAGTGCGGCAATCGGAGATTCGTTTGCGCACATCGATCTTCATAGGGAGTACTCACCTGCATATTATGTACGGGTTGCGTGCGGTGCCTTCTGGGTACATCGCCATTTTTGAGTCCTAGACAGCAGGACTGGCCGTGCTACGCTACAAATCTTTCTTTGGTTTCGGCGACACCGGAATTTGGAGCATCAGTATGGTGGCGTGCGTGATGGTCGGCTGCGCACCAAGTCGCAGTAAAAGAAGAATATAGAGGAGAAGAGCTTGCAGACTCCCGTTTCTTCAAGATTCTGAGGGTCCAAACACATGAGTGTGAGAAACTTGCGGTCGCTCTCCGTGAGAAGGTAATGCAAATGGCTCGTGTGCATCAACCGGAAAGACCTCGACGAAGGTGTCGACAAGTACTGAGGCTTTCGTCGAACATCAGCGGTAAGATTTTCGCAAAACTTTGCCCGTCACCTGTCGCTACTGCTCATCACGACGAGCATCGCTTGCATGTAGTTTCGACGGACCGAGTGACAGCGGGTCTTGTCGCATCTCTTTGTCTGAAAGAATCGCTCATATGTGGTTCATACCTTAGGCTTAGTTTCGGCAAAAATCCATTCGCGTTGCCTTCTCACGGAGAGCGACCATGCTTTCTCACACTTGTGTGTTTGCACTCTCGGAATCTTGAAGAAACGGGAGTCTGCGAGCTTGCTCCTCTCTTTTTCCTTCTTCGACTGCGACATGGTGAAACAGCTGACCATTACGTATGCTACCATACTGGCGTTGCAAATTCCAGTGTCACGTAAACCAGAGAAAGATTTGCAGCGTAGTGCGACTGGTCCTGGTGCAGGCGTGGCTGTCCACTGAAGAGGACTCAAAAATGGCGATGTACCCAGAAGGCACCGCGCGCGACCCACACATAAGCCGCAAGAGAATGCTTGCTATACGTAAGAAAAGCTTGCCCACTATATTCCGTTGCAACCTAAGAACGAAGGGCAAGGGTAAGACGGGCCGGGGAGGAGGAAGCAGACGGAACGCTAAAGAGAGAAGGAGGTTTCCCCCTCCCTTCTCCAGCGTTTCGTCTGCTTCCTCCTCCCCGGCCCGTCTTACCCTCGCCCTTCGTTCTTAGGTTGCAACGGACTATAGTTATTTGTGGATTATTTTAGCACAGCACCTTTAAAAAAGACACTCCACTTTCCAAAATCATTTTTTTTTTTCCAAGTGCTTGAAGGGGTTGCATAAATTGCAAAATTTCTCCGAAAAAGAAGGAAAAATAAAAAATAATCAGCAACAATATTTACGCTGCAAGATCTCAGTTGAGTTGGGAGCGATTTTGAAACGGGTTCTGTTTTGAGACGTCGAAATTTTTTGTTGTTTTATTTTTAAGGAACACTAACAAGGTATTTTGTTTGCCTAGATTTTTACCGAAGTCTGCCAGACTCTAAAAGAAAAACATTTATGGCTCAAAATCTGCCTTTTTTTTGTGCGAAAATCGCCGTTTCGGAAGGTAGCGCTCGGGGCCACTCACATTTTTCTTTTTGTCAGGCACAGCGACAACAGCGTGCAAAATGTTGAAATTCTGGGCCGTTTGAGGTGCTTTATTCGTGAGTGGAACTGATACAATTAAAACATAATTTTAGTCGCAGGAAGAGAGACTTCTCATTTAAAAAGCAGAGTGAAGATATTGGATTTCCCGGACCATAGTCCGCAGACCTTACATTTTTAAAATCTTTATATCCTACGGTGTGCGAACTATCCAAAGATGCAAACTATACGAGGGTATTTTTTTCCAAATTGCTCGTTGCGAGTGCTATTTTCACTCAGTACGGTTGTTGAGATCATGTTGTTCCACCCTGGGCATTGGTCGTCAAGAGACTTGGAGCATTGTTTCGACATGGATGCCCTGCGGGTGACGTGCTGGTAGCTGCAGCCAAGAAAACAGTGTGTTTCGAGCTTGATCTTTGTTTTGATGCGTTGTTTTGACTTCTTCATATGCCACTACAAGGAGCAAGGTGCTTGGTCAAGCTGTCTTTACAACTTTTTTATTTTCTTGTTTCCTTCATTTATGTACAGTCAAACCTCGATATATCGAACACGAATATATAGAATTATTGCCTATATCGAACGCTTTCTATATCACGCGGAAAATCGCATGCTTTTTTTATTTTTCAATTCGAGCAGGGTGGGGCATAAAATAAATATAACGAAGTCCGCCACCCCAAACAGCCCGCACTCTTTTGACAGGCGGCGAGTTTTCCCGCAACACCCTCGAAGATAGCGGTGGCGCAATGGGCGTTTCTGACTGCCTACACACACGCCGAGGGCGTCATTTGAACGTAGCGTCGCACGCACACCGCTGCCTGAATAGTTCTTAGAGATCAGTGGTTCGTTGCAGCGTCAACGACGCACTGCATTTGCCGCACCGACTCCTCCCCCTCAGTATTATCGGTGGTGCTACGCTATAATCATAGTTTTGTTTTGTTGTTGGCGGTGGCTACACCACCGGAACAACGGCGGAGTTGACGGACGTGGAGATCGCAGCGGAAGTTACAGCTGAGCGGCCAAGCGAAGACGTTGCCGAGGTTGATCCCGCAAGCGCTAATGGTGCTCCGCTCCCGACTTCAACTGAGGCTGTAGCTGCTTTGGCCCTTCTATGCCGCTACTGCGGCGCAATAGAAGGCACAGGCCTATCGCTTGTTGATCGTTTAGACCATGTTGAGGACGCCTTGGTTAAACACGCCTTTGCCAACAAGAAGCAGGCTACCCTGCAGCAGTACTTTCAGCCAAAATAAATACTTTGTTTGAAGCTTCAAGTGAGTATTTACTGCACCACAGTTGGTTCATTGATTGATTTCTACAGTAGGGTATTCTTTTTTTTTTCCTTAATTTAATTCAGCCTTCAAGTGCGATATTTCCCAGCTCCCGCAAGCTGAGAGGTACGGTGGCACGCCGTAGCAGACGACATGCGGCTACTCCCGCCTCTGCGGTCGGTCGGTGCGTATGTGCCGCCTGTCGGCGCTTCGCGGAGCGCGACGGCCACGCACTTTTAACAAGTTTTTGACGCGTTTTTGATGTGATTTAATATATCGAATTCTGGCTATATTGAACTATTTCGCCATCACCGCGCAGTTCGATATATCGAGGTTCGACTGTATTAAAATGAAAAATTAAGTTTCATAATAATAATCTTGATGGCACTAGCACCCTCTCCTTGGAGTTGTAAAACCATTACAACAGTCACTTGTTGACCATTATGGTCAATAAGTGACTGTACGAGTTTCTCAAAAAGGACGGTCACCAGGGCTTTGGAATGAGGAAGAGCATTCACACTTATTCTGGTTTCTTTTACAGCGGTACAAATTATTAAAACAATAGGAACTATGGGGAAAAAATGAATGTTTGTGTTGATTTATTAGTCCGCACGGAGTCTCATTTGTTGCAAAAACGTGTTATTTTTAACGGAGTATGTCGATGAAATAAACGCCTAGCTTGAACTATATACACAGGGTGCTTACTATATAGAGAAAAAAATTTTTTTTCAACCATAATTTGCACTTTTCTGTGTACTATACACTGACAAGTGGCTCTGATGTCACGCCATTGCAATGGCACTGCCGTCGGCGCACGTGCAGGCGTTCAATCTCACGCAAATCTGGTTTCTGCACACACGCAGTGCTCCCCACCTGGCGTGGGCAAACGCGAAATTGTTTGTGAACAGCACCTCGGTCTATACACCGGGCATCTATACACCGGGCATAGCGCAGGAAATACGGTAGCCTCTTTGTTCTCACCTCACATCTTCGCCGCATTTCTAGCTTCAACAGGAATTATCCAGTCTCGAAAGCACACTCCAATGCCAGGTGATTCTCGGACAAGACAATGTGACCAAGGTAAGGTCGAACGCCACCCTCGTTTCGGTCGGAGTGTACGAAAAGTCGAACCCTCGTTCCCTGCAGGAGAAACAACTCCTCGAGGAAAAGCTGCTGGCCCTACGAAACCGGCTCGACCTCTCAGAGTCCCGACTTACCGTGCTCAAGGAATCCAAGCGTACGACGATGAACGACATCGAAGGTCAGCTTACGCATAGTTGTTATTACTGCGATCGCTGGCGGAAGTCAGTGACTATAGTGTCGTCGCGCGTCTTGTTTGCATTGTGACGGATCTTAATTGTGGGAAGAGGCTTCTGTCACTGGCTCGAATCGATGCATACGCAATATGCGATGGAAATACAATTTTTTGAGTTGGAATGGTAGCTTTTATTTGCCAATAATTCCAAAGAAAGACATTTCTAAGGGTGCATCATGCCCGCTTGTGAGCATTTATGATGAGAAAACACTGTGGCACCTTTCTTTCGGGTGGCCGTAGAACGCTTCCGGTCCGCGTAATGTTTCAAATGCGTCGGCATTTATTTTCTTAGTGCATGCAGCCGCCTTTCGTTGGGACGGTAGTGGTTTGGTTTGGATTGGATTAGACCAGACTGGATTGGATTGGTTTTGTGAGGCCGCGGTGCAGGAAAGGGTCTTCTGGCACGCTTCCAATGACGCGCCGCAGGAGAGGAGAGGAACGTGCCACCGTGGCCGTACGCGACGACATAAGACCAGGTGCAGTGACGACAACATTCGCGCGAAACCGCCGACTCCCGGTAGGAATGAGCGGCCCTTCAAAGACAATGGTACGCGGACCATATGCAGCGATCGAGAAAAGCCACGGTGGCTGCATAATGAGAAATAGCCTATTCCCGTGAGAAAGACCGGCCTTCCGTACAGTATACAGCACGTTGCAAGGTTAGAATTCTCGTCCTTCGCCGAGTCGGAACCCCTCCCCTAAATGCTAAAGCATTTCGTTGAGAATCGGTGTAGTGACAGCAACAGTCCAGTTGTACAGGCTCGAGCGAAAATGTGTGAACCCACCTCTAGACCTAAAACACGTCCTTCCTCGTAACAAGCCTAGGCTGCAGCTCATCAGAAATGTGTTTTCAAGTGGTCACAGCTCTCTGTTTATGGCGCCCATGCTCTTGCCCAATGCAGAAATCCAAAAAGACGTGACAGACGACGACGACCAACGGGAACTGGAGCGGAGCATCGAGCGCCTGTCGACGGACCAGGCCTACCTCCAGGCAGACATGGAAGCGGGGAGCCAGGAGGTCCAACAACTCGACGCACAACGGCAGGCCGTGCTCGCAGCGGTGCGGACGCGCATTTTTTGTTACCCACTGTCGATGTTAGCTAGAACAGATCGCGGAACTCCCGCGGAAAAGCGAACCTGGCCTTTCTCACAAACTCAAGGCCACCATCCATTGTTTGGCAGTATAAAAAATCTGGGCAGAACCAGAGTCGTATATAGAGGGAGTTTGGTCAGTTGGGAGGAGCGGGCAGAGCCAGGGCGTGAACAAGATGCAGATGGAAGGCGTGACATTCTCTCTTGGCCAACCAGAAGCCAAAAACAATTCCCTTAGTGGTGATAGCGAGAAACAATTTTAATAAGTGCGTAAGAGTGAAATGGAGTAACTCTTCATGGTTGAAAATATAGCGCACATGATGTTTCGACTATGATCATGCAAAAAGATGTAAAAATTGAATATGCAGCTCAAACTCTGGTTTGCTCGGTCGGAGTCTGGTCGCTTGGACGGCATTTTTCTGACCCTCGGCGTCTGGCGTACGGATCACATTAATCGTTCTATTAGAATTTGATTTTGCATGACCATAATCGAAAAATCACATGCACCATATTTTGTCGCCAAGAGTTACTCTGACTTGCTTATTAATTTTGTTTCTTGCTACCGCTGCCAGGGCATTATTTGCAGCTTCTGGCCGGCCACGTTCGAATCTGTGAAGATGCCCTGGAACACGCGCAGCCGGCTCTTGGCCTGTGGCACCTCCTCATTTGCCTCCTATACTTCCCAATGAATGACCAAGCTCTCCCAATATATGCTGCTTTCAGAATCATTTATGTTTAATTAAGCGATAAGCAGCAGGCATAATTGAAAGAGCCGCGGCTGGTCCCGTATTAATTTTTCCTCTATATTTAGCGGAGAAACTGAATTTCTGTGTAGATCACGTGACATCAGATCATGTGACGTCGTTTTCCCCGCTAAATTTAGCGAGGAAAATAAATGGCCAGGAACATAGCACCCCACATTGGCCTGAAGATCCTAAGAAAGCTAACAGCTTTAAAAAAGACTGGATTTTTTTCGAGGCACCCGGTACATAACTCTAGTCATTATGTGGGACCGGTAACATGGCGATCAAGAACTTCATTCTCTTCCCAACGAGCTAGTGCCCAGAAAATAAAATTGGGATTGCCACATGTCGAAGATTGCTAGTTCTTAGTTTTGTAAGCTGCTCCCACCGTGCAAGCTGCTCCCACCGTGCAAGCTGCTTGCCAGAGCTAAGGTCAGGGTTCGCCACGGCCTTAAAACTAGGGCCAATAAATAGGCTATGCTTTAGAGCAGGGGTCGGCAACCTTTTGCTGCCATGGGCCAAATGGTCACAAAGTGGAGGCAGAGCAGGCTGAATGAAAATCTGGTCGGGGAGGAAGAGCAGAACAAAGTGAACTGGACTGGGCAGGAGGCAATCAGCTTACGAAAATAACAGATAAAGCGCAAAGTGAAGCGTTATGCTCAGTGCTGCAGGCTATATTTTGCGTGACTCTTGAAGCTGCAGGCGCTACCTTCCTCTTTCGCATCACAGAGCCACACGGTTCTGATTCCGAAGTCCAATGATTGAGGCAAACTGAAAATCACTGAGTGTTACCATCCAATTTCCCTTTCTAATATGGACTATAAGATTTGTGCTAAACTTCTGACCAGTCGCTTGGTCAGAATCGTCATAGCGAGCCCCTAAATGCGACAAAAACTGTTGAAATTGACGATTTTGTGAACCGCGATTCCGAACGTAAAGTGTGCTAAATATGACAACAACAATTATTGATTTCCACAGGGTCACTGTGGTGCACAACAGTTGCTAATGAATAATAAACTGGTCTCCTGGTAGGTGGCTTTAGAGCCAATATGTCCAATTATGCCAGGGTTGCAACCAATAATAACTCTTCAACCATTAGTCCTGGAATTTGTGTTTGTGTGTGTGTAGGGGGGGGGGGAAGGGGGGGCTTTGTCTAGTAGCCTTGCGAGCCCCCAATCGCCGACCCCGGCTTTAGAGCAACGACGCTTGGGCCATAGTGGTGATTAAAATCATTGTCCCGAGTAATTTAAACTTTATCTACAATTTCAGAATACGGCTTCCTGTCTTGCCGAAATGTTAAAACAGTCCTCGCCAGAAAAATACAATATCGCCCAAACGTATCTAAAGCTCAGAAAGTTGCATTTTCAGATCGTAGCAAAGTGCCGACACTTTAAGCGTAGCTTTCGTGGCCCTAGCCTTGACCTTGTGGGTGTAGCCAGAGTCCTTCAATGCACGTCACAAAACTTTTCCATAACACTATGGGGGTGCTTGGTGCGCAACCACGCACGGCGTCGACAACAGGGATAAGAGCAGCCAATCTAGCCAGCACTGCTGGAAATCTGGCAACCAGGAAGTGTGTCGGAATTTCAAACCCCCTCTGAATGAGCCACCCAAAACACGTTGCATCGACAGCGTTTCTTTTTAATGCGAGCGTCTTTAGCTCTGTATGGTCAGTCAACTACACTCATCCTTACACATCTGCAACAATCTAAAAAAAAATATTTGTTCTTTTTTTTTTTTTTCATTGCCTTTTAATATCATCCTTACCATCAAAACTTAGCGCCGCGACTAGTGCCATCCAGTGAAGGCACTGTGAACCCGTGCGCACAATTGGCTGGATCTTTTTCGCTTGCAAAAATGTCTTTTTGTTGTCTTTTTGTTAGAAAAGAAGCAAAAAAAGCTATTTTGCATGTTTTCTCGTTAGAGATCAATCAGGGATGACTGGTGCTTGCATAGAGGCACCAATGACGGGCGTAATGAGATGTCAGCATACAAGAAGTTGTTTCTTGAAAACTACTCGTTGTTGCAAATTTGGTGTGGCTCATTGAGGATGGAGTTGCCAAAGAAAAGTGCTCACAGCGGAACTTTTCGACCCTGTACTGAACTTTGGCCGAAGTTTTGTTTACAGTAGCGTATTGAAGGACTCTGGTGTAGCCTTCCCTCGTGTTAAGTCGACTCACCTGTCGTTTCAGCTGGATGCGTCCAAAAAGAAAGTGTCCATGTTTGGCAGCGTGTCAGCCAAACTAGAGGAATACCGAGGCATGGAACGTCAAGCGGTAAGACATTTTAACTTGATGCGTGGGGCCAAAAAAAGACATAGACGGGTAACTTCATCTCGGATCATGTCAGAAGAAAAGATCAGGTCATCAGACAAGTTTTGACATACAGTAGGCTTGCAATAATTCAAATTCAACTATTTCATACTACTTTTGGTTAATTCAAAGACATTTTAAGATTTTGGTTGTCCCGCTATGTTTTTCATGTATTCATAAGCTGCTTAATTCAAACGGTGTTTTTGTGTAATCAATGCTTTTTGTTCTTGCGACCCCATTGACTGCGCTTCTTTCCGAGCACCGGTGCACTGCAAAGAGGCAAGACACGCGTAGCTTGCTTTCGTGGGTGTTGCTTCTTCGCTATGCACTGGTGCTCAATGAGAAGCGCACTCAGCGGGGTCGCAGGAACAAAAAGTGTTCATCAGCTATAAAAACGGCACCACGCGGAAATTTTCGTAGCAATTACTTGAGCGGATGCTGTGACATGGCGGCATTGCATGGGTCCACATGACAGTGTCTGCGCAAGTTGCTCTGGAAACTGCCACGTGGTGCCCATTTCATTAGACAACTTCTTGGCTTGACAAACAAACTTTTTTTTTTGTTGTCATGTGCTGTTTAAGCAGTCCACGATAAATAACATTTTTGAGAGATAAGTAGACTTATGTCATGTATTTCACATATATTTCATGTGTGGCTCCCTGCTTATGATCAGTAGGCCTATGTAGAGGAAGTCATAAAATGTCTGCTTTGTATGTGTAGCCATTCATATGGCAAAGCAGAATTTTATCTTGCATCATATTTAGGTGAACTTCTGGTAATTCAAACTTCCGATAATTCAAAACAAATTTGCGGCTTCCTAGAGTTTGAATTAGAGCCTACTGTACAAGGGTTGTCCCAAAGGAGATCGGAAGATATATTTACAAAATCATGTATTCATTTTTGCACGCTCAAATTTCAGTCTCCTTCAAAGTACTCTCGTACTGATGCAACGCACCTGTCGAGGCATTTCTTCCAATGATTACCATATCCTTTAAACTCATTGATCTTGATGCCTTTCAGTGCTTCGGACACTTTTTGTTTTGCCTCTTCCACATTGACGAACCGTTTCCCTTTGAAAACTTTTTTAATCTTTGCAAACAAAAGAAAAATGTCACATGGGGCGAGGTCGGGTGTAGAGGGAGGGTAGGGCACGGTAATCATGTCGTTTTTGTTCAAAAACTGCCGAACACTTTATGCGGTGTGGGCAGGCGCATTGTCACGGTGAAGGAACCAGTCTCGAAACAACTCTGGTTGTTATGCTGCCTTCGCTGTGCTGAGTGTTCAGCAATTATTTTACTAAATACAGCATGGCCCCTGCCCTACCTAAATCAGCGAATTTCAGAAAGACTTGGAGCATGTAGGAAGCGAGTGGTAACTTTGTTGGAACACCAAATTTACCACTCGCGCAACAGGCGCAAGGTTGCAGGTGTAAAAACATGCTGGTGCAATATTTCTGTTTCTTATCATCTGCATTTTTGTACCCCCAGCTTTGCACCCGCTGCTCAAGTTAAAACTGCAACACCCTATGCCGTGCTTCCTACGCTCTCCAGATATTTCTCAAATTTACTGATTTGGTGGTTTTAGAAGATGATGCTTGGCAAGTTTCTAGTTGGAATCTATTGTTTATTTACATTAAAGGGAAACTGAAGCGGTTCTCTATTTGAGAAAAAACATTTCAATGGCTTTCATTCTACCTCCAGGATCAGGAATATCAAGATTATTTTTCAATTTGGTGCACGGAGGCTTCAGAAATTAATTTTTAAAGTACCGCCGAAGCCCCTCCTTCCCGGGGCGTGACGTCACACTAGGAGCGTTCGGAATATCTGCTCTCGCGCATCTTCAGCGCCTGTCAAAGCTATGCACGCGCACTCTTGCTATTTTCAGAAAGGTCAGAAAGAGACGTCACGACTGGTGTCAGTGCGGGGAAATATACCTGGCAAGCTTGCCATTGCACGCGCTGAACACACGAGCGACACGCGCTTGGAGGCCCGAAGATCCTAGTATGACGTCACGACTGGTCGAATGTTTTTTCGCTTTTTCTCGCTTTTAGTTGCATCTTCGGGGAAAACAAAAGTGATATTCAGATTCACGGGATAAAAATACGCCAGAATTCACCTCTAACTCGTTTTTTTCAAGAAGTGTTTCAGCTTCCCTTTAACTAAAAAGTTCATTAACAAATTTTAGCTGATTTAACGATTTACGGTGACGATTAGCCTCTAACTTGTGTTCTCCTGGCCATGCAGCTCGCCTGGACAGGCTGCGGTGTGCAGCTTTTGCAGCTTTCTTAAAATAGATCTGTAGAACCTAAGAAAGGAACGCCCCATATGGCGTGTGCTCTGCCATTTGTTGCTGCTCGCTTACTGCAGTTGTCTCTGCCCTCTCAGTTGCACAGACTACTCTCAGTAGTACAGGAGGAGCTGAAGGCCATGGAACCACCCAACCTCGCTGCCATTGGGCTCTTCGAGGAGATGCTCAACAGGCGCAAAACCCTCCAAGCGCAGGTCAAGGACACTGACCAGGGCCGGCAAGTAAGTGTTTCTTTGGACTCGGGTGGCGTTATAATTTCATGCTTTTTTTTTATAATAAATGCACCACCTACGGGCACGTCTAGTAAATCCTAGCACGATAGTCTTTGGGTGCCACGGCTAAGTATACTCAGGTGAGCTCCCATGCGGCTTCGGTGTCTGTTTTGCTCTCTTCCGCTTCCACCTGGGCTGTGCTTCTATTTATGTATGTAATGTCATGTACGATCAAGCAACGCAAATGGTGTTTCATCTTTTGGTGTCACTTTTTGAGGGCATTCAAAGATGTTTGTTTGTGGGACTCTCACTTCGGTACGCTTCTTCGATGTTGCAGAGTGGCCAATCTATGTATTTCAGCCTCTCGAATCACGGTGAACACCGAGATCTAAAAGTTACCGATTAACTCTGTACTTGACGACCGTGAAAACAAAAAAAATTACACTTTCGAATTTGAAAAAAAAAAAAAAAAAAAAAGTCAGAGTAAGGCTGCTTGAAAAAGCAATCTCGGAGTGTGAGGTCAAGGTGCCATTGCATAGCACCGTGTCTCAATAGGTGCACTACTTGGAAAATTGCTCTACCAAAAAATGCCGATCAAGTGCCCACTCAAAATTGGGAGATATTCATGAAAAAAATGCAGCGGGATGCAGCGGGAGCTCACGGTCGGGTAGACCCTTGCTTGGTCCAACGAAAAAAGTGCCCTGCAACACTCAAATGGCAGTTTTCGCGTCGGTGACACTTGATGCAAGAAGTGACGTTATCATATTTAGGCCTAACCACTTTCACAATTTCACCGTCTGAAAATAAACCACGGGCCACAGCATGCTTGTTGACATCGGCACTACAGTCGAGCCTTGTTAAATCACACCCTGATATTTCGAATTAGCTTTTATATCGAACAGTCCAAACATCCTCTTGAAAATCACACTTAATAGTATAGGAGCGTTATTTTTCTATATCAAACTTCCATGGCGGGGACACTCAATATAGCGAACAAAGCACAGCTTCTCCCACGGTCGGATTGCGCCAGCGGCGAGCACACAGCTCTCGCTGCGTTGCAGGGCAGCAAAAGAGCAGTTGTAAAAAAAGAAAGGGAACCACGAAAAAAAAAGAAAAAGAAGGAATGAAAGCCATTTTACAACACCCTGTAACACCGAATTAGAGCGCAGATCTTGAGGAGGAGGAGGGAAGGGTAGTGAGGGGAGGATATACCCCTCTTCCTCACCTTCTCATCCTGCCTGCTACTCCTTCCTCCGAGCAGTGTCGGCGTAACCGTGAGGTCACGTGACCCTCATAACGTCACGGGGTCATGTGACGTCACGGGGGTCAGATGACGTCACCGGGGTCACGTGATCTCACGGTTACACCAAAGATGACGACGACAGCGACGGCACTCAAGCTTGAAACGAGCGCCTAAGAGCTGCGCTCTCAAAAAGGTGGAGGACGGCAAAAGCAGGGGGGGGAAGGGCATGCGCGCGCGTAGGGAGGGCAGGGAGTGCTCGCTGTTGGAACGGTAGCATGCACTTTTTCCCCGAACACTGCTGTCACGGCGCAACTCCTCAGCCCAGAAATAAAATAAAAAAAAAAAAGATCTTCGTCATGTCGAGCGTGTTGACAACAACGGTTGAGCAATTTCACTTTGAACGTCTTATCTTTGTTTACCTTTTTCCTTCCCCGTTATTGCTTTGCCCGTTTTTTCTTTTTTTTTTTTGCCTCCCTTTTTTTGCTGCCTGAATTTAGTGAGCTTCCTTTTTTGTTGCTTGCTTAACATTATTCTATGGATCGAGAACTTCTTTTATTACGCAGCTCGCTTTTTCTGTTTTTTTCATTTTTTTTAATTATTTTCGTGTTTTGTCGCTGGTGCTGCGTGGAGGTCGCGGCCAGGCGCCCCCGTAAACGATCGCAAACACCATTGCGTAAACGCAGCGGTGTTTGCAATCTTCACCAGCTAAGCTCTATTGCATTTAGCGGCTGTTAGAGGCTCTATTTGGTAAGGTTCTGTTTGTCACGGCCTTCGGTATTAGCAGAGACGCGCGGAAATTTCTACTGGAGCTTAAGTTAATATATTTTTGTACATCAAATTATCGATATATCGAACTATTTTACGATCCCCTTTGAATTCAATATATCCAGGTTTGACTGGATACTTGATGGACAAAACGTGTCAAAGGGCTGGGCAATTCCTCTAACACAATTTTGTCGGTTGTGTGCGCTGCGCAGTTATGCTGTCGTTCTCTTTCGCAACTTCCCACTTCCAGCCGTAACTCGAGCGCGCATGCTGCCACGCTTGGTTTGGCTTGGCTTGGCTCGGCTGCTTGGCAGCTTGATTGATTTGGTGGGTGCGTTCGTTATGTGCGTCAATACAGTAAATAGTTTATCTAGAAAAACTAAAAAGTGATTGATTACGTACCATCCAGTCTTCGTCACTATAAAGCCACTTCACCCATGCTATTCCTGTGCTGTCCTCCGGTGCAGGGTATGAGGGCCACCCATGGTGATTGGGTGCTCGATGTGTCTTTCGGGTATTTTAGAACATACTTAGAATAGGGGAGTGGGCGCTCAATATGTCCTTTGATGATTTCTAAGGTGTTTCAAAAGTGGGGGGTGTGCACTTATTGTGATCTTCGGTGCATGGCTCGCTATTTACGGCAGCTTGGAGGCATGCAGACCTTTTGCTTATAGAATCATGCGTCTTTGATAAATAAATATTTTCAGAAAGCCTCGCTACGGCATTATCAAGAGATCAAAATTTACGTTTGGCAGGCGGGGGAAAAAACCAGGTACTAAGAAATTGATTTACAAGGTCCCTCCAAAGAGCTGGCGTGTCTTCGGATCGACGCTAACAAACTAGTCTCAACAACTGTTCCACACTCCAATTTTGTGAGTGTTAATTTTTGGAGAAAAAAATGCAGAACAACAGGAGTTTGGTATTTCTTATGCTCACTTATCATACCCCACAGAGATTTCGATATGCTGGATCTGCTTTAGATCGTGTCATCATCTTTCAAGGATTTGTACTGTGGGCGGCCATGTTTCCTCCTGCGCATAAAAAACAAAATTTTTTTTCATTTTTTTTTACGAAATTTTAGTATGCTTAATGCACCACCTAGGACACCTTTGTAAAAAGTTTTGTCGCACTTGGATTATTGGTTTATATTTGTAGAAATTAATTTATGCCCAAACCACGTTCGGAAACGCCCCATAGTTAGCCGACCTATTTGTTATCCCATCCTGCATACCGCTCCTCGCGGACGGAAACGTTTCAGGTGCTCGCTGCTTTCCCACGGCCTTTTTTCAGAGACTGGACGACCTGACCAGTTCGGAGCAAAGCAAGTACGGCGAGAGCATCGAGGTGACGCTGAAGCAGGTGTCCCTCTACTTCTCCGACATCTTCCGCAAGTTCGTGCCCCGCGGAAGCGCCGTCATGATCTTCACGAAGGACGACGAGCCCGGCGACAGCCCCCCCACGGTACCGCATCCATTTCTAAAGGCATTGAGCACAATCTGGAAGCCGGGCCTTTGAAAGGCACTCCCCGACGTTTTCACTTCGTTGGCGACTATGGTTGATGTGTTCGAATCCCGGCTGCAGTGCCGACAGTTTCATAAGCTCGTTGTGTTTTGCGTCATTAAATATGTATTAACATTTTGCAAACGCATCTTCCTTTCTTTTTTTCTGTGGTGCCATGGCTCTCCTAAGCCAATAAAAATTCTTCTTTATCCTCCTCCTCCTCCTCCTCCTCCTCCCCCTCATCATCATCATCATCATCATCATCAAGATGAAGAAGAAGCAGCTACTACCACCTAAATATTTCATCTTGGTACTGTATTCGTTGCTGGGTGATGTTGGCCTACTACCATTGTGTGAATTTATGTCTGCTATTGATAGCTATTGATAACATTTTGTTTTCATTACTGTTTTTTTTTATTTTTTTTTATTCTCGTATATTGATTTATTTTGTTCTTTTTTGCACTATTCTTTCCCCCACTTCTGCATAGCCGCGGCAGGGCAACGGAGCTTAAAAATAAAATAAATGATTGAATAGAAACCTTGCGGAGGCGGGCGCGTCGAAATATCCCCGGGTGGTCAAAATTCATTCTTGGCCCTTTGCCGGGCTCTGCCCTATGCCCTTCGTTGGTTCAGTACATCAAACACCCAAATATTGTTTTGTTCTTTTAAATGGTATCTTTTCCATTTTTTACGGTTGCTGACAGGACGACAACAACAAGAAAGGTGTTTCAGTCGTCCCGGGACATCCGAAAGAGACAACCTGCCGTTCTCGCCCTGCCAGCGGCTATAGTGGTTTGCATTCAAACTGCCGGCTTCAGGAATCGGAAGGATTGGAATGGGGCTCGAGGGGGAGGAACTTAAGAACGGCAACCCGACTCTCTTGCTAGGCGATATAGCGCCGTGCACAAGCCCCAGAGGGAACGCTTCTCTGTACTTCTAGAAGATTCGTGTTTACTAATACACCGAGCGTAGTAAGCAAAGAGGCTAGAACAACCTTGCCGACTCGGTCGATTGCCCTAGCTCTCGAACATTCTAGGCCGAACATTCGAGAGAGGGAGGGTAATTGAAAAAAAGAACCGCGTGGCCTTGCCGACGCGCTCGGAGACTCTCGCACTAGCCAGCTTGTCGCGCCGACGCCTGGCCGCACGCCGCTGCCGCCGTAGATGCTCGCTGCCACCTTTTCGATGCCCGTTCTTTCTATTGTTTCTGCCGCGAATTTGCCAATTAAATCGTTATTTCCAGTTTTACGCTCGTTGCTCCTTTTCGATCTGTGACAATGTGTATGTGGCCCCTTGGTGACAACGTTTTGCTCGAGACAGTGATTGCCACGTCGAGCACCCCTAGGAAATGTTTCCCTCGTGTTTTAGGCGGCGGGTCTTGCTACCTTGCTGCTTTGTTTAGAATTTCTGTATATTCCCCGTTTAAAGGGCATGGCTTCCTATGTCGACGCTTCTTGCTTGGTGACTCGTTCTTCTGCATTGTTATCGGCTAATGTCGCACGCTAATTGGCGGCGGATCCCAATCATGGGATGCTCGATGCTTCTCACACCCGTATTTCTTAAGCTGTACAATGGACATAGAATTATATGGGATGGCAATACACATTTTATGACGCAAGTTTGACTTTAATGCTTGCGTAGGGCTCTTCCTTTTCTTTTCAGGTGTAAATGATTTCATATCTCGTTTCCCCTAAAGTCACTGGAGCTGGGGAAAGTAGCGCCATTGCTTTCCCACCTGCTAGCCTAACACAAACAAATACCAACATTGAGAATACAAAACCTCTCAAGGTGATTGGCTCATCGCTGTCGGTTACCATAGTGATCGCCATTTTGGGCCCTTTCGAAGCTTCGAAAGGGTCGTCAAAACGAGTTGCACCAAGATAGCTATGAAGCATCATCGTACTGACAACGTTCCTCGGCCAATATGAGCATCTTTGGCAATGTGCATGCAATAGACTTATCACTGATGCTTATTTCCCCAGATCTCTTACAATTATGTTGCTCTTCTTGCATGTTTCAAGGCAGTAAAATTATTTTTCAATGCCCCAAAGCACCGACGTCACATGTGATGCCGTACATCTTCGTACTGCCATCACACGCAATGTCAATGATTGGGGGCATTGAAAAATAATTTTCGATTTCGATTTGTACTCATGTTTAAAGTAAGATTTAACAATGTATGGTCCCATTTTTCGTGACAAATGACGTAGTGCTTTTTATTAATGCTTCTTAATGTGAATTCTCTTATTATCTCGACATTTTCGGATTTGAGCGGAGTTTCCCTTTAACTTTATTTTAGGTTGCGAGGGATGCTCCAATTGCTTATAGGCAAATCCTGAAAGCATTTTGTCTAACACCTGTCTTGATGTGTCTCCGTTACAGCCGGGCGGCTCTGGAGAAGGCTCTGGAGAAGGAGCTCCGATGGCCTACCGTGCCGTCCACCTGAACGTATGATACATTCCGTTCTCTTTTCATTGCCGCCTGAAGCACACTTGAAAATGCCAAAAAAACTCTGCCCCTCCTTTTTTGCGTTTTTAGTATGAAAAAAACAGTTTCTGGAGAGGACCGCCACTTAGCTTGTGTGCAGCAGATGCACCCGTCTGCTTTACCCCGTTCACCTTTGAGTTGGCAGGGCAGCAATGGCGACAAGCATGAGCTAGCTCGTGCGTTTGCTTTGAAATGTGCCTTTCTAGCACGAGCGCTTTTTCCGCAAAATAAGTTTTCAAAGCCGCAATCTCGCACCTGTAGCCTTCGCTGCGCCGTCATCTTGAAGGGGCGCTGACACCCGAAGGCTTTTTTTTTCTTTTTGTTTATGACGATGCAAGTTGTAGTCATAGACCTGCGAAAAAATATCGCAACGTGAAAAACAGTTTCCCTACGTGCGCAGGAACCTTTTTATCTTTGGTGCCCTTCTCTCCTGGTTCTCACCTCCTCGCTTCTTTTTATTTTTGACATATTCGATTATGAAATTTAGAAGCTTTGTAAGAGACATTTCTATAATATTTAATAACAGCATTCGTAAAACATTTTTTTTAACGCAATTGCAAACGTGCTGCAGCCCTTCTTTTTGAGATACTACCGAACATCAGAGTCCGGAGTGATGTCGCCTCCTGGCTTTTTATTCTCCCTCGGAAAACGTGGCGGCGCTCGACACATGTAGCACTGAGGATGATCAGTGAGTCAGGGAATCGGACGAAGTTCTCTTTTTTAGGTAGGTGCTCGACGACCTCTCAGACTTCGGAAAGGAAATCGTCAAATGATGAAAACAACTGGGTTTGGTGTCTGTGTACCATAGTTTCGGTTGTGGCTTTGCCGGGGCAGCCTTACATGCAGAACCGGCGCTACGTGGTCCCTCACGTCCCTCACAAAAGTCCACTGTGCGTTCTCTTCAACCTCACACCGTTTAAAAAAATTTTATATCCCTGAAAGGGCCTTGAAAGAACTTTGAACTCAAAAGTTAAGCATCGTCTGCTTACAGCGATAGGCGGCGCACATGGAGGAGAGCGGCCAATTGCGGTATGCGGGCGAACACGACACTTCGGCACTTCAGGACGGTTTGGAGACGTGAGAGAAACTCAAGTTGTAGTGCGGCTCAATCTTTGACATCACTGCATCAGCGCAGGTTGCGCAGTACTCAAATTCAGCTTTCGAAAATTGTTTTTTTACTTCAGAACTTCTGAGTTCCCAAGTTTCGAAGTTTAAGGGTAATGTCCAGGCATCATTTTCAATCATTTCGGATAATAAAAAAAATATTACTTTGACCTGTCCTCGCCACTTAAAGGTGAATGGAGTATATGGCAGTTCTATTCTAACTTGCGACAGTGTCTCACGCGCAGCTAACCTAAGCCACCTCAAGTTGCGAGGTTTTCAAGGATACGTGCTGCGATATTGCTCCCAAATGGGCCTAAATATTTAACCGGCCATTTTAAAAATATCAAGTCCGGTTTTCAGATTTGCACTTACGCAGTCGACCGTGTTGATTGAAACTGAAATCACGTGGCGTCGCCTGACATCTCGGTGTCATGTGCCGTCGAAGCCTTGGGTAACACCCCGACATCGGGGGGTTACCCGTATGGTTCCTATGAGGTCATAGACCAGGGGTCTCAAACTCGTGGCCCGCAGTCAACCGGCTGTGAGCATTCCATTCCCATGTCTTGAGCACTGTGAATGGCGTGCGCCATAATGATCTTACGTCGTCAATACATATCCACTCGAAACGTAGCTCCGCTCTTATGACGTATTCACATAGTTTATACTCTACTGTTCTCATTTGTCTCACGTTTCATTTTAATCTTTGCTTCTCAACTTTATGTCACATTAATCACCCGTACGACAGTTCTTCTGCTAGGCTACGAGCTCTTCGCTCAAGGAAGCACCTCGGCTGCGCGAGCTCTCGCTCGGGAGGGATAACTGTAAAAGATAAAGCTATGAGCCTTTGCCTTCGGAGGATGTTTCCATTAAAATACGAGTATTTTTTCAGACTGCCACTGTAAAAATCGCCTGGAAAGCAAGGACTGTCGTTGGAAGAGATATTTTTGTATAGACACATTGAGTTAGATTAATTTCGGAGTTAGTCTGGCAACGGGAACGACAGCGTGCTTACTCTTTTGTTCTGCTAAAAGATGCCAGCACATTGGCGAGATGGTGCCACTTTAATTCTTGTTGTCAGATCAGGTAAGGCACAAAACGAATAATATCTAAAGACATCACTGGCAAAAGTGAGAGTTAACAAATAGCTTAAAGCATGAGGTTTCTTCTGTACGAAATCTCTCGACCCCACCTTTTACCTCATCTTACGTCAGCCTCAGCCCTTAGGGACTGCACTCTCTGGCCCCCATACTCAAATGAGTTTGAGACCCCTGCCATAGAACAACATGCCGTTCACAAACAAACAATCCCGCCCACACCGGGCGTGGGCATTGCACGCACAGAAACCAGATTCAGATGACAAGCAGTGTATGCGCTTGCCGACTCCAGCATCACAACGTCCATTGGTGTACATTTGCGATATAATCCCTCGACCCGCACTTCAGTCGAGCGTTAGGTGTCCCTTTTCCTCTCGAAACTCAACTTTATAAAACATTCTGCGTTAAAAAAAAGAACATCTCGTATATTGAATTATATTCATATTGATCCGGCACGGCATTGCAGGCGAGGTTCTGCAGCCGCGGTCCCCTGCAGGACCTGCGTAGCCTCTCGGGGGGCCAGAAGTCGGTGGTGGCCCTCTCCTTCATCTTGGCCCTGCAGAAGGCGGACCCGGCACCCTTCTACCTCTTCGACGAAGTCGACAGCCATCTAGACCGGGAGCAGAGGGAGGCACTCGCACGTGAGCACCCGAGCGTGGTGGCGTTGTGGTGGCAGGTCACTCGTTCATGATGCCGCTCAGTGGCGCTCGCACAAGGGTCCCGGTTCCCTTGTGCAGGTGCGGTGGGAAAGCACTGCTGTTCCGCAGCTATAAAAATTCGCCCTCACAGTGCAGACAGTTGGTATTTTACTCAAAGATGCAATTACTTATTCACGCTAATCTATGAATGTTTTGGAGATTGGTGCGAATATAAGTTGTAAAATAAAAATAAAAGTATGCAGGGGCATCTGGCAGAGTAAATGTTGCTGGTTAGCCGATCACGGAACAATTTCTTGCGAGTTGGATGACCTCTTCATTGACGACGTGGGTGACATAACGCACAATGAATTGTTCTTCGAAGTGGAGTTTGCAAATCGCTGTCCGGGGCTGAACTGCTTTGTTCCCTCATTGAAGCTCGATCTTCGATTTCCGAAGAAGGTCAGGATCTTTGGGCACAGAAAGTAATGACTCTTTCAGTGCTTGCCTCGTGCACTTGTAGCCTGTCTTGCAGAGGGGTGCAGAGTAGGTGGTATCCTTCTTGATCTTCATTTATAAATGAGAAAGCATCGCCCATTGTAGCCGAGAAGTACCTAGAGACTCTTCACATTTTCGTGAATAGAAACGAGCTATCTGCGCATACGTGGGAACAAAGCAGCAGCCCAAGAAAAAGAAGCAGAACACAATCACACATGGTTTATTTCGAATCATGCTCTAGGACGCCCCACGCACAATACGCGCTGTGGAAGCTGCAAGTGCGAGACAATCGTTTCGAACAGCGTTTGCATTGTACGAATGCAGGTGCATGGCAGGTCTTACACGCATAGTTTTGGCTTCGCCACTGGACGTGCAATGCCGCTTTGAACGAGAAGGCACCGGTATGCTGGCCGCTGCGCCACTTTTGTCTTTGCAAAGCAGCGGCCCCAGGCGAAAATCGGTCCACTTCCATCTGGATTATGGAACTGGAAATGAGGCGGTCCAGCTGGATTCCAGCTGGGTTCAGCTGGATTCCAGCTGGGTCCAGCTGGGTCCAGCTGGGTCCAGCTGGAATCCAGCTGGACCGCCTTATTTCCAGTTCCATAATCCAGCTGGAAGTGGACTGATTTTCGCCTGGGGCACAAGGCTCATTCGTCATGAAGCGGTGGCACATGGAACTACCCAAGAATGCAGAGTGCTCGGTACACGTACCCCTATAGCCACCAAAGTGGCGTCGGCGTGAGAGCCTCGAGACCAGTTCGCGCACATGCATTTGAGTGCACTGGACTGTTTTGGAACCGCGTGCAACCGCTTACAACGAGAGACCATGCTGGTGCCATCTGTCGGGTGGCCCCGGAACACATCAGATCTGCATTTAGCCATAGCAGGTGACAGATATCAGGGCTACCCTATAGAGGGCGCCAGGGTGTGCTCTCATCGTAAGATGTCATGAGCCGTTGCAGTACACTCGCTCACGCTCGGATGGGAACGCGTGGACCGACCTTAAAGGGGTAGGGAAACGAAATTTCAGCGCTCATTTTTTAGCTTTAATGTATTGCATGTTGCACCCTAACCTCAAAAACCCAGTCTTCCGTTGAAAAGCACAAGAAAACTAATTTTAGAGCTAAACAAACAATCTTTCAATGTGTACCTGGTCGATGCATGCGGAGCCTATTTGGGAGGTAGTCTAGCAACGTTGTGGAATCTGCTACGTAGTCGTGACGTAGCAGATTCCCTCGGAGCAGCGCCGCCTTTTGGAATTTCAACACTTTTCTTTTCCTCTTTAACTCACAAATCGCGCATTGTACCAATTGGTCCAAGAAGACGAAGGACTCCCCTCTTTCTCGAACCCTCGTTCGTGCAACCGGATACAGCCATTCTCCCCCTAGAAGATTAGCCCGTCCCTCAAAACTTGAACAAAAGTTGCTTTCCCCACCCCGTTCAGCCCTAAGCTGACAGTGTTGTGGAAGCCACGTGCTCCTTGGGCCAGCCACTCGCTCATCACCCCACGGGTACTTCGAACGGCTCGGTTGTAACGCGCTGACGCTATTGACACCAGCACAACGCTGACAAAGCCACCAAGGTCAAAGCTCATAACCACCCTGCCTTGCTACTCCACGAACGCGGGAAATCTTTTCTTTCTCTTTTTGTTTGTGCCGGACATCCCACGACGCATCGCGCTCTCCGCTCGCTTCTCTTCGAGCGCTTGCTCGAGTGCACCGTTGGGAACGAAAAATAGAGCCAGTCGTTCAAAATACAAACATGCGATTTTCATTTACGGTTATTATCCGTCATGCTTGACTCATTTCCGAACGAAATTTGAATATTTCAAGTTTTGTTTCCATACCCCTTTAAGGAAAGCTCTGGCTTCAATTTGAACGTTTTCAACTAAACATATTTACCGAAAGAGCACAAGGAACTGAGCCTAAAGCAACAAATAAATTTCCCAAAAGTGTTTTACAAAATTTTTAGTTGTATAGAAATGAGATATAACTGAAACCGAAACTAACCTGCGACTTTACCAGTCTGCCATCTTGTGGTGACGTCAGATGTTGTATGAACGTCGGCACGTGGGCAGCTTGAGCAGCTGTTTCACCTAGCGTCAGAAGCAGCCAGAAGGCCGTCGCAGTCGTCTGTGGGAAACAACGGACTATGACTCGTCGAGCAACGACCAGGAAATCTTTTGAGATTTCCGGCGCGAGGTTTCAGACGGTTCACCGTTCACATTCGATCTGCTGGCATCGCTTCCGAGAGGCTGCATTTGCGATCCGCCAACAAGCAGACCCAGCAGCCGCTTCGAAGCAGAATGGCATGGGTGGTTTAATTTGCTAGCAGGATATGAACTGCTTTCTAGCACGACACTCGAAAGCTAGGAGCCAGCGTTCGTGTCGGACTGCTCGGACTCACTTCCGTTGTATGGACTTTTCTGTTGGAAACCAATAAGATGTCACTCTGCCACACGTCTTCCCAGTGTTATTGCACCCCACAGCCCATCCCCAATTCCCTCCACACGCTCTCGCATTCGACAAACAGCCTAAACCAGACGCAATTTGCAAAACCACAGACGCTCACTATCGCTACAACGCAGCCGCGGAGCAGGGAGCGTCGTCTACCCTCGAGTGCCCCTGCTCGTTGTTGCCAGTAGAGTGGCAGCGAGGGATTCAGAGGTGTAAACTTCAAAATTCATTTACTCAAAAGAAAACAAATATCTTGATCAAATATTTCGTAGACATACTCACAGGTGGATATTTAGTAAACATTGAAAATTTTATAAAAATTAATGACCATCAATATTTTGCTGGAGCTCACTTATAGTGGTGTCGTGCAGTGTATGCGACGAGCGTATAAATCTTCTGGAGCTTTGAATTCCCTGGTTCGGCTTAAGGATGCTTTGCCTTTCCTTCGGTCACGCAGAGGTGCTGGAGGAGTTGAGCGACAGCAGCCAGTTCATCTGCTCTACCTTCAGTCCCGAGCTGGCACAGAAGGGAACCGTGTTTTACGTCACTCACAAGCAGGGGGTGAGTTGCCCAACTTTGGTCGTTTGGCGCAGTGTGCACGACGGACCGATGCCGCCGATTGCCGGGCCCGTGGACCTTTCCGGAAAGTCACTCGAGACCTTTCGTCGGCCCCATATTGTATTGCATGACTCTGGGAGTTGTGGAGCCGTTTTGACGTAAGCTCGGGACATCCTGGAAGCGGCGCATTTCCTTCCCCCTTATCACTGCAAGTTTGAAACGCAAAGAAAACGGAGCGAATTTATCACGAAACCAATGCTTACTTTGTTTTTTCAATGTTCTCCTGCTTCTTTGCACTATGAAATTGCAAAATGCTGAGCGAACATGAAGCGTTCCTTCTATTTGTACTGCTCTATGCGCCACACATCGGATCGCCGCAGTGCTTCGGAATGATGAGAGGTGCAGACATTTCCGGAATGGTCTATTGACTAGGGAACGATGGTGATGTGCCGTTTATATAATGTGAAGGCCCGTTCATACTCTTCCGACTTCTTAGAACCGAGTGCCTTGAAACCTCTTAAAATCTCTTATGACAAGGGCACACTAGCACCACGTATCACGTAGCGGTGGAACACTGGGTGGTCCTGTATATTTTCAATTTCTTTTGTGTATCATTCTTTGGTTCTTGGCTCGAAAAGCTTTTGTCAATGTTATAAACAAACATTTCTCATAACTGGTACTTGCATTTGACCTTGCAAATACTGCCAAACCCTCGCTCTAGTGAAATGCAGTTCCCGGATCACTGCATAGATGGCGCCAGCGTGTCATATGTTCTCCCTTTGTAAGAGATTTCGAGGCACTTGGCTCTAAGAAGTTGCAAGTGTGTGAACGGGCCTTTGGGTTATTGACTAACTAAAGGTGTTTTTTTTTTTTACACCATGTTCTACATAGACATGTTGACCGGAAAAGAGAATGAGTGTTGGTTTTGTCTCAGCGTGTGTTAGATAAAATAGTGATGCTTTGTAAAAAGTTACCGCCGAAAAAAAAAAAAAAAATTTTTGCTCATTCAGTTTGTGAAGACACTGATCACAATTAGTGTGCCTGTCGTCGTACCACTTAGCTTATGGTCAGAATAGTTGAACAAGTGTTCGTCATCTCCTACGGCAGACATAAATCGCTGCATGTTTTACAGTGACATGATTGCGTGTCAAAGATTTTGACACGAAATCATGTCACTGTAAAACATGCAGCGATTTACGCCTGCTGTAGGGTAACTTCATAAGTTTCCATATTATCAAGTTTCTAGACAACCGCATTTGAAACCCCAACATTCGGTCAATTCCCCCGAGACTTTATATCACATAAGCAACAGGGGGATGCCTACGGCAGATATTGGGACAAAGTATTTTTTAGACGCTGACAACCCGAAGTGCAAGCATGTGATACATGCTCGCACTATTGCATCTCACCAAATGTTCACCTATTACACGCCACACCAGCCGGTAATCAAGGAAAGTCGGACAATATGTATGGTCGATGTTTTGTTGCATGGCAAAATACCAAAAGCATTTAGTGTTTGTCTACTTCAAGGTACTGAAGTCGCACCACTCGTACTGCACTCCAAATTGTATCTTTTGTCGCACTACTCAGTTGCACAATCAAGTTGTGCAACCAAGATGTGCAGCCATATGTTGTGTAACCAAGTTGTCATTTCGTATTTTCAGGCCAGCCACGTGGAGTCCGTCTCTCAAGAAAGGGCGCTGAATTTACTGCAGGGCATCATCACTCGCAGGCCTGAGGACTGAACTCTCAGCCGGGGTGCAACGTTTCTTGTCATCTTTTCTAGTCATGCAAATTGCACCAAAGTTGTTTGTTTTTTTTATTAACGTACAAAATTGTTTTTTGTGCCGTTGTGACCAGTGTAACTGAGGAATCTCTGCCACTTTTGTTTTACATGACCGAAGTCCTGTGGACGAAATGTGCATCTGTTTAATCTTGGGTTTGTTCCACCCCACATATTCTAGTTTGTTTATTTTAATTTTAAATGTGGCAGCGGCACAAACTTGCCGGATGCTTTTAGTTTGCTTTTATCACAAGGCACTGCGTCTCTTTAATTTTGTTGACTGTTGTTTGAAAGTTCACAACTTTTTTTGCTCTAGGCAAAAGTTGACAAAGCTCAATTTTTATGCAGCTGATTTTTATTTGAAGATAATATATTATGAAGATTACCCCATACTGGAAGACAATGCATTTTTACATTTTCGACTAAGGTTTCTACAAAGCGACGATGGTAAATATCACCGGATGTTTTTTTGTTTTTATAAGTTATATTGTTCATGACACAAAATGTTTTTACCTTCGACTAGTCAACATTTTGACTGTTCTTATTTTGGAGCGGAAATTCTGAAGGTTGTCTTTCGACGGAGTCTTTACTTTCTCAAAGCTCTATGCCTTTTTTAAAACTCATAAAAGCAAATATCGATAAGTTTTTAAGCCAGCCTTTTCTAATAAAACATGCAAATGTTGAGTGGTGCGACTGTCTCTTTCTTTTTTTGCCTTTCTACGGACGTTTGTCCTACAATGCATGCTTGTTATGAACACCAACAGGTTCACTTTACAGCCAATGAGCTTGCGGTACGTAGGACGCTGAAGAAGGAATGTTTACGCTTCAAAGAATGATGCGTGAAGATGTGTTGAGCCACTTTCTGCATTTCTTAACCTATCAAAAACTAAAGAATCATTCTCGCTTGAAGAACCATATAGTATGGTTCCTCCTAAAGTGTCGCCATATTTTGCCCCTTTATGGGGCACCAGGAGTTGCAGTAACCTTTCAGGGCAGCAGACTGGAGGTTTGTCAAAATCAAAAATTTTAAAAGAGTAGAGCAATGTTTTGGTGTGAGAGCAATCGCTGGACCTTATCTGAGCAGAATCTTGTGCATGTGCGAGTTTTATTTCCCTCGAGCCGTGGAGGCTAGATGTTTTTTAGTGCTGGCTTCTTTGAAATGTCTGCCAGGGCTCGGGTGTGCGGGTGCATGAGATGTGATTTTCGTGCACCAGTCTCCGACTTCAAAAGATTTTTTTTTTTACAGCTGAGCTTTTAAGGGCTAGTTTCCCCGGTATCGAGTCCGCAGACAAGCGGCGTGTCGACACAAAACTCCAGACAGTTACCGTCATCTACGAGCGGTAGCAGCAACCAGACAACCAGGTTGCCTGGTTGCCACCGTCGCTCATAAATGGCAGCAACCTTTCCACTCTGGTTTTCACCAGAGTCGGAAGCCTGAATTTCTGCTTCGTTCTAGAAGTCGTCCTCAAGGTTGTCCTAGAGGTCGTCCTAGATGTCGTCCCTGAGGTTCGTCCTAAACGTTGTCCTTGAGGTCTTCCTAGAAGTCTTCCTTGAGGTCGTCCTCAAGGTCGACCTAGACGTCGTCCTTGAGGTCGTCCTAGAAGTCGTCCTTGAGGTCGTCCTAGACATTCTCCTAGGTGTCGTCCTTGAGGTCGTCCCAGACATCGACCCTGAGGTCATCCTAGGCGTCATCCTCGAGGTTGTCCTAGAAGTCGTCCTCGAGGTTGTCCTAGACATTGTCCTCTAGGCATTGTCCTAGATGTCGTAAAGGTAAGAGCTTCGCTGGTCTTCCTTCTTTACCAGAGTGAGGCAGAAAGTTTTTTTCTTAAACTTTTGAGGAAGTTGGTGACACTTTAAAGTGTATCGGTGTTAACATCCATAGAGCTGAGAGACTGAGGAAATTAAAAGACAGGAGGCCATGCATACAAGTGCTGGGCTGCCTCCTTGGCCCTATGTTAACAAGTGATGAATTATTGTGAAATGGAATAATTAAATACAGGAATGGGCGAGTTATGTACAAGGAGTTGCAGAAATAGGTACATAATCGCTCGTGATGTCGCACGTCGGACACCACATAAGAAAGACGTCGAGGGGGAAAAGGGTGCAAACTAAGAAAGCCGAAGTGGAGATGAGCGACCTCCCTTCCGTAACAACTTTTCTCGTGCTCGCCCTTTTCCCCCTCGCATGGTCTTTCTTATGTTGTATCTGATAGATGCATCAACTTGCACGACTGAGCCAATAAATGTTTTTCACACCCATGGGTACCCTGATCTTGTGCAAAAATAAAGTTGTTTTTTTTTGTTTTTTTTTAATTAAGATAAAAGGGGGAATCATGCACAAGCTTTCTCCAAGTTACTGTTTGTCCACAGCTTGGTGGTGTTTTTATATGTAGGAAGTTCATACGACCTGTCGGATGGTGATATAGTGTGTCACTTTCTGCTAGGGATTTCTACAGCACCAGAGCACTAGAGAGCTGGCCTAGCTATTTGCTCGTTTACAACAGGCCCTGCCAGGTTCGCCTGTTTACACGTGGTTGGGTAACCTAGAACTTTCAAAACCATGGTTCCAGGGCTTCTGGAACGGAAAACATGTTTGTGCCTCAAGAACTTGCCAATAACTAGAGCTGGGTTTCAAAGGTACAGGGGGGCTATGTTGCACGTTTTGGACTCCCAGGAGACTAGGGAGAAGGAAGTGACGTCAACAACGCTCTTTGGATGTTGATTGGTGGAGTCGCTGATGACGCGTTGCGTGGTGCTGCTAAGATACGTTCAATCCAACGGTTCATTCACACTTAAGTCACATCCTTCTCCCTAGTCTCCTGGGAGTCTAAAACGTGCAACACAGTCCCCCAGGTTCATGCATACGCTCATGGTGTGTGTGCATGTTATCTGACCAAGCCTCTTGTAACCGTGATTTTTTTTTTAAATGGTGGACTGCACAGAACGAGAGCCGATCGACGGATGGGAGGATGAACATGGTTGAAACCAGAGCTCTGGTTGAAACAGTTGAAACCTCTTCGCGGAATAGGCGGCAAGAGCCATGCAAAGGGGAAGGTTGCATCTTGTGTGCTCTCGCACCTTAGCCAGTGCCCAACAAGAACTGATGATGCCAGTGTGGGTCCGAAGTAAAGGCAGCGGCAAAAGCATCCCAGATGCCGGGTCAGTGAAGCGAGCATTGATAAGTTTCCACAAAGGCAATGCTGGGGAGAAGGACACAGTAAAATCTAAAATGGCGCTAACCTGCCATGCTGTGGTAATGTTTCAAAACAAAAATGCATTCCTCCTACTAAAACTTCGGCATTGCCGCGAGAGATGGCAGCACCATGCCGCAATCCCTGATTAAAAATTAAAAAAAAAATATTAAAAAAAAAGTGTTCGCATTGTTTCATTAAGATCTAGTAATTTTAAGAATAATTTTAGCAGGATCAACCGCAACAAATTGCCGAATTTCGCTGTTTTGAACGTCAGCCCTTTTCTTTTATATAAATAATGTTGTCCGGTACACAGCGCTCCGCTACCGCAACCAGAAAATTGAACCCAATTAGGATCGGTCCTGCGTGCGGTTTTTAATAGGGGGGGACGTAAACAAAACTCCTTGAACCCTCCTCTTCGATCGGGAGGAGGCAATTCCTCATGCGTTTAGTTTAGTTGCTCGTTAATTTTGGACATCATGGAAGTGATTCGGACACCCAAAGTACGTACGCAAACTGCCCTCACCTCTTCGCGCGGCATGCGTTCTCAGACTCGAGGCGTCTCGCCGAGTCCTTCAGTCCACGGCTCCCGCTTTACGACCTACATTTTTCGCTTTTCACGCTCGTATATGCCGTTAGCGTCTACATAAAACGTCAAAGTGCATTTCGTTTCGAGAGACGGACTACTTAAATGCTCGTTTGGACGCGTCAAGTATGTGTCGTCGGTCACCCCTTTCGGGCTAGGGGTGTCGGTATGTTTTTGCGTCCGCGAGTTTGACGAAAAACACAGCTGTTCGATTGACGCCAGCGTGTCGATCGATGTTCGCGGTGTTGGACGGTCACCAGCTTTCCTGTGTTTTTTTGTTGCTTCTCTAAGTGCTGTTTTTATCTTTTAGTTGTTTTTCTAGGATTTCTCTTCGCGCAAATGTTTTTATCCTTTCCGGAGTTTTTAGTTGTTCTGGGGTTTCTCTTCGTGTTGTTTTTTTGGCCACGTGCGGCGTTGCCTACATCGTGTTGAAAGTTCACCCGTTTTTTTGCCCGTGTTTTAGTTTCTTTTTCTTCTAGGGTTTTTGTCGTTTGTTGTCCTCCGTCCGCGACGTTGCCGTGTTTCTGTGTTTCAGGTTGAGAATGTCCGCATGCTGGACCGCTTCAACAGCCGAAAATCATCCACCGGATCTCTGTACCTAACAGCCACTCACCTGATTTTTTTCGATCCCGACCGCAAAAAGGAGACATGGGTAAAGAAAACGACGCAGAAAGCATACTTTTTCGCGTTTTCTAGGACTTTCTCGTATACTTTTTCAAGCCCCGTGCAGAGCGACGGTGAGGCGGAAGGCGGGTTCACACAGTTACGTTTGAGTGTGATCTGGTGCGCTCACCACACAACGACATACTGGCGCCATCTATCGAGTGGTCCTGGAACGAACCCTGAAGTGCGTCCGACTAAACCGAAGGTTTTGCAATATTTGTGAGATAAATTCTGTGCGCTATCTGTGAGAAAGGATTGCCGATTACGTTGTTAGAATTATGCAAAGCACACAGTGAAGGAATGACGCGTAATATATGCGCAGATCGGAATTGTTCCAGGTTCACCCAACAGGTGGCGCCAGTGCGCTTTCTCGTGAGCGGTTGCAAGCGGTTTCACTGCTGTCAGTCGCGCCCAAATAGTAAACGTAGGAAACAGCCTTAAGCGGTCATTTGAGTGCAACACCAGATCACAAGCTTGTCCGTGCGTTGCAGCACGTTATTTCTCGGAACCCTCGAAGGGCAACTAGCTGAATGTTGTTCAGCAGTTTTGAAGATCGCCTCCTCCTTTCCTTTTCTCCTTTAGGTAGTAGAGAAGACCCTCTTTTGTGCACTCTGAGGCCCGAGCCGATCTGGTGTGGGCACGAAAGTGACATTTGGACTTGCCCAGTGGGCGGTCTTAACATCCAACTTAGTCATCTGTGTTTTGTGGGGAGGAGAAAGGTCTCCCTCTTCAGCTGCATGCTATTGTTTTTTTTTCTTTTGCTATGTCGTTTGTGCTCTTTGTCCCTTGTGCCATTAAAATTCGATCAATCAATTAACTGCACGTGGGCCATTAACTTTTGTGCACCTATCAGGTTTACATAGTCTAGATTGTTGTGTAGACATTATGCTTTGTTCAGTCAGTCTGCCTCGATGCGCGTCTCATTTTGCCACTCCAGAATGGCAGTATGATAAATTTCTAACAATCATTTTTTGCACCGATTACTCAGGAAAACGTGCCTGCCCGTCCAAATCGAAAGTGGCAGCTCGTTAATTGCTACTAACCACTCTTTTTTGTTGGCTCAATATTTGGCAAATTTCGGAAAGTGTGGGGTTTGGGAACATTTTGCAGGCACAATATTGCACAAATCGCAGTAAAGTACTATGTATTTGTTATAGTGAGAACTACATATTTGCGAGAACAATATATTTCAAAATTTTTTTGTTTTAAAATTGCGGAAAGTAGGTCTTCGCTAAAATTAAGTAATGTACAGTATTCTATTTCCACTCTCAACTCAGTGACACTAAGTTCCACTCCGTGTGCATTGTGCCGTGGTGCTCGAGTGCACACTTCCATTTCTTTTGTGCAGAAATCAATAAACCTTTGTTTCTGTGCTAAATGTTACCCCCAAAAAAGTGCTTCAAAGTAACTGGAAAATGCTACAATTGCACACCACTATCACTTTTCCCCAATTTAACCGAACTGCGCAGAGCCGTCGCGAGAGGTTTTGGTTTTATTTTCTTGTGTATTACTAGTTTGAGGCAGCCGAGAGAGGTGCTTTTTCCGGCAGGAGCTGTGCCTTGCTCATTTCACGTTGTTTGTTTTGCTTCTCTCTGTGGGCAGATCCTACACATGCACATTGCTTCTATAGCCAAGCTGCCCATCTCAGCCACGGGTACCCCACTCCAGATCAGGTGCAAGAACTTCCTCTGCGTAACCTTCCTCATCCCCAAGGAGCGAGACTGCCACGACATCTTCATGTCCTTGCAGCAGCTCTCCCAACCCTGTAAGTGCACGTGCCAGATGCCCTTCGTCCATTTGACCCACGAAACCCCCAAATTCGATTGATTGGAGTAGCAGATTTTTGCTCCGACTCCCGTTTTCTTGCAGTGCACATTAACGACCTGTACTGTTTCCACTACACCGCCTCGAACGAGGACCTCACGAGGTCTTCGGGGTGGACCAAATTCGACTTCCAGTCCGAGTTTCTGAGGATGGGCGTCCCGAACAACTACTGGGCTGCTACCAAGATCAACCAAGATTACGAGGTACTGCCTCCTCCACACGGTTAACCGCTTCGAAACTGAAAGGACTTCTTACTCCGAGTCCTCTTCAAATGGACGTCTGTGTTCTGAGACTTTAGGAATGTTCTTGTTTGAGAGGGAAAAGTGAAAAAAGCTTTGTGGTGTATCGACGGTGTGCTGTTTTGTGGACGAATATCGAAGGGTAGTCTCTGTTGACAATTTTAAAATGACGGGGAGCTCTCTTAGTGATGCTTAGAAAACAAGCTATCTGGTGACTATTCATAATGATAGAAACTAAAGTCTGTGATAGGCTAGAAACCTAGGGGACGCTCCGCCTCGAGCATGCGTTTGTTGTTTTTCACCGGTCTCTGGCTCTGCATGTGATGAAGTGTTACAAAGGAAGAAAGCAGGTGCTGGACAAGTTACTAACGCTAGCTGATGGAGGAGGAATGCAATATTTGGTGAGCATACAGTGCAGTCCGCTTATAATGATAGCGAGAAAACCCTATATTTCAATTGTCATAAATGATTGTTGTTGTATCTGGACTAGAAACTGATCATTCCTAGTCTCGAAACTCTAGAAACTAATCGTCATAAGCAATAGATTGTTATATGTGCTATCATTATAAGTAGATTGCACTGCATTGTTTCACATTAACAAATCCTATAACTAAATAATTCAAAGTTTATTTGTTTGCTTTTTTATTGTAGAAAGTTGTAAATGGGGAGTTGTTTCTCGTAATTTTACAATTATTGAATTTTATCAATAGATTGAAGGTTCGCTGAACTGGTCGATCTTCGAGATTTTACATCGAGCCCAGAGATTAAATGTCCAACCTTAAATTCAACGATAGTTTGGGGAAGAAAATGTGTTTGTTCGCTTATACGTGTTTCAGAGTCTCGAGTAATAAGGCTTTTTATTTGTCTTACCTTCCCCAGCATAAGCTTCCTACTTTTTTTTTTTTTTTTTCACCGACGTTCTGGCATTATTTGAGAGCTTAGAGCGTGTTTGCACTGTCAAGGCACCATAAAAAGCTTACGTTCTCTCCCCGTCCAAGCCTATGCTACTTGTCACATTCCTAGGATGAGAAATGTGTTTTGCAGGGTGGTTACCTTTCTTTTTACGGTCGCTTCTGCCACATTCCAGATATGCGACACCTATCCGCGGTACCTGTATGTCCCATCTGTGGCGAGCAAGACTGTTCTGGTGGGCAGCAGTCAGTTCCGGAGCAAGGGCAGACTGCCTGTTCTCTCTTACCTCAATAAGAACATGGTACGTGTGGTTTGGGTTTGACCCCTGCTCTGTCTCCCCCTTGAACTTAAAAGGGCACTGAACTCCCACCAAAAATTTTAACCTTTTGCGGTCAGACGGAGGGAATCGCCGGCACACCACCCCCGCGCTCGTTTCGACCCGCTCTTTCTTGCCGAAATGGTGGTACCGTCTCTCAAAAAGCTTCTTTAACACTTCCTTTTGTTGTCTTTAAGTGTCTTCCATAAAAACTTTTTATGGGAGACACTCAAAAACAACAAAAGGAAGTGATAATGAAGCTTTTTGAGAGATGGTACCACCATTTCGGCAAGAAAGAGCGGGTTTTTTTTAGTGGAAAACATGGGCATGCTTTGAATTTCATGGGCACAACAGAGATAACTTTGTTTTTACTACATACATTTTATGAAAACTCTTATTTCTTTTATATAAACTGTACTTAAACTAACAATATTATAAATTTTAAAGGGGCTTAGATCCAAGCTTTCGTTTAATGTTTCTTATGCCTTGGATGGTTGTACACCGAAAGCTAGCTCTATTCAAACTTGGCCCATTATTGTCAAAGATGCAAGATTCAATCTATTTTTTTATAAAACAAAATAACAAACACACTTCTAGTGAACTTTAACCCTTCAATATAAAGTATTAAAGCAGAAAAAGGAAAAAGGTATTAAAAGGAAAAAGGGGCAAGACCTGCTTTCTGCCCCTTCAAAGCCCAAAATCGAGAACAAAAAAACTTCCGTAGTACTCTTTTGCTGTTTTTTTCTAGTCAAACATTTTTCACCAACATGTATTTTATCCAGAATGTTTTGAGGACCCATAATTTTTGCTTGCACGATTTGAGATAAAATTTTCCACTAGTGAGCGTACTTCCCATGTGGTGGCACTGCCGTCAAAGGCCGATGCTGTCACAACATTCCATTAAGCCTTCATGACCAGCAACCAGGTGGTTTTGAGTTATCGTTTATTTCAGTTTAAAATTTTTTTTTTTGCGTTTTCCAACGAAATATTGACGTTTCTGAGGTTCTACTGCTACCTATGTCACGTTGAAGCATAGAAGTAAGCTTCAGAATTTTATTTCCATACCCCTTTAACAGCTGCTTTTTATTTTTTTTTTTTGTGAAGGTTTAATTATTTGACATGTTGTATTTTTTTAATTTATAAGTCATATTTTCTTGAAAAAGTTTCATTGGTGCTTTTTATACAACGGTGCGACTCGTATGCATTTTTTTTCTATAAGTATAGACCTTAACTGCGGAAATTTGCCGCTAAGGTTATATATCTCGTTCGGTTCGTTGACGAGAATATTGAACCTTGCTCTCGCTTGCGCAGTGGTTGAACTGCTGCTCGATTTGCGCCAAACTGCGCCAGACTAAATAACCTGCTACATGCTGCTCCAAAGGCTGTATTTGTGCACACTTTGTGCCATGTCCGCGCAAAAAGGAGCTAATCTCGGAAAAAAAACAGAAAGGGGCACGTGGCATTCTCGGTGATGCCGCTGAAAATGAAATACAGTTATTGTTTTTTCGGATGCCTAAGGAATGTGCGAAGAGTATGGCTGTATAAATATTCAAATTATTGAATGGTAGTTTCAAATTATGCGCTACTTGATATTCGTTTTGAAATGAACTGCAGTATTCATACTTTTCGAAGCGTTGACGCAGCGGGTTAGCTTCCTTGAGTGCGCTTCTCCTCGGGCACCAGTGCACTGCACAGAAGCAATAGCCGCGGAGCTGACACCGCGCTTTCGCGACGCGCTTCGCCGCAGTGCAGCTGTGCACTTAGGCATACCTTTCAAGTCTCCCGTATTACCCTGGAGCTTCTCGAATTTTGACCAATTTGTACGGTTGTATGATTGACAGAAAGATCTCCCGGAAACTGCAAATTACCCCCCCCCCCCCAACAGACGGCTCCAGTGATAGCAAGACCCAGCTGTATCTTGCTAGCATGAGCAGTGCATCATAAATGTAATGAAATTGTCTTCATGTAAATTTGTTGTCAATACTTTTTATTAAAAACCGCTACCCCCTGTTTAGAAATTCTCCCCGATTTGGTTTCTCCGAAATTGGCGGGTATGCTTAGGTGAAAAACACACCTTCAAAGTGGTATGATGCACGTGTGCGACTAGTGTACTAAAACAGAAAAAAAAAAGGAAAATGTTGTGATTGTTGATATTTACATTGCAGTAATATCTTCAAAATTTAACTGTGGCTATTATGCACAGGTATATGTTAGGCAAAGATGTTGTAACAACCTGTGTTCATTATTTATGCTTGTTTTTTTTTTTAATTCAGAATTGAAGAAATTATTGGCATTTAGCAAGAAGATTTATAAATCCTCTCAATTAGGTATGGCTGGGCTCCTTTATAGGTCAAATCTGTCCTATAAAGGATAATGTCAAATCTGTCATTTACTTGTTATCACAATGTAGGTGTCGGGCTTTCTGAGGCCACAGTTTAGAAATATAGCTAGATTAAGTTTAACAGGGCTCATGAGCGAGCAATTAGAAGCTTGGGAACGACCTTCCCGAGCTCAGCTGAATTTTCGTCTAACCATGGTGTAACAGTAGTTGAAAACTTCGAGAGCGTTGCAGCAACTATGCAATATTTGATTCAATATATTTGGCTCCAACAACTGTCCACTTTGAATTTGCTTCGAACTCAAAATCTATTGTTTGAACATGCCTAACGAAGAGTTATTAGTTTTTGTGCAAACGGTACTCACATAAATCGCTAGTGCTACTCGTTGTGATTGGTTAGCGTAGCTAAGCGCTCTGCTTAGCTGCTCTGCGAACAGTGGCAGGTTGAATAAGAGGTAAGGCAGCGTGAGAAACATTAAACACAAGTGTGTCAGTTCGATGTCAAACTCACGACAGGCACGTCACCGTGATGCGAACCCTACAAAGTAGTCAAAACATATTTTTACGTCAAACACAGACTGAAGACACCATCGGAACTCCTAATGGGTTAATTGAGGCATTTGAAAAATTACCGGTATATGATTGTTCAATAAATAAATAAAGGTATATCTGTAGCGGCCAGGTCCCCTGTAGGTATGACACTTTAAATAATCTCCCAGCACTCCAACATCTGCAGCTTTTTCCACAGGCTAACTTTCGAAGAGATTGCGTTAAAACTTTTTAACATGAAAGCTCACAATTGTCTGCTCCAAAAGTGAGAATCTCTACTCCAAAACCTTTTTTTTTTTTCTGCTATAAGAGCTACTCCAAATCACCTTTTTCAGTTCCACCACTGCTTGCTCATATATTGTGATCATAATACATATGTGCAGGCATTTCCTTGCCATTTCGCCGGGCTGACCATACAAATATGTAGGTGCGACCTGTGCAAGAGTTATATACAAACCCTTCTCTGAAAACTGCCGTTTATAGAGGGTGTGACTTGTACTAAGGTGCAGCTACTTAAAAAAAATGTTTTCTGGGAAGTTCACTGTCTTTTCGACTGAGAGAAATTGAAATGCTCACAACGGCGCAGTATTGATCGTCCTGGCAGTTCCGGTACGATGTGAAAACGGGCCCTTGTAGCTTGCCTACGTTCTGCCCTGACTCGCGTCTTTTCCTTCAGGCGGCGATCTGCCGTTGCAGTCAGCCATTGTCTGGGTTCTCGGCTCGCTGCGTGGAAGACGAGCAACTGCTCAACTGCATCCTCAAGTCAAACCCTACTTCCAAATTCATGTATGTGGTGGACACAAGACCTCGGGTACGGCTCTTCTCTGCTCTCTTTGGAGCATGCTTCGTGGGGATCGAATGAGTACCACATCGGTCTTGAGCCTTGAACTAATTTAGATAGTTATGCGTGCAATGCGTATGCAGATGCCACCCTAGTTGATCTTAAATGTGCGCTGAATAGAGTTAACAGTGTTGACTTCCAGCTGAACGCTGAAAATAAACCCAACAACTGTCGGCAGAGGTTTCAGGACCACTCCTGGTTTCGGGGGGGTTCTAGGTTACAGTCTGTCTCACACTTTCATGATTGTATTTTTTTTATTTCGTACAATTTTAAAGTTGTGAAGTGTTTCGGGAAAAATTGAGCTGGCTTTTGAGCAAACACTGAGGAGCACTCATTCTCTCCTTGCAGATCAATGCAATGGCTAACAAGGCAGCTGGGAAAGGCTACGAGAATGAGAACTTCTACGAGAACATAAAGTTCCAGTTCTTTGGCATTGAGAACATCCATGTCATGCGCAACAGCCTGCAGAAGCTCATTGATAGTGAGTGCCCGTCTCTCACTCGCTGCGTTTTCAAGGGGCACTGAAGTGGATTTCTGGTGTGCATGCAGTACTGAATAATTAGTAATAGCTTACTCCCAGAGCTGCTTAGAGGGATTTAGTGTTGAAGAAGGAATTCTCAACCTTTAAAATGGACGAAACAGGCCCTAGAATTATCTCTTGGTATGTATGATGGTTGCTGGCAACTCGGTGTCAGAGCTACACAAACCCCAGCCATTGTGTTCCCCAACGTTATCCTAATGTTATATTTTTATTTTTTGCTAAACTCTAATAGTCTCAATCAGCCTCAACATTAGACTAACTAATCAATTAATTGGCAAAACCTTTGCGGGTTCACCGCTTAAAATTCTTGGTTGGTGCACAGCTCTAGCCGCTGTTATAGTTAGTTTATTCTGAGCGCTAACCACACAAAGCGAGGGTACTTGCAGCCAGTTTTTGGTCATCCCTGATGAAGCTCTCGTATGCAAAATAAATTATAGGGTCATTAACATCAGTGCAATCGCGTTTACACTTTGGGGGGCCCCAAGTTATGTACATGGCTGAGCCCAGAAAGAACACTCCCATCGCACGGCCACGCTATCAAGGGAATGGTTGCCACGCCGGTTTCGTTCTCCCGCCGCAATGAGTACTAGTAGTAACGTCGTACCAGTTGATGATCCAGATCCAGTGCTGTTTATTAAAGTAAGGGTTCCCCAAACACACTGTGTTCATAGGCCTTGAAGTACCGTCAACCTAAGAGCCAAAGAGACGGCATGTCGTTGTTGGAGACAACAGCACGCATCCATCGTCTATCAATTCCAAGAGGGAACACCCACTGTCGCTCGAATCATGGGCGGATTTAAGGGGGAGGCCATTGCATTGAACCACCTAAGGTCAATTTTCTCTTTAATTAAAAAATTTATATACAGCAGCCAAAAGTTTAGTTTTTGCTGACATAGCGAATATTGGGTCCACAAAACAGATCTGGGCAATGCTTTGGCCGTAACGCCATTCCTTCGTAGACAACCCCCACCCTGCCAACCAAATGCCTACCCCCCCCCCATTCCTTAAGCCTGACCAATAAATCTGCCCCTGACTCGGATGCGGGCAGGCCTGTTGCCTTGTGCTGACTGGTTTTCCGAGAGAGGAGGAAGAGATCTCCCCATACGGGATGAGAAAGAGGGTATTGCGAGGGAGAGTCGGATCGGGCTACCTGCTCCACCTCCCTCAAACACGACGATAGAAAGCGTGCACAATCACAATTACGTCGAAGTGAGGGAATAAGGATTCCCACAACTTATACTTGCAGACTCGTGTTGCATATTTCATGCGACGTGGTCACACGACACATAACGTAACGCACCACGTCACGTGACACCGACGACGTCGCTTCCAGGTCGCTTTTTTTTGTCTGTCTTTTCTTGCATGGCCTCAACTATAACATATTTTGCATCAGCCGAGGTGCCCGTAATCTGGTGGAGGCTTATTGCAGAGAAGGTGCCGTGTAACCGAGATTTCGGTTGCACGTGAGAAGGTGTGGAAGTTAACCCTTAGTCCTTCACTGGGACATCCCAGATGCTCTTTGTTGGTTTGGCATGCTAGACCCCCAAACTTGACCTTTGATTTGATGTGGTCCGCGTTAAAAATCGTCTCGGGTTCCTTTCAAAAAGCTCGTGAGCGGGTGAGCAATGCGGGCTCACCACAATGCCGTTTCTTCGGTGCCTTCCCACTCCTCGCACCTGCAGCGTGTGAGCTGAGTGAGCCGACCATGAACTCGTTCCTCAATGGCCTGGAGTCGAGCGGATGGCTGCGCCACGTGCGGGCCATCATGGAGACGTCGTACTTCATCGCCCGGGCCGTGGAGGACGGCGTGAGCGTGGTGGTGCACTGCTCTGACGGCTGGGACCGCACCGCCCAGACCTGCTCGCTCGCGGGGCTCATGCTCGACCCTTACTACCGCACCATCGTGGGTTTCCAGGTGGGTGGCACCGGCACCCGTGTCTCACGCCAACATCTTGCACCGCCTTCGTAGAGGGCCACGTACCACGTCGGCACATTTTACGACGATGGCTGTCGTGGGCCTTCGAGGACCCGACAGTCTTGCCACATGACACCAACACTATCGCGTCGCGCCACGTGACCAGACTTACGTCACGCGACGACGCGCTTTCTCGATGGTCACATGAAACTGACGTTATCCGTGACCCATGACGTGGTATTGTGACGTCTTAGGTGTCATTCTGACACGACATTATGTCACATTGTCAGGTGACCTTACGTCTCATGACCTCGTGCTTTCCTGATGGTTGAGTGCGTCACGAGAGGCCTAGTTCCCTCGTCCTCAACGGAGGTCTTCCGGTCCCAGGCTCTGGTGGAAAAGGACTGGCTCTCGTTCGGGCACAAGTTCACGGACCGCTGCGGCCTGGTGCAAGGGGACGTGCGGGAGGTGGCCCCCGTGTTCACCCAGTTTGTGGACGCCGTCTGGCAGCTCACCCACCAGTTCCCTTCGTCGTTCCAGTTCAACGAACGCTTCCTGCTCACCATCCACGACCACGTCTACTCGTGCCAGTTCGGCACCTTTGTTGGCAACTGCGAGAAGGACCGCCTGGACCTGAGGTGCCCATCTCCCCCTTCTTTCTCTCTCTCTCTTGTGGCATTTGAACAGCCTGGGCTGACCCTCACTCTGAGGCATGGGTTTTCAAACTGGGTTCCCAGGAGTTATTTAAAGTTCCCCGGACTATCATTTTGTGTTCCTCGAATTACCTCGACCATCTTACATACAGTGCAATCCACTTGTAACGATAATTAGAAAAGCCGAAACTACAATCGTTATAACCTATTACCGTGGTATCGTTCAGGACTAGAAACTGATCATTTCTAGTCTAGAAACTCTATAAACTGATCGTTATAAGCGGTATATCGTTATATGTGGTATCGTTATAAGTGGATTGTACTGTATTAACAAAACAATGCAGTTATCTTTAGTGTCGCCTAAATAGACCACATGCCAAATATTTAGATTTAATTCCACCTAAAAGTTGATTTTCATTGGTCAAATTTTACGGAGGTGGTAGGGACCCGACGATGGCTTCCCAAGAGAAAATAGTGCGCGTGTATTTCTGTTGCTGCGAGTTTACTGGACGTCTTGCCACCTAGAACTGGTCATTTTTGTTGACTAAAGCCAACACGCAACATGCCATCAAAAACAAACGGGCTTCTACAAAAATCACTTGAGTGGCCATTTAAGTGAAATGTGTTTTTCTTTTGTGTAAGCACCCTTTATATTTATTCATTAATTTATTTATACAGTACCTTTGATTGCCACGAGGGCGTTATCGTGGGGTTACCCGATACACAAAAATTGATAGTTTTGTCATTTGTATCGATCACCGCGCATGAAAATACAGGCTTAGACTTTATTGTTTGCAACGTCCGTAAGCATCTGCATTTCTCTATGTCACCAATGCAGAGACCGGGAAGGGTCGCTTGGCTTCCATTCGATACAGATGGGGATTTCCTGAGGATTAACATTTTGCGAACCCCAGCTCTGAGGAGAGCAAAAGTTCTCTAGAGTGGCAGTCAACAGTCTGCCTGGTGTCCTAGCAGTTCCCTGGGTCCTGAAGAAGCCAGGGCTCTCGGCGAAATGTTGGCTGTTACCGTCGGGCTTCTGGTTAGGTTAGATGGCGCCAAGTCAAGCTCGATTTGTCCACGCTAGGCCGGGCAGAGACGGACAAGCCGGAGCTGTGATGCACGCTAGTCTCGGGAAGAGGGCACTTACCCGCTTTTCCTTGTGATGGGTGTGCAGGCTCAGCTCCAAAACCTACTCGCTGTGGGGCTACCTGAGCAACCACGTCTCGGAGTACATCAACCCACTGTTCAGGGCCGACACAGAGGAGGTGCTACATCCGTCCCTCGCTCCGCAGGCCATCAGGTGGGCTTGCACGGCGCTTATGGCTCTCGAGTAATCGATCTGAGGTGTTTAAGTAATGGTAATCGGCTACAATTTCGGTGACTTGAATACTTCCCAAGTAGCATTAAAGGAAAGCCGAAGAGGTTCTTGGAGAAAACGAGCTAGAGGTGAAATCTAGAGTATCTTTATCCCGTGAATGTGAATTTCGCGTTCGTTTTCCTTGAAGATGTATCTAAATGCTAGAAAACACGAAAAGGCTCCGACCAGTGCGTGTAATTGTAAGCTTGCCAGGTATTTTCCTTTGCACTAATGCTAGTCGTGACGTCTTTTTCTGACCTTTTTGAGTACGGCAAGAGTGTGCTTGCATAGCTTTGATAGCCGCCCAAGCTGCGCGAGAGCGGAGATTTCGAAAACTCCTGAAATGACTTCCTACTCCGGGAAGAAGTGTGATGCCATATTGGGAGCGGTATTTTGAAATTGGTTTTCTGTAGCCTCCATGCAACAAAAATTTAAAAATAATCTCAATATTAGTGATTCTGGAGGTGAAACGAAGACTATTTAAATGTTTTTTTCTCACATACAGAACCACTTCAGTTTCCCTTTAAACTTTCCGTAACTGTTCATACCTTAGTTACATTCTTGATAGATTAACTACCGTTGCATTTCAGATTTACAGCAACAAGTGTGCAAATTCTAATTTATTTGGTCTCAACACCAGTGCTGCATGTTGTCATTTTGCCTCACGGCACTTTGCCGTGAGGCAAAGTGTTGAGCCGGGAACATAACTGTGCCAAAGCCTTTTTGCCGGTGTACTGCCGCAGACGGTGTGGGCTGAAACGGTCCTTCATGCTTTGCCTACCTGCCAGTTTTCGAGCGAGCCTTGGTCTGACCTAGAGTCGGAACGAGGAGTTGGGGGTCTATCCTTCTCGCCAAGCGACCACGCAGGCACATTGGCGTCGGAAGAAAGCAAGCGGGGGGCAGTTGCCCCCCCCCCCCCCCCCCCCCGGACATCTAAAAAATATATAATGGGGACAATACGCAGGAGGAGGAAAATCGCCCTTGTCCCCTGACCATCCCACCCGTTGCGCCCCTCTTACCTGTCAACTAGTTCTGACGCCTCTGCACCCGCAAGTGCACTGGCAGCCAATCTGAAATAATAATTGCATTGTGTGTATGTTTATACAGCCTAGAACCTGGTCTGCCTCAACGAGCGACGAGTCTCCCAGCTGTAGATGAGCAATTTAGCCAGTGCAGTACAACCGCTAGCCTGGGGTCTTTAACGTGCATCACGCAGTAGTGATACACGACCGCACGCCGGTACGATTCTCATCCAGATCGAAACGGGTAGGGTTGGGGATTGAACCCAGGACAGCCAATCTGCGCAAAAGTGCCGTTAAATTGCAAACACTCTGCATGGTTTCAGTTTCTCCCTTCTTAAATCTATGCTCTCTACTTTTTGCGCATTGGAAACAAAACCGGTGTTGCAAGTTATCTTAAAACGTCTATGCAGCACAGGTTCATTGCTTCTTGTCAGTAACTGCAACTGGATGTACTCGTGAGAAAGGTTCTAACTACCGGCGACCCGATTCCATGTCTGCTTGAGCAGATGAGATGGTACGTCTCTGAGGCTTGGTTCCCTCCCCGCGTGCAGGTTCTGGCGGGGCATGTACAACCGCTTTGAGAACGGAGTGCACCCTCGTGAGCCCCTGAGTGACATCCTGGCTGCCACAAAGGATCACATCCTCAGCCTCGAGGATCATGTGCAGCTCCTGGCCAAGGTCAGCCATTGTTCTGCTTCTGTCTTGCAAAAAAAAAAAAAAAAGGCAACAAATTTTGTTTGTGTAAATTAACCCTAGACCTTGGCTTCAAAACACTTGGAGGCCGCTTAAGCTTCGCCTTTGCGATAGCGTTATCAGGTCCCGTTCGCATCGGCTTCTCATGCTCTTCCTGCAGGAAGTGCGGCGGACATGGTGGCCTAATTTTCATTTTGTCCTAGACTCGCGGGTTAATCCCACGCATCGAAAGTGATCCCAAAGTGACAACAAACGACCCCGCAGGAGCAGTTGTCTCGCGTTGCCGAACCTTGCACTCCCGGCGGTCAATCGTACAAGTCGCTTCACAAAATACGAGCGAATGCGAGTGTTATTGTCGTGGTGTTTTGTCTCCCGGCGGCCGAAACTTCCCCGAGCCGTCGAGTTAGAGAGGGACCCGCAGCAGAACGGGTGTCTCCCGCCCCCACCTCCGCCGAACTGCAACCTCCAGAATGGCAGCAGGCAATGGCATGACACTTCTACGTCGTCTTTGCGCGGAAATTGAGGAACCATATTCGAGGACGCGACACGGCACCTGGAGCGTGTCTCCGACTGGTGTGTTAACCGGGTCGTCTCCTAATCGTTTGGACCCTAGCTCGTCTGCTTTCCCTGTTTCACGCACTGGACTGTTTTGAACGACCCGGGCTCCTTCGTGGCTCTGTTTGCGGCTCTGCCAACAGATAGCAGCACTGACTACAGTTTAACCTCGATTTAACGAATCCTGATTTTACGAATTTCCCAATTTAACAAACAAATTCGGATTCCCCGCGCAGCCTATGCACGAAAAATGTCTTTTTCGATTTTACGAAGTTCCCGATTTAACAAAATAATTAGCGGACCCCCGCGACTTCGCTAAATTGAGGTTCAACTGTATTACCACAAAATGTGTTTTATCTTCTTTTTTTTTATTTTTTTTTTTAGAAAATTGTTACGGACGATTGACGCATAATAGCATCATGGACTGGCGTCGTAAACGAGTGAAACGCTGGGAGCGTTGCATGATATTTCGGTTACATATCATGTTTACTATATAATCTTTATATATAAGTATGTGAACTTTATAATATAATACTATATCAAACTTTATATATAAAGTTCAAGCTTCGGAGGGCTCAAACCTGGGTTGGTATGGTGGCAGTTAGATACTATGCGGAGCGCAAGTTTGTCCGCTTCTTCTGCAGGGGTTGTGGTGACCAGGGTGTCGAACCGGAACCGAACCGAACCGAAAACCGGAACAGAACCGTTATTTTTAGCCGAACCGGAACTGAACCGAACCGAAATCTTCGCCGCCATCTTGGAACTGAACCGGAACTGAACCGGAAAAAAATATAACGGTAACCGGTTCAAAACGGTTCACGGTATTTTTTTTTGTTAGTATTACAAATTTATTATTATTGGCACGTGTATTCCTCTACGTATTGATCAAATCGTCATATACAGAATTGCAATGTATAATAAATCCTGTTTTTTGCGGCGCTTTCTTATTGGCACTATGATTAGCCATGTGTCACAATGTCACGTGACGTCATGATGTCAAGACATGCTGTCAAGTAATGTCACATCACGTGACCCCGTGACGTCACGTGACTCACCGCGTTAAGTCGATTCGATATGAGGACGTCGCTAGATCTATTAACGTTGTTGATACCGTGACGTCACATGACATCACAACTTCGCACTGAGAGTCACGTGACACCATGATGTACCCGATTGTCATGATCCCGAGTCAAATGCTCTGGTTCATGACAACCAGTATCGCCAAACATTCGGGTAACGCTCGTGTTCAACTCAAAGATTATGATGGGCCTGAGTCCCACTAGAGCTAGAAACAGAAACAAACGAAAGCGACAAGCCTCAGACACATGCAGCATGTTCGCGATGGTACCTTTATACGGCTTTGAGTTGTTCGGTGCTCGCGAAGTTAGCACGAGTGTTTACAAGCCTGCAAATGGTACCATCGTGTGCATGATACTCGTGTTTGAGCATAGCCTTTATTCTACAAAGCCTGTCAAATCGCGAAATACTCTGGTTTAAGGCTGTCGTTTGTTTCTGTTTGTCGCTTTAGTGGGGCTCGGGCATTATAGCCCCACTAAAATTATATCTGAAGATCAGCCCATGCTCTCTGCTTTGCCAACCCTGCGTATGACTATGATAAACACTGACGGTGTATATATTAGGATCAGATCACGTGGCTGATAGTTCTAATTGTGAGTTGAGGAGGGGAAAGCTGTTTCATTTCTTTCTTTCGACTGTCTGCCATTTCGCGGAGGGGCAAACTAATGGATGCTTTTGCAAGTTATCAACGTCAAGGATTACAACTTAGCGGTATTTATTGAACTTAAGGTAAAAAAAAAAAGATGCTGCACGACCCATTTTACATGTATGCACACCATTGAGGCTCCCAAACATGTTTTCGTTATTGCTGAACTGCCTCAGAAAGTTGTCCCGAGAATAGAAGTGTTAAAGGGTCTAAATGTGACGTATTAGTCGGACGTTACATGGAACTATTAGTGTGTACGGGAGGGATACCTGAAAAGAAAGATCCTAGTGGCCTCACGGGGATAGCCGAACGTTGGCAGCCGCTCTAAGTCTCACAGGAGTGTCGCTCTCAAGTTCTCCAAATTTCGACCGCCCTGTATTTTGTTTAACCTTCACAGTTTGGTGCAAAGTTAAAGCAAGGAAGAATTACTGTTAACGAGTGACACAAATATAATTGTCGAGTGAACACCACTCAATACGGAGCAGGCAATCCCTGAGGAATTAAAAGTATCTTGAGGAGCAACTAAAAAAAAAGGGAGTGGGGAGGGGGGTAGTTTTAAAGCATACTGTGTCGTAAAGATTCCTCTGCCCAACATTTTCGGCGCAGACTAGAAAGCGTGGCCTGGAAACGATAGTGACAGATGGGTAGTTGGTACAACTTTTATTTGTAAAAACACTCTTGCCAGAAAGCACGTTTTCGTCGTGCCAGATACTCGCGCCGTGCCTAACGACGATGTACCAACAAGAAAAATGTGTGCCTCTCAAATACATAGCTTGCACTGAGCGCGAAACTTTTGCAGCGTGCATTTTGCCAAATCGGATTTGATTTTCTCAGCAAGAACAACTCGCAATGACAACCAGTATCTAGTGCGATTACGTCACGTGCAAACCATGTTAAATACTTCAGCTTTCTGGTGAAGTGCGACGTTCGCAACACCAGCAGTAGACGTCCAATGTGTAAAGTTGTGTAGTATTTATAGTAGTCTCGCGATGATATACGGCAGCCTAATGAAATGTTGGAGCACATGACTGATAAAGAACAGAGTCATGAAGTAAGGTCTCAAAACAAGTGCACGTAAAACCTAAGATAACATTAGCCTCCCGAGGTAGTATCCCGCGACGTTTCGAGCTGAGGCAAGCTGATGCCCAAAAGTGATTTATATTAGGATTCTAAAAAATCTTTGTTTGCCCTGCGCGGAATCTATGTTTAATTAGGAATATCATTTTATGCATTTCTATGCATTTCTTTTTGCAGTGAAGCGTTGTGTAAGGGATTATTTAGGAAAAATTGCGTGTCCTCTCCTTATTTCTGCACATTTCGTGTATTTGCCTTCCGATATATCATGTGACCACAGTGTTTTTTGGCATGCCCTGCAACCCACTATTTTACACTGCAAAACAGCTAACAAAAGCACGTTGCCGAAGACACAACAGCTGGCGTATTTTCGAGTATCGTCCTTCCGTGTCGGTCTCAGGCGGTTATGTGAACTTCATAAAGTCAAATTTATCGATGATAATAAAAATATACTTAATTCCTGTCTGAAGATTTGGCAGCATAGATAGAAGATTCTCACCTCCAAGATATATAAGTAAATGCGCCTTTAAATTATCTGAAAGATGTTCGGCAAATATTTTTCGCCGCTTTTGTCCTCTATAGACACGTTATAGGTGATTTTGAAAAGATTTAAATAATGCTTTTTTTTATTATTTTGAGGCTAATTTAAATAACTATATGTGTTCCTCACGCATATATAACTTCTCAAATATATAGAAGTTTATTATCGCGTTTTTTATGTGTTTTTACTATCGCCTTTTTTTACTGGAACGAATGGTGGAACTATGACGATTGCACACTTAAACTCTCAGAAAGTGTCCAATTAGGTAGCTTCCGAATTGAGTAGAGCATGAAATACCACTTTGTTCTATTTAACAAAAATCATCAATTAGCGAGGGTGATGCTTATTTGCAAATTAAATTGACCTGCATTTTGTCAAGAGCAAACCTCAACATCCAGGCTATGCCAGTTTATCCAATATAAGAAAATGTTCACATGGGTAAGCACTGTTTTAGGTCAGATTCGATCTCAGTACTAAGGTGCTCATAGGTTAGAGTGAACAATTTCAGCCACTCCTTTTCGCATGATTCGTCGCCCGCATCATGGTGCTGAGAGCAAACAATATGCTAGTTAGAAAAACAAGCATTGCGATTGTCGCGTAGTGTTCCTATAAAATATAGACTAGGACTTGTCCCGTGACTTTCGTGACATTTTGAAAATTATATTCCCTTAAGCTCAGTCGTCTCGTCATCATATATATATTGTGAAACGTATTCCGTAAAACACATTTCATGATATATATGGCGAAGAGGTGCCCATTTCATGACTGTATTCACTGTAATTAATTCCTTAGTTCAAGGGCAAAACCACGATTCACCATCTAATACTGCGACACAAAGTTGTACCAATCACGGGTATTTTAGGCAACCTACTTCACTTCCGAAAACATTTCGATTCAGGTACAATATATGTGACTCTGGTAAACGAAGGGATGTTGAGTCGTATAAACACGACGTTTCGTATGTTAATATAGATTTTCCTTTCTTGTTGTGTAGGAATAAATAACAGAATTTTATAATTTTGGTACCTGAGATTGAAACTGAATTGAACAAATAAAAAAAAAAAGACTATACTGTAAACGACTATTTTTCGTGGGCTCAATATTTCGCGATTTAGGTCAAAGCTGAAGTTTTGGAATAATTCGCGGGTTGTAATTTTCTCGACGCGGTGGAATCTCAATATAAATTTCAATCTGTTTACATTTTACCGAAATTGTTCGCTGGACCCATTTTTCGCGAATTGTAGGCGATTCGCGAAATTCTCAAAAATAGGTCCTCGCAAAAATCAGATCGTTTACAGCAGTTAGTTTCACGGCCTAAATAGCGCCTATTGACAGAACAACGCGGAAAATATATTCTCAATTTAGCGGTTCAAACCGGTTCGAACCGGTTCGAACCGGTTTGAACCGTTATTTTTTGCGCCCCGGAACTGAACCGGAACTGAACCGAAAGCCGTGAACCCGAACCCGAACCGAACCAATAAAAATATCGGTTCGACACTCTGGTGGTGACGTCAGAACGCCGAGCTCTGATTGGTTCTGATTGAAGGATAGTGGGTAGACCTCAAAGCAAGGTGCCTTGAGGTCTACCCACTATTCTTCATTCAGAGCTCGGCATTCTGACGTCACCACAACCCCGCAAAAGAAGCGGACAAACTTTACAGTATTTACTGGCTGTTGCAAGGCAGAATGCAGTGCAAAGTTTCATCTGTGTATATAAATTGTGAAAGAAATTATAGTCCTTTTTTTTTGGAACACTGACATTGTTTAGGAAAACTATTGTTGCTGCGTTGCTGTGCCAGCGTTTTTATTTAGAACTAAATAGCTAGTTCTGTCTTTGAAGGTATCAAACCTGCCACGCAATTGATGCTAATAAAAGGTTGCACAGAAGCCGGAAGGCGAAATAGGCGTCTTTTAGACATATGAATCTTAACATATACGCAGTGATAGGAATAAAAATGAAGGTGTGCCTATGCACCAAAAGTCCATTTTGGAGCAGTAAAAATCACTTTTGGAGCATAGGCACACATTTTTACTGCTCCAAAATGGACTTTTGGCTGCTCCAAAAGGTGCTCCCAAACGACTCAGTCCAATCACATCACTGTTTTGGTCAACATGAACAAGCTTGTGTAATTTTTTTTAAAATTTTGCTACCATTTTATTTGTGGTTAGAAATTTATATTGAAGGCCACAAATTCGATTTCGAAGACAACAATTAAACGGCTGAAGGTCAGAAATTCCTATAAGACTAAAACCGTTCTGCGGCTGGGGTGCAGCGCATAGCTCAGCTGAGGGACCTCCTGGGGCATGCTGACACCCCGAGCAAGGATATGGATTCTGTGATGGGAGATTCGCTGACCGGGGACGAGATTGACGGCTTCGAGACCAACGGCTCCTCCAAGCCGGCCTCGGAGGGGGCCGTGAGCGTGCGGGACTCTGGCTTCGGGGACAACGACACGGCCTACCAGGACGTCAGGGACCTCGAGATGAGGCTGCACAACTACAGTGAGTCCCCCATTGCCTCCCTGCGGGGCCGAGGCGTCCGGGAATAAAAACAAACTCTGCTGCACTGTCACGGGGGACACTACATTGCGTTTACCTTGGGACTTCGACGTGGTCTTACAGTTGTGTATCACTACTGCGTGATGCACGTTAAAGATCCCAGCCTAGCTGTGGTACTGCACTGGCTAAACTTCTCATCTACATTGTAAACCAGTGTTGCCACACCTCAAAGGCAGACAAACTTTACCCAGTATAAATCCCTTAAAAAAAATTGTTATTTTTTAACACTTTTTTTAGCTAGGTGTTTGGCATTTCGCGAAGCCCAAAAATGAAGCGTGGATAAAAGCATGACTGCGAGGCTCCACAGTGATTGGTTGATAGGTGGGAGAGGAGGGGCGAGGTGCTCGACGGTGGTTGGGTAACAGGGAGGTCATGTGACCATGGGTGAGGTGAAGAAGAGAGGTAGACTAGACAAGGCGGGTTAGGCCTCATTCACACAGCCGGCTCCTCGCCCCGTCCCGGCGCAAGCGCCGTCGGCACCTTGCCGAAGTCTGGACGATGTGGGGATGGTGGAGTGTTCGAACCAGCGGCGATGGAGCTGCCAGTGGTGGCTACGTGAATGGATGGATGCTGCAGCTGTGCCCTCCATATTGGGTGGTAGCTTGCGCCACCTAGCCTAAAAACCTTTCTGCAGCTTTCAAATTCTGCTTCTAACTTTTGTATCCCGTAAGACTGTACAAGTGGTATAACCCATTGATTTTATGCAACATTTCACACTTCCCTTGATCTCTCACCAATCTTGTAACCCCCTATTTGTGACTACTTTGTGGTGGCGTCGATCACCAAATTTAGCAGACGATGGGTGTCGCAACAACTGTTTTGTTCCTTGGAGCTTGCAATTGAGTCGGCTATAACGATCTTGTACGTCTGAAAACATTTTATTTGTCCCTACGTTTCGAAACAAAAACGACAAGACCCACTGCGAGCACGTTTCACATCAATCGCTTCTTATGCCACATTTCTTCCCCAATGATTGACCACCATATTTTTTTTCTTTGGCTGTTTTTCCTTAAAATCGCATTTACATCTATCTCAAAGGAACCGATGTGGTCTCGTCATTTCGAGCAGGAGCTCGGCGGTAAATCTAAGTTTTCGTATGCCCGTTGTTCAAGAGCCCTAAACATCGCACAATGCGCCCGTCGTCCCGCCCCTTCCTGCAAAGAGATTCATTGACTTCATCATTGGGGGTTGGAGCACAGTACGGTCTTTCCCCTCTTGTCACCCAACTTTTGAGAATCCGCCAGATTGAGCAGAAGTTTTCTATTCTGAGATTGGCCTTGGCCCGTTGGAGCGGGACTCCAGTGCCCCCCCGTCTCCCATCAGCGTCGGAGACGTAGAGCATAGCCTTTCGGAGCGCTTCGGGTCCGGCAACAGGATTTGGGCCCCACACCGGTCCGAAAACCCTCTTCCCTGAGCTCTCGCCGGGACGGGGGGAAAACGGCTGTGTGAATGAGGCCTTAGAAGGTTCTGGAAGATCACCAGGTGTTTCATTTCAAGGGTACACATGCCACGCATTAAATTATCCAATGAAAAGTGCCGCGATCGTTCTGGTTGAACAGGCTAGACGTGCTGCTAAATGATATAAACATTTGTGGTGCTAGGACGTTTCACGTATGCAACACAATTGCCTTGCAATTTTCCACATTTTTTTACACGCTTTTGTTACTTGAGTGGTGCAAGCTTGTCCTGATCGGAAAACAGCCTCCGAAGGCACTTCGGAAGACTTGGGCAGAGGGTTTGTTCTTAATAGAAAATTAGGTAAAGATTATATCTTTTCTGTGATGTTGCTGGGACAAAGTATTGTCCTCAAGAGAACCTTATGCTTGGGCAGAGTTGTCGTCCTGGAAGGAATCTTGCAACCATTTGTGCAGAGGGGAGCGTAAGTACCACGGGAGTTGTACTTGAAAGAACCTTGTTTTTTGGGTAAGGGGTTTGTCTTGAAAAGTATTGGCACCTCAAGAAGCACGCTACAAATACCTTCTTGCGAGAGCAAGGGTTCTGGAGAGAATTGGGAAAGGGGTTATTGTGCAGGGGTTGTTAGCACTACACAAGTCATGCTACGAAGTAGTACCCTGTGCTTGGGCAGAAGAGTTGTCCTGGAAGGAACTTTGCAAGCAGTTGCCCCAGGCTGAGTACTATTGGTACTATGAGGGGCAATACTGCCATAAAGCAGGAAGAGTTTGGAGGGCTGTGCAAAAGGAGCATGTCCCAATTTTCCTGACCTGTAACAGAGCACAGACAACCTGCGTTAATTCAACCTCGATTAATTTCTTTTATCATTTAATTCGACTCTGTTCAGAAGTCGCGTCAAATGCCCATACATTTCTATAGAAAGAAAACTTGTTATTTCGATCTTGAAGTATAAAATATGGGTTATTTCGACGTGCCGTCGGCCAGTCCGTCAGCCGCGCTCAGCGATCAACCGCACCGATGAGCACAATCAACTGCGCCCGTCAGCGAAAAAAAAAAAATATTTTTAAATATTAAAGTGCGCGTCGAATTGCAAAAATAGAGAAAAAGAGAGCACATGTTCCGCCGCCGTAGGAGATACATGGCCGCTGCGATCGTTGTGCAACGGTGTACAGTGGCTGGTTATAACAATGTTAGCCGACCTGATCTAAAGCGCTGAATATTCAGAATTTTTCACGCATCTTTTAATTCGACTTTCAAATAATTCAACCCAATTTCGCATGTCCCCTTTAAGGTTGAATTAACGGAATTTAACTTATAAAAAGAGTTGTGTTTGAAAGTACCCTGCACTTAAATGAAGGCTTCGCTACGTTTTCAAGCTTTTCTCTTTCAAGAAATGTCAATTGTTCTTGATTGGTGTGGAAGCCTACCAGACCTTGCAAACAGTATTGGAGCTTATTTAAGCGGTGCTTAAACAAGAAATGTGTTTTACTTGGGGGCGGCAGGAGCCTGGGGAAACCGTCGGGAGAGTGTGGTACCCTAGGTTCCTAGGGACCCAGTTTCAGAACCCGTGCTCTAAAGAGGAGGCTAGGTGCAGGATTTATTCTGATAAAAGGACCTGTGCCCATTTTAAGAAGCTTAGAGGAGAGATTCATGCTGAAGTCCCCTTTTACATAATTTTTTTGTTGTCTTTTTTTCACTTTTAGAATCGGGAGATGGTTTCGATTCTTCAGTGGTTCAGAAGCTGATGGAGGAATTTGAGTCTGTGGCCCTGGACTGGAAGTCGTTCAGGAACATCAAAGAGTGCCTATGTTCGACGCCCTTCGATCGTTTCAGGAGAAAGGTCCGTGGGATTGTCCTCCCTTCGTACCTCCCCCTTGCCTGCTTGCACTAATGAATGCCCTGCATGGATCACGCTTTTGTTCTGCCCCTCTCCAGCGAGGCCTCTTTGCTGTTCTGTTGCACCATACCATCGGCGTGCACTAACCAGCCCTCTTCATTAGTGCTTTTGCGGTAAAATTCAAAATAAGGTAGTGTCGTGGGAAGATTTGTCGTTCTAACGCTGGTTCACATTTGGTATAAACTTGTTATACAGACCTTAATAGTGATGATTATCTTGGTCCGTTGTGAAAGGAGCATGCGCATTGCAGATGCTCTTTACTAGAGACTAACGTTCGTTATGACTGAAGTCTGTTCTAGCCAGCGAGACTGACGAGATGCGAATGCATAACAAAGGACTGGGGCCCTATGTTGCACTTTTTGGACTCCCACGGCGACTAGGGAGAAGGAGGTGACGTCAACGACGCAGCAAACGCAGATTGGATGTTGACAGAAGAAAACAAAGAAAAAGTGAACTTTGTTTTCTTCTGCGGAAACTTGTCATCAGCAACTCTCACCAGTCAACATCCAATCTGCGTTTATTGCGTTGTTGACGTCGCTTCCTTCTCCCTAGTCGCCGTGGGAGTCCAAAAAGCGCAACATAGGGCCTCTGGTTTATTAAAACTTCTGAACTTTGAAACATAGCGATTTGTTATCCAGCTGTACCAATGATCGTCATCAGTGCGCACTTTGGGTCGTACAAGGCTCTTGAGGCGCCAAGTGCGACGACAGCACTTCGCAGAAAGGATGCCGTCGCTACCGGACCAAAGCCTTGCAATGTTCAAAACAACTGCTGTCGAAGAGTCCACCATATAATAGAATGGTGAAATACTTACAAACTCCTTAATATAGTCCATTATACCCAAATGTACATTATAACAGAACCTGTAATAAGTACCGTTGGCTCAACGGCATAGATAAGAAGACCAGCCAAACTTCACAAATCTGTATGTTAGAGCCGAATGTCTGTTGTAACCAGACCTGTTGTAACTTTGTGGTTGAACGCGACCGAGCGCATTTTGCCCGCTCGTGGCCACTGCACGCTAGCACCATCTATGAGGTGGCTCCGGAACACTTCCAATATCTCCGTGTAACTAGACCGAAGGTTTTGCTATGGTGCCTGGAACGTGTCTCTAACTGGTGTGTTTACTGCGTCCAAAAAAAGTTGGTCCCTCGATTTCTGCCCGATGACGTCGTAGAAGTGTCACGCTCTCGCCGGTGGCAATCCTGGCGGTGTCCCAGCAGTGGTTGTGTATGTGGCAGACGCCTGTTCTGCTGCAGGTCACTCTCCACTGTGGCAGTCCACGGAAACTGCGGCAGCCAGAAGTTGGGACGCCGTGACGACAGCGGCACTCACGTTCGGTTTTGCTACTCGCAGCTTCTCGTTGGCATTTCTACGACCAACGGCCAGGATTGCAACATGGACAGCATGACACTTCAGCTTCTCTGATGTCATTTGTTGCCACTTCAGGACGAATTTTGATGTACGGGCAGCAAGGGACGCTAGACACACCAGTCGAAGATGCGATCCGGTCACCATAGTTTTGCCGCATCTGCGAGATGAAATCTATGCACTATCCGTGGAAGACGGACGCGGTGAAAGACTGATGCCTAAAAAATTAAAGAATTACATACACGGATCAAAAGGTGTTCTGGAGCTACCCAATAGGTGGTGCCAGTGGGTTCTCTTGTCGCAAGTGGTCACAAGCGAGCACAACGCGCTCGGTCACAGACGTGCGAACCAGCCTTTAGATGCAGAAGGCTAGATGCTGCCGAGGCGAGCATGAACGGTGAAGCTTTTCGAAGAACAATCCAGCACCGATTCACACATCCGGCAGAATCCCGAGGTGCTCCTCACAGCTTCTGCAGGTTGCCAATGCTGGTTTAACGATGGACCAGCTGTGCCGGGAGTTGCGGAGACGAGTTTCAGAAAATATCTGTTCGAGCTTGCCGCGATTCTCGGTTCCGCCGAGGTATCGTGTTATTTTGCGAGTCGATTCGTGTCGGGAGATTGCCCCATTCAAATACCATGCCTTAGCTCTCTATGACTGAGAGTAATCTCATTTTCAGAACAAGATGATAATTAAAAAACGATCGGGGTATTTCTGTGGACAGACTTAAATTTGAATTTTGCTCACGATTTTGCTCTTATTGATCGGCAAGACCCTTTGAATAATTCTTTTTCTTTTAATTCCATAATTCCATATATTTAATTTCAGTTTGTCTTTAGCAGTGACCTCATTTTCGTGCCGTCTGCATTCATTGCATACTGCTAAGAGGCCGCCCTTGTGTAAGCCGAGTACTGTGCATGCTCGTGCAATAGTTAAGTTGTCCCCCGTAATTTTTAAGAAAAAGGGGAAACAGCCAGAGCAGTACCTCTTCATTAAGCTTTGTCTCAATCCGTCGCCTCTCATACTGCAACTGCAGATGTTCATAAAGTACCGTCTTGAGTAGTTGTGCGTTATGCCGGAGGCAAACCTTCCAAAGTTACTATATGCTTGGGCTCGTAACTTTTACCATACACAACGTTAAGCTGCGTCATAAGAGTGTTGGAAGCTAGTGCAGTTGCTAGGTGCTTGTGTGGGCTGCATGCTTTGTTTATGCCTTTCAGTATTTAAGTGCTTTTTTGTGCATGGCACCTATACACGTAGAAGATGTGCCGTAAAATCCAGAGCAAGCGCCCACGCAAAAGTTGGAGATAGTCGCAAATCGGCGGGGATGAGTGCTCATTTGGTCCAAGAGCAGAAAAGCAGAAAGGGCATGTGGTAGGGTAGACTGTTGTTTTACCAGACGGAACAGTGTAGGAGCAATATAAGGGTCTGGCAAAACCCCCAATTTTTCAAGCAACCACGCCACTCTTGTCAAGTTTGCTTTGCGCCGGCATTCTGGCGTGAAGCTTTACCGCTTTACACCGGCGCACGGACTTAAAGCTTCATCGCTTTGCATTGGCTTCACAGAGAAGCAGACGATGCTGAGGAGAACCTCGGTCAGCTCGGAAGTTTAGTGGAGTGGGTGCTTGATGCGTCTATTGCCTATTCGCAACTCCAATGTCCTACAGATGGTGGAAGAGACTGGCATAGATTCTCCAGGAATTCCCGCGCGCCCGCTCGCCGACGCTGGTCACTGTGCTAAAATTAATTTACTGGCTACCGATCGAAGCGGTCAACGCAAGAGCGTATCACAGGTGACTGAGATGTTGACGTACATTAAGAAAATGGCAGTGTTGATTTTTAAAGGTTGCGAAGTGGAACGCTACGATTTCTATTTTAATGCACTCACTTGTTTCATTAACACCGCGTGATGCAGACGTGCCGACCAGAACCATGCGGTAACTGCAGCACCAAGGCCGATAGTCCGTGTCACCGTCTTCACCCGTTCCTCTGGTTCTTCGTCTTTCCCTGAGAAGGCGAGCGGCGGGATGGAGTTGCGAATATTTCATATGTTTCAAAAGTAGGTGGAGGGTACTTATTGGGACGTGGGCACATGCTCGGTATTTTACGATGGCAACTTTTTACAAATGTCCTCACGCACGCGGGATGCTTTACCGCAATGCACTTGTGTACGTAGGGGGAAGGACTCTCTCGGGGGTGGGGGAAGAAGCTCCGTGCGTTTGTAAACGCTTTCTCACGGCACATCGGTGCACCGTGGAGAAGCACGCTAGAGGAGTCGCAGGGGCATGCACGACACAAAAGTTGCACAATGTGTGGAGTGACGCGTGGCCCGTTCCTGATGAAGAGGTCCCTGTTTCAGTTTCACTGTTGGAGCTGCGGGGAGGTGTTCTGCATACGTTGCATAGACAAGAGGCTGTGTCTACCAGGCCACCTGACCAAGCGACCCGTCCCGGTCTGTCGGCACTGCTACAAGGAGCTCACCCACACCAATTCGATTGACTCTTAGGCGGCTCTCGTCACTGCTACTCTATTGCCGCCACCGCTACGATAACAATGCTATGAAAACGGCGCACGTCGCGAGGCTCGCGGAAAGGGAGGTTGAGCAGCGCCGTTTCGTTTGTGTATAGAGCGCACAGGGTTGTGATTGGGTTCGTTGGAACACTGGGGAAGGTTGCGGTAGGTGCTGCCACCTTTGGGCGTTTCTGCTGGTTCTAGGTGGCAGCTGGTGGGTGGGATTGGGGGGGTGCGGGGATTTGATAAGGGAGGTGGCCTTTCTGGGTCCCGGAAAAGCTGGTGCTCAAAAGGAAACTCCCGTTTTGAGCCTTCCCTTCACCCTCCCTCCTGTTTTGTTCGGAGGGAGTGGTCTCGGTGAAAAAGAGAGAATGTTGTTGAGAGCGTGCGTAAATGGAGAGGTGATGGTGATGCGTCCTGTGCTCTGGGCTGATGTGTTTATATTTGGCTTTGAAGAACAATGCTATGCAAAAGAAAAAAAAGGGATCCTTCTATATGAACCTGCTGCCGACACCGCAGGTATCACACTGACTACTTGTAGGGGTGGGAGAGGCAATTCGTTTTGCTTTAGCGTCGTGTTTTACTTTGTCGTACTCCCCGTTTTAGGATAGCTCGCGGCCCTGGTTTGCCTCGCCTTTTTTTGTTCCGGCGCCAGGCATGCAGCGCGCTTTTCTCCTTCGAGAGAGAATCGCCGGTCAACAAGAGAGGATCAAAGCCGTTTGATTTTATAAGATTATCTCGTGAAGTTTTCGATCATACCCGAGTTTAGGATTGTCCTATTTATGGCCCTTAAGAGGCTTTTTTTTGTGTAACTTGAAGCTTTCCATGTTTGAAGGCATGTCCCTTGCGGATTTCGGTTTCGCCGAGCCTAAGCGGGAGGCACGGTTTTTCTAGTCATGTGTCTCGGAAATTTTATTTTATTTTTTCTTCCGGTAGTAGAGCTAGATTATGTGTTGCTATTGTACAAGGATGTCTACCCTTCCTTTGCCTCAAAACCTTTGATCGCGGTGTTTTATTCGTTTTACGTTTTTAATTAACGCCTGTAACATAATGCTCCCCACGAGTCATGATTACAACACTTTTACTTGTTCGGGCATGCAAAGCCCCTCCGTCTAAACCGCCAACAACGGCCTATTCCAAGCGATCGTTTCCCCCCTTTTTTTTTGTTTTTTTAGTTACACATTCCAGCAATGCGTGTGCTACGAGATTGAGGTCCTCTTCCCGTGTACAGATTGTCTAAAAGTTTAAAACATCTAAGCTAGTCTCGTTTTTAAACAATGTACACCTTCCCGACCAACCTTGCGGAAGAGCCTCGTCGCCAAGGTTTTACCCCCCCCCCTGGCAAAGGCGCACTGGAATGGCGTTCGTGCGAGTCGCCAGTTGTGGAACGTGTTATTATTCGTGCCTGTTGCACCTATACAATCATAACACTACACACACACAACAGCTACTACCGTCTTGCGTGTCAACAGACCCTTTTTGAAAGAGACTTCCGTACCTCTTTCCCTGTGCCGGAGCGCGACCTTTGTCGAACCCGGCGCCTTGAGCAGCGACCATGTAAACCCCTCCGCAAAGTAAGCCGCAACAGTTGTGTGACTTCGTCTGTGACCTTGGGATCGGCTCAATTTCTCTACAGTTACTCTGGCCGTCAACCGCTTTGTACTTAATCCTGGAGACGATAATCGAGAGTGAAGCACTCGAACTTGCATTCGTGGAGAAAATAAGTTAGAGCGCACGACCACCCTTTGTACGGTGTGGCGCCGAGCAAAGGCCAAGTGGGGGTATGATGGCGAGAAGCAAAAGTTAATTGGAGTCTGATGGCACCGTGCGAAAGAAGAAACTCACTTGGCGCCACGGGCGAGGTCATATGCGTTTGTGCACTTGTTTCTCCTGTCCGCGACTGTACTGCCCGTACAGGCATCTTTTGCTGGGACGACGGTGTTTTTCTAAACATGCGTTTACGGAGAATTGCATTTGTAAGCACGGATGCAGGTAGGCTAAATGAGTCTTGTTTGTTTTCTTTTGCTGTTTTATATTTTTTGCGGCGGTATCGCGAGTTTCATTGATTATGGTGAAACGAGTGTCGAGTCTCGATCAGAAACTGCGACGAGAGATTTACATGCAGGATGGGAGAACTTTATTTACTTCGAATAATTTAACTAAGTTTCCGGTTTCTTTCGGTGATATTGTGGTCTTGTCACACCCCGAGTTTTTGCGACTGTTTTGTATGTACATAAAATGGAACGAAAATATACTCTTGCATAGCATTGAATGCACGTCGACGGCTTCTGTTTTATTTTTTTGGCGGTTCGAAGGAGACTCGGCAGAAATGCGTCGCCCTACGCTGGGGGTCTCACCTGCTCCAGAGTAGACGGGTTAGGTGTGTCAAATAAGCCCAGTGCATCTCGCACCATGTGGCAACTGTGCACAGACAAAAAAAAAAAAAAACTATGGGCCATGGCTTGCCGTTGCCTTGGAAGGGGTGTCCGCAACGGACACGCACGTGCGGCGGAACCCCATCGAAAGCAACGAGCCTGCACTGGCCACGGCCGCTGCCGAGTGAGCTCGCTCAGGGTGAAACTGGACGCAGACATGGTTATATTCTGTCACGTTCGATCGGACGGGTGCAAAGTTTGTGGCACATTTGAGGCTAATTGTGGCACTAACTCGAGAACAACTTTTCACTGGCAGCAAAACGGAAGGAGGCAGCTGGCATGCTTGTTCAATCATACATTTTCTGGTAGGCACAAACCTGGTTAAGAGTTGTTCTTTTTTAATATAAAATATACGGAGACTTTTTTGTAATTTTCACGGTTGCTAGAGTAGACTGTTTGAAAGGCACTGGAGCGCCGACTCAGCCTTTGTTCCGCTTTCAGTGAAGCATGTTCCGAGTGTAAATCGCTAATAGAAACGCGGCTTTGAGCCGTTTGTACGAAGGGGATAGAAAATTCATCTGGGAAAGGTGTGCCGTCTCAACTGGACAAAATCAAAACTAAATATTGTCTAAACACCCTCAATGCAACGCAATGCCTCCAAATCACGCCAGGCTTCGCGGCGTCAACGCAGAGTTTGTGCCTCGTGCAAGAACACGCGCTTCTCGTCTGCCAGTCTTTTCGTCTTGCCTCGTGGCACCAAAGCAGCAGTCGTCGCACGCGTGAAACATGCGTTGCACCCAAGAGACAGATTCACTTGTCTGCACAACAACACGGGGACACTTCTCGTTTTGCCGAGTCACTACTGGACGTCTGCCGGCTCTTCCTGAGGCTCGTCCTGTTCGGACGACTTCTGGATGAGCTTCCACTGTTCGGCCTTGCTGAGAGTCTCCTGCGCGAGCTTGCGAACCTTGTCACTTGCTGCCGCTCCTTCGACCTGGGTCACTGCCAGGAGGACTTCGAGCAGAGAGCTGCCGACGAGCCTCTCGGCGACGTCTCGCTTTGAGTGCACAAGGTTGTGGAGGATGCAGACGCCGCGGTGCTGGAGGGCTTCGTCCTTGTGGGCCGCCAGACCCCCGAAGATCTCGACCCAGTCCTTGACCTGTGCCATTCGTGTTTAACGCGAGGAGCGTTACGTTTTCTGTATTTTGGTGTCCAATTAATTATATTTCAACTCTACCACCTGGAAGCATCAACACTAATGCTATGAGGGACAGTTGCCCAAGTCTGACATTGCTGAAATGTTAAAACGTTTGCAGTTTACTGCAGCCCATAGCTAATATAAAAAGTCCTTGGTTTCTTTTTTTTGTTTTGAATTTGACAGGTTTTTATAAGCTCGCTTTGTGAAATTAACAGAATTGCAATTTCCTTTTTTGTATGTTTCACAGCTAATGACAGAGCTCCGTTCTCAATATGTATAGATAAATAAATCCAGCTCGTATTTTTTTTTTCCAAACATGATGCCAAAAAGCTTTAGAAGGGAGCACTCGAAGCTAGGTGAAGTCATACAAATTTAATCAAATTCAGTCGAAAACTCCACCGCCAAGAAATTTTTAAATGTAGGAGGCAGCATCATCTAAAGTAAGTGTGCATGAATTGGACCTGATCATTTGACCTGTCTACACTCCATTTCACTTTAAATGCAGGCATGTCAGAAGCTACTGGAGAAAGCTTAGAACTTTGAGCATCTCTGTTGAGCACACGTGCACATGCGGTGCAAGCACCATCTCGGGCAGCGTGCTCCTATTCCTGTGTTTTTAGCTTGCACATAAAGTGAAATAAACTATAGTTAAAAATTGGTGCACGGCATGCACTGGCCAGTTGGGGTAACCGCCCGAAAGAGTCTTGCCACAATACCTCAACGACTTTTTGGCACGCCACATCGCTGACGGATGTCAGCATGGCAAGAGCTCCAGCCGCCGCCTGGCTGGTGTCGTAGTCTTCGTCCTCGAGGCACAAGGTGAGGTACTTGACTCTGTCTCCCTTCTCGTAGATCCGTACAACCTGTGTGAACAGACGGCAATCGTGCCTATCCCCAAGAGCACTTCTGCTCTAGGTGCACGGTCTGCCGTATCGCTGCAGGCGACGGCAATCCGTTAAAAGCACCTGGTCGGCAGTATGGCAGCATAGAAGTCGAAACGACCGGGAAAAGGGAGTAAGCAGTTGTGAGATGCAACATCTGGTTGTATCTTAGTGTGGACGGGTTGCGACCGATGGCACTTCAATCGAATTTGAGCACGGCTAAATCGACACTCGGGCCAGAAGCTAAAGGGACGCCAATAACGTAGGGCCGAGGTATCTACTAGAACGCAATCTACGGGAGGCCAACTACCCCGAAAAATATTTTTTGGTTAAAATCAGTTTTCTTTCCTGGCTCTTGTTCTGCGTCAATGTCTGGGCCAGATGTGTAAAAGAGGCGAAAACGGGAAAATATCTCGATTGAGCGGAGAGACAGATCGGAATCTGGGGTTCCTAGTAACAAAGGAATTTCACAGAGTACCCTGAAGGGTTCCCCAAGCCTCCGAATTTACTCGGCCATTCCTGTGCCAACATCAAGTGTTCTTTTACCTCTTCGCTTTGTAGGAGATTGAGGATACACTGAACTCCAGCGCGCTTGAGCATCACGTGATCCTCGTAGCAGTAATTCTCCACCGTTGTGATTCCCCCGTCCTTGATGATGTGTGACCTGCAGGGAACAAGAGACCTGTAGGTTTAGCAAAAGGTGCCCACGAAATATATTCCATAATGCGTCGTGCGCAATGCTGTCAAAGCTATTTGTGCGAGCGTGTGGCTTGATCGAGCCTCTCGTTCGCACACACTCCTGTGAAAATGGGACGCTAGATTAAGCCCTGCCCCATGCCACTAGCTTTGGCAGTGCACTTGCCAAGTATAAAATTAAGTTTAGTGATCAGAATAAATGTCAGACTTTTGTTTTTTTATCCAGCTTGTGCATAAATGACTTCTAAGGGTTTGTATATTCATGTTCCTTTACATCAAGCTAAGAGTTCTGCCGTCCTTCTTGTGCATTTTCCATCTTCCAATCTCTGCTGAACTTTGACGTTTCCAGCAATGTTGACAGTGTGCCGTTGGGTACTCCTGAGAAATCTTCTCTTTAACTTCCCAGTTTGTCATTTTGTCTCTGCAGATCTGTGTATTTTACTTTCTCTTGCCACTTTATCATGTGTGCTGGTCTTCTCCGAGCGAATCGAAGAAGACTAACAAACTTGTTCTTGGGCACGGAAAAGGATAATGCTGTTTTCATCAGTTTCTAAAAAACGAAGCTGGTTAATCCTGCCCAAGCCCTTCAAAATTTCACGCTCGTTTCGAGGACGGGGCTTTCAGCGCAGTAGCTCACCGTACGCCCTCACTAATGGTGGCGAGGTTAGTGAGAGCCATGAGTGACTCAAAGTTCTGCAGGGCCGTGCACTCCGGGTGAAGCAGTGACATCAGGGGCCGAATCACTTCCACAGCCTGCAAACAATACAGGCAAACTCCGTTCAGTTCCGGAAAAAATAATTCAACGTAAGTAGCCCATTGAACTTCCGGTTTTAACTGATAAACATCCGTTTGTGCCAAAACTACAAAATCGGTTAGAAGTGAAAGGCTGATAAATGACAGTTGGCATAAAAAAACAAAATCTGTTAAAACCAAAAAACAGATTTCTGGAAACTTTTTGCTCCAGCTAGGACTGTTTCTGTGCGTCGAAATTCTCTCCTCTTAAAACTTGCACTCTCAGTTTTTCGTAATATTTTGCTCACTAATAATCGCCGTTTCCAGCGTCTGTTTGCAAGAGGTCACCAAAATGCGACGCTGCTTCAAAAATGAATAAACACCAAACACCTGTAAGTCTACAGCCTCAACATAAATGACGGGGGAGTCTACGAGAGTAGGGACGCAACCGTGACTGCAATGTGACGCCACCCACGAAAGAAGAAATTTGCACCTCTTTTCGCTTACCCTCTGACCCGGAAAGGCAACTTCGGGGTTGATGGTTATTCCAAGGCGTGCCAGCGCCTGTGCGGAGATGAACTTGCCATTCGGGGTGTTCTCGGCCGCCAGTTTGAGTAAGGCCTAGGCGGATGAGAAAGGAGCGGTCAAACAAAATAATAGCTCCGAGAGTGGGTACGTGCACTTGTTAAAAAGCCCGACACCTTCATTGCACATGCGTAGTCCTACTCCAATGTGCGCCAATATTTATAGCAGTCTCTTGCGCAAGCCTCCAATAGTTACAAGCACAGAGACATAATTTTAGCTTTCTTGAACAACCTAGTTTATGTTTACATTTTATGTAAAATTATGTCTTCCTGTGTAATACCAGAGAACCGTGCAATGCTGGTACAACAAACAGTGCCTGATAAACAATGTTCTCGGCAATTATTTTTTATGCTGGTACGTTACCTTGGCTCCTCCCTGTTGTACGACGTGTCCGCGAAGCTCCTGCTGTTCGCAGATGGCGTTGAAGACCCTGTATGCATACATGCAGGCCACATGTGAGCTCCAGTAGCCTTAACTCAAGCTTATGCATCCTCGGCAGAACGAAGGTTTGACTCTCACTGGACGTTGAGCATCAGAGAAACAAACTTTGTCGTATTAAGCTTATCAACTAGTGACAATAGCTATGTCACGGCAGCTTTATAACTATACCCGTTGTCACCTCAAGAACCAAAGTAAAAAAAGTCCGCTCCTCGCGGAGCATTATTACTTTCTCCCTTTATGCCGAGAAATAAGATACATGGAGGTGTATTTTAGATTGGATCAATGTTATCTTGTCAAGACATACAATTTCCAAATGCCAAAAGCATTGAGTCTTCCTTCGACACTCAAATCTTGTGAAAACTAATTCGCGCCGCGTAAGAACAATGTGCAAACCTTACTTCTTTCTCGAGGTGAAAACGGGTATGGTTACACAACAATTCTTAAAATGGATTAAGTAGGCGCAGAGGTACTTCAAAGCAATTCAAAAGTCATGTCTTTGGTCATAACTCCGCTTTTACAAAGGGACAGGCACAGATGCATACACAGCATTTTTTCGGCCAGAGTTTCAACTCGAAATACAGGGTATCCCAAGCGGACCTTCCGCAGTAAAGTGAGACGGAAAAATCGCCGTCTGCACATAGGAAGCTCAGCTCATAGGAAGTACAGCAGAAGGTCCTCTGGGGCCTTCTGTTGTACTCTATACTCGTATGAATCCGTCCCTAAATGCTTCCGTTCTAGTCTAGTTAGGTATAGTATGGTGGCCAACTTGTTCGTAACAAATAGTGTTTTCAAGTAATATATGCTGAAATAAATATTTACTATAGTCTGCTGCAAATTACAAAAAGCAGGACAAGCTCCTCCTACAAAGCTTTCTGCTCACTATGATTGGTTGTTTTCTCCTCTCACCTTCACTCTGCTGAAGTGGAAAGAGTGTGAAGGCTTTGTGAGAGGACCTCATCCTGCTATGTATTAACCTGCAACATACTATGAAATGTCTAGACAGACGCCTTGCGATGCAAAGCAAAAATGCATATTGATAGTTCACACACGAGTTTTAAAAAACATTAATCATTTGTTGTCTTCAAGGTCTAGACTACACTAGCAACTATGTGAGGATGTTCTAAGCAACATCTGCTAGCGTCGCTAGCAACGAAAATCGGTTGTAGCAGCACTTGACCGCAAGATTTTTGCCGGAAATTCTGGACAGTTATAGTACTAAGTCCCGCCTTCCACGAGGCTCTTGCGGACTCGCTAAATCTCACCTCGCGATCATTTCTCGGCTGTTTCTGCTCTCCGTCGTCGAGAGCGCCACCAAAGCTACCGTGACGCCGGACTCTGCCAGTAGTTTGATGCGTTTTTCCACGTGCTCTTTGGCATCCTGCAAGTGTGAGCAAGGCGCACAGTCAGTGAATGTGCATGACTGCAGGAGGCAAAGGCGGCAAGAAATTTGTCAAGACTTTTTTTATGGTGACGGCCGTCATTGGGGACGTTTCGCAGCCGATCTTGGAGCGTGGTTGTGTGCACTACTAGGTTGTGGCCCACTAAATTTAGCGGCGGATCACAGTGTCTCGTGATGTCACAATTGCCTCTATTTAGCGGAAAAAGCTTGGGTGTTGCATGACGTCGGTGTCATGCAGCCACATCATGACTTCACGGCGTCGTATAACATCACTATGTCAAGTGAGATCACAGCATCGTACGACATCATAGTAGGCTCGTTGGATTTACCTGCATCATTGCAGAAACATGTAGGGCAGTGTTTTCCGGCATGTGTATTGAGATACGATCAGAAGTACACTTTTCTGCACTGGTGCGGGAGGTGCGGGTAAATCGAAGGAGCCTAGCATCGCACGACGTCGCAGCGTCAAAGCAACACCGTCTGCTAAATTCAGTGGGACGTAGGTCCTCTGCATCTAAAGACGGCAAAGTAGCCGTATGCAAGAGCGCCTCAGCTGTCCCCCCTGTTCATTAACAGAACTCGGCGAGGAACCGGGAAATTTTTTTTTTTCCGCGAGTTGATATTAAGATATTTGCGACAAAGAGGCAGAAGATGTTGCCACTGAATGTCGGTGGGAATTCGGAAAGCCAACTGGGCCCGAAAATCGGTACGCGGCAATTCAAAATGCGATTTTTATTCCATGTTGTGGATGGCCTTAGGCTTTATGCACACTATACCTTGCTGCGAAAGTATCGTTGCCTCTTCCATTTCCGTGTTCGGCGTATAAAAATTAATGCCGCACAAGGAGTCCGGCTCAGACCGAATTACCTAGACTTGCTGAATAAGCTACGCTCGGGTGCCACCATCTTGGTGCTTCGCGCATGTTTCGGACGAAGCTTCGGACGGCCGGTAACAATGATTTTAAGCACCAAGATGGCCGAAGGGTCGCTACTCCGAGGCTTAGCCTGTCTAGTGGCTCTACAATTACCCGTATTACATTCGGTCCACAAAAGCAAAGTGACATGCAGTATCCGTAGCACTATCTCCCAAAACATTTGTCGCCTGCACCGCTCGGGACCACAAAGACAAGTAACGTCAACAGATATACGAGGTTGTGGCTGCCATTACCGCTAAATAATTAACCGGATTGGCGGTTGCCAAATCACACCGATAGTATGGCGCTTGGAGCGCGTCTCCGAACGGCGCGTTTACCGCGTCCAAAATGTGCTCCCTGGATTTCCGCTTGACGACGTCTTAGAGGTGTCGTGCTGTCGCCGGCCGTGACCCTGGCAGTGTCGCAGCGGTGCAGCTGGATGTGGCAGACACCGTCAAATCACTACGTTGCCAATTCGGGACCACATTCGATGCACGGGAGGAGGCGCGTTCCAGACACCGTAATGACGGCAAAGAGACTTGAAGAGGTGGCCGCCGCAACGAACGCAAGGAAGCCACGTTCCGTTGCGAGTACTTCAAGCGTATGTTGACCAGCTAAAACAGAGCAGAAGCCGAGAAAGGGAAAGAAGCGACTTTCTCACCAGCTCGTGTTCCTCGGGTACGTGCTGCTTGGCGAACTTGGCGAGTTCCTTCAGCTCCGGCAAGACCTCCTGTTTCTCGTAGCTGTTGGTCAGGTTGACCAGGGTGGTGACCACGCCATAGAGCACAGTCTTCTGTTCCACCTGCAGTGAGGCATGCAGTCTTACACAAAATATTACCTCATTAATGCCTACCTTGGCGAATTAGAGAAACTGCTTTGACTTACTCCCAAGTAGAGATGAAAATGCCTGAAATCAACCCCCAAAAAATTAAGGAAATAAATTCTTTTAATGTGTCTTTTTTAATCTTGTACAGTCACCACTTTTCATGCAGTTTGGGTTTTTCTCTTAAGAAGGCAATAATGCAACTAAAAATACTAGCCAACAATTGCCATCGTCGTCTAAAAAATAGCAACTTCCACAGACCTCTGCAAAACGGTTCGATGCGCATATTGGGCAAATCAACAACCGCAGGCTAAAAGCAAGCGATTATACCACAAGCTTTTTGTACTGTAAAGTATAGCATGGCTTGTGGACTGAAACACACCTTATGAAGGCATCTGCCGGCCCGTAAAAACCACCTGCAACACATTGAGGAGGTGCGTGCTAAGAAACGCACACCTACTCTATTAGATATTGTATACAGTTATTCTGTTTGGCCTTCTTACCAACTGCAGCCAGTGACGCAAGCACGAGGAAGAGCATTTTGGGAACCCCTGCGCTGCATAGGTACACTCGTACAGGTAAGCAGGTATGACTCACCTTTGCCAAGTCGATCAGGGCGTGGATGGCATTTTTGTCGGCGATGAGGTCCTCCTTGACCTCGGCGTCTAGCGTGAGGAACGCCAGCCCCTCCGCGGCCCACTTCCTCAAGTCCTTGTCGTTCTTGGAATTCACAAGAAAACTTGAAGAAAAAAAAGCAAGAATCTATGACAGTTCAGAAAATCTCTAATGCTGTGTGTGGTTGAGGTGCAAGGTATGTTCGCAAATCACTTGCAACATTTGAATTGCGAAGAAATTGCCTCGTTTAGACATTGCAACAAAGGTGTGACAACACTCAATCTTTCTTTAAGTCTTTCTCGTCTTTAACGAGCGGCACTTTCTATCGGAATTTAGCGAAAACACTTCCCCACTAAATTTGGCGGCGAACTCCCAACATCACATAACACTGTGAGGTCGATCATTACGTCGCACGACACTTTGCTTTTCATGACAGGGGACGCGACGTCGAACCAACAGCCGCACTCCATTGCCGAGACACTCTCCATGGCCCCACTATGTCGTGACCAACACAAGCAGTCGAGGTCCTCGGTTCGCTCATTCTTACTTGAATAAAACAGAATCCGAAGGATTTAGTTGGCTTTTCCCCAGAGGCTGCGTGACTTTGAAATTAGAACAAAGTCTCTCAGCTGGTTTAACCTAAGAGGAGCTTAATCGTAGCATCCTTGACTAGTGACGGTACAAACCCTACTGTTGATCTTGTACAAAAGCTTTCAACCCAGCACCATTTTGGCATTTACGGGCCGGCTTGCACATCTGCATTGGAGTATGATAGACTGCGTCACAACCGCTCATCAATTACGACGAGAGAACGCGTGGCGCCGTCTTTTGATCTGCGTGTAACTAGACCGAAGCATTCTAGGGATAACCGACAGATGGTGCTGGCGTGTCCTCTCATCAGTCGCACAAGTGGTTGCAACAGTCGATCACACTCGAGCACAAACTTGCGAACCCGCCTTACCACCTCTCTCGAATCTTCCCTCTCTCTCGCCTTTGGACCCGAGGTCGAAAATAGACATACGAACAAACGGAAGGACGAGTTATCGAAGGGAGAGGGGCAGGCATCTCTTTCGGACACCCAGCTTCTAGAATGTGCCTGTTGCCTTCCACCGCGCTTTGCGTGTGAAACGGGACAACTGAAACTTTTCTCTGCCGCCCTCATCCTCTCGGTGACCATATGTATACGAATGGACAGAATCGGACGTACTTCCTGCAGGTTGCCGCCAGTTTCAGCGTCGTGCCGTCCGAGAACGGTCGCATGCTAGAGTCCGTGCCTCCGAAGGACCCCAGCTTGCACAACCCCTACGGACGGAGACGAGGTGTGAGGTAGTGCCCGACACTCCGCAGGGACCGAGAGGTCACTTACAACGAGCGCCCGGACCCTGATGTTGTCGTTGTGCGACTGATACAGCTTCTTGAGGATTCCCATCCCCATGGAGATGATGCTGGTACACTTGTCCTTCTTGGAAGCGGCGGCGATGATGGCTTCGGCTGCCACACGCTGCAACGGGGGGGGGGTAAAGCGCGAGTCATGCTACCCCATGCACTACTCCGACCAATACGGGTGAAAACACAACGGGCAACGTGCACAAAACTTTTCGACATGTTCGAGTTTGTCTTGCAAGTAGTGTCAAATATGCCAACGCAAGGGACCCATGCCTCATGCAGCCCTTGGAAGCAAAATGGCTGCGTAGGACTGAAATGAATGGCCCTCGGCATGTGTCTCCTGCCTCTGCACGACGATGGTTGTCGGTACTTGTAAGAAATGCAAAGCGTGAATTTTATTAAGGAGCTTTAGATGTGCAGCAATGTACCGGGTGATTCAAGAAGACGGCAGGCTCTTTAAATCGACCGCAAAATTCGGTTTCTTAACCTATCGCGCTACGGCTACGAGCGTGGCCCACAGATGGTGCGAAATGCACCATCTGTGGGCCACGCTGCACAAAGTTGTAGCGCGATAGGTTAAGAAACCGAATTTTGCAGTCGATTTAAAGAGCCTGCCGTCTCCTTAAATCACCCGGTAGATACCATCTGGCGAAAGTGACGGAAAGCTTGAAATGAGTGTCGTCTGCTAGCGGGACGTTGAGTGCACCAGCTAACGTTTACTTGCCGATGGTGTTTGATAGCAGATGATGCGGATGTGAATATTTCATCCTCGGCACACCGAGCGCTGTGGAGCACTCGGGACATGGCATGTTTGTTGCTTGTATTTGCAGGTATAATGCATACATGGACAATGATAGTTTGAGTGACATTGTCAATTACAAATTCGTCCTTGAAACATCCATATGAGCTAGGATGATTACTGACTTATCATGCTAACACACCAAACAGTTATGTTTAGGCCCTCTGAACACGCAAATCAACTCAAATAACTAGAACAGTGTTCTGCACAGGCTCCCTCTAGGTCTTTCCTGTCGACAAACAAACCAGATTTAGCTTGCAACAATTTAGTCGGCTATACAGCCACCAAGTCGTGGCTTTGAGGTTCAGTCCGAGTTACCTGTTGTACTTCGTCTTCGGAGCCGGCCATGGCGAGCATCATTTCAACGACACCTGGTGTAGCCAAGCATTGGTTTCCGACGTCGAGAGGACCCTGGGTGATAAAGGAACAACTTAATTTGAGTGTCCTTCTTGGAAAAGACAAAAAAGCGAAACTCACCAGAAGGAGAGCCGTAATCGCAGACGTCACTCGAACCTTGCTCTCAATCTCAAGGTCCCTGAGCTTGCCGCTGCAGAAAGATAAATCAATCTTAATTTGGAGCACCGGTTCATCGAGCACCACTACACACGACATAAGCCAGAGTTCAGGAAATCGACCTTATGCTTCCGTTTGACCTTACGCATCCATTCTACGCACTAGCAGATGGCCTTATGTCTGCTCGTTCAACGCAAGTTTTACCGTGTAGTTCCAATCACACGGAAACCTCCGAGACTTCAGCTTAGCCACAAGAGTTAGGCAGGACAAGACTGCCCTTTATCCTGTTCACTGTTGACAGGGCAGTGGAGGCCACATGCTTGTTGGACCAGTCAACAGTTGGTCTTGCACTACATGATCAACATTACCAGCGCATACTAGCATGCAGAAAGTGCGGTCTGGCGAAAAACGCTTTCACTGCCCTGTCAGCTTAGCAGTGATCGCAGTATAGTCGGGTATTAACATTTTTCATCAAGGTATCCTAGGCTCAGAAAAAACAAAGTTGGCAAATCTGAAAATAACTACAGTCAACACCTTTGAACAAGGATGAGTAGATAGCGACGTTGTGGTGAACACATGATGAAATGAACTGGCACTGACATAATCACTACTAGTACTGGTGTACTATTTTATTCATAGTTAGCGGGAACGGTGGAACATGTGGCATCGGATACTACCGAAGCACTTCTAAAGACTGGACGCGCAACTGCAGCACATCCGCATCGCTGCAATTGCGGTTTGTGCGTCGAGCCATTAGAATGCTCCGACTGTACCCAACTGCCATACACTCCAGTGTTCCCGCTAACTGCAATTAAGATAGTACATTAGTGTAATCGCTTTAGGGGCATCAGGACAGCAGTCTTGGGTCGCAAACCAAATTACCCCTGCATACATCTTTCCAGTGCTTATCGTCCAGGCAAAAAACGCAGAGCCACTGAGCTGTGGAGGCACGTGCCGAGTGATATTTCCTAAAAGAGGGTCGCTCCACATGCTCAGAGAATGCATTCCACAGCTCGCTAGACAGAGATGGCAACACGCAGAAGGTTGTTACTGGAATGGTCTACAGCAAAAACACGAGGCAGACTACCTTGCTGTTGTCTGAACATCCATGCAACCAATTCTTTGTTTCTGCTTGGACGTACTTGACATAGTCTGTGACCTTTTCCCTGTACTTCTCCTTGGCCCTGTCGTAGTCCATGCAGAAGTAGATCCTCTCGAGCAAGACCGAGCAGTTGGGCCTCGTGTTGGAAGTGATGTCCATGCTGCTCTCATATCGGATCTCTTCAAGCTCACTGGCAACCTCCAGCAGTTCCACAAGCCCTGAATGGGAACAATGCGAGGTTGTACTAGAACGAAAGGTGGTGCCAAGAAAGCTCACTAGCTTTAGCAGAGAGACCAGGCAAGCAAGATTCCTCAATTTGTAGGGCACGACGCTTGTGAATGTCACAAAGTTAAGTCTCAAAAGAAAGCTTGTGACGGAAAACGGACAACTAGAATCGGCAACTGGATGTGGCAAGCTGGAATTTTTAGTGAATGCTCATCCTGAAAGTCCAACCATCGCACACCAAAATTCCAGGTTCATTGTTAAATAAAAAATACTGCCCGGCTGAGATGTTCTGTCAAATGCGGCAAAACTGTGACGGCACTTGACGATGATTTCAACGAGCAGCACCGTCTATCAAAATGATATGCAATGTAACATGTGGCGAATTGTGAATGTATTAGTGGTGAGCGAATATTTGAATAATACGCTGTTCGATATTAGCTTTGAGATGAACTGGAATATTCTTGTCTTTAGCACCGGTGCACTGCGGAGAAGCAGCACCCCACAGAGCTCGCTGCCGCGGGTGTTGCTTCTCCCCAGTGTAGCGGTGTTCAGTAAGAAAGCGCACTCAACGGGGCTAGAATGCCATGATCGACGCTTTGAAAATTACAAATTTTGCAGCCGCGTGCTTAGCAGGAAAGTTCACTTTCAAAGCGGTATGGTTGCACGCGTATGTTTGGTGTATTTAAAAAGAAATGGGAACATTGTGAATGTTGATATCTACATTGCAGTAAAGCTTTCAATATTAAACTGGCATGCATGAGCACAGGCCAATGCGCTATTTACAAACAAGCCCCCCCGAGGTGTGGGAAAACGTGGCCCAGAGCCCACACAAGGTGTGGGCACTGCGCATGCGCAAGAACCAGATTCGCAAGAAGTGGAGCGTCTGCACATGTGCCCTGCCAATAGCAGCGCCACCACAGAGGCGTGACGTCAGGGCCGCCTGTTGGTGCATATGTAGAGACGCCATGACAACCTGCATTAATCACATGATTGAAGAAAGGATACATATTTATAAAGTCCCTCGATTAGGTATACAGTGGAGTCATGATAATTCAAACTGATATTTCGTACTTCCGATTAATTCAAACAAATTAAAAAAAATTTTGGTGGTCCCGCTGTCTTTTCAATGCATTTAAAAGCTGCTTAATTTAAACAGCGTTTTCGCTTAAATCATACTGTTTGTTCGTTGCGGCGGGTTAGCCTCGTTGAGTGCGTCTCTTCCCGAGCACCTGGGTACTGCAGGAAAGCAATAGCCGCGAAACTTGCAGTCAATGCTTTTTTGCAGTACACGGGTGCTTGGTGAGAAGCACACTCGATGGGACTAACCCGTTGCATTCATGCAAGCAGAACTAACCTGGAGATTAAAAAAAGTGAAAGCCGTTTACAACTCCCTGTAACACCGAATTAGAGTGCAGCTCTTAAAGGGATTGTCCGGTCAAATTTTGTATTTGAGAAAACAATTGAATATCATTGTTATTGCCTCGAGACGTATCGTACGTGCAATATCTGAATTTTATATGCCCCTCCGCATGAGTAATTGTATTTATACTGCTCCAATCGCATTCTAGCGTAAACGCTGCTTTCGTTGACAACATTGAAGCTCTGACGTCACAAAACACAAAGCGAGCGTTTTTGTCTCGTCGTTTGCCTGCGAGTGAACGCCTCAGCGTGCTTCGTTTTTATTGTTGTGCTCGACTTGTTTCGTGGTTGGGTGAGATTTTTGTTACGCGGTTGGGTGCCACAACCCCCGGGCAGCACATGCGAGCCCCCCGAGACATGACGTTCCACACTTTTCCGCGAGACGTGCAGTGACGAGCAAAGTGGATCGTCGTCGTGCGTAGGGACTGGGTTCCCGTCAAGATCGAGATCCCGCTTATGCAGCAGTCATCTCACAAAAAAGAGCTACGAGCTGACCTCTAAGCGGACAGAAGGCTTGTAAGCTGAGGTGTGATGCTGTGCCAACGATATTAAAATACGTCCACCCACTCCTCCCCCAAATCGGATCAGTCAATTTAGGTCTGTTCGATTCGCCTGAATTGGCTGAACTAGTTCGGCAGTGCAGGAACTGGTGCATTGGATTCAACCGGAAGTTGCACGACCGCTGCACTGGCGCGTTCGATTCCTCCCAGTTCTGAACGAGTTCAGACCCAGTTCCTCAAAATCTTGCACCGGCTCCGGACTCGGTTCAGCGTCCGTGCAGAAGCAGACGACAAGAGCAGACGTCGATAGCAGACGACACTCCTCGTCCGTCTCTGCTCGCGGTGCCATTTTTCGCAGCGGTTGCTCAAATGTCTGCGATGATTAACAATCACGCCGATATGGAGGTTGCATTTCCTCTCATTTATGATAATAACGTACCCGCGGTGGACGCGAAATTGAGATCATAACCGAGGGTAGGAATTTGCTCGATTATGATATTCTAAAAGCGTTTTAGGCACCTGCTCGCGTAGTTTTGGCTCCCTGTGGTGATCGTTGAAATATTGGCTCACGTAAATGGTTTCTTTTTGATGCTATGTGGGGATCCACAGTGTTGATATTCTTACTTACAGACACGGGAAACGTATTGCCCTCTTGATAGTCCCCGCCTTCAGTTGCTCTTGGGTGCATATTGACGACTCCGATACATTGCAGAGGTCTGGGATTTAGTGCGTTGGCACTCGCATGTCCCCGCAGCTGAGCATAATAATGCATGCTTTGTCCGCTGGTATCTGTGGACGCCCACTAATGGGCCTGGGAAAAACGCCGAGAATCGGCATTTTTTGCCGATTCTCGCTTCAACTTGACGCCAAAGTTACGGTCGATAACTGTCTTGGCCAAGACGCTATCGTCAGGCCTTTGTCTTCGAGGTGACCGGTATACCGACCGCGCGCTACCGCCAGTGACCCCCGACGCAAAATCATCCTGATGCCGCGAATCTATCGTCGAAATGCAAAGATTCCCTTTGAGGGGCATTTGCCGCTACCTTCTAGGCTTGTAACCGACTATAGTTCAGAACTTCCTGGCCGAATCGAACAGACCTTGATTATGCAGCGAAACCGAAACCAACAGCTTGGCCATCTCGAAATGATACCAGAAGTTGTATTTAGCACGCGTGCAGCCCGATATCTGTTTGACCCGCGTGTGAAAATGGAGCGTAGCTACGATTCACCAAGCTCGTCCAAGTCAAGTGACGACATGCATTTGAACGGTTCGCCGTTTGCCTTCGACACGCGGACGTCGCCTCTGAGGGAATGACCCGCAGCTTCATCACCGATCCAGTGGATCCGCCGAAATGTGTACCCAGATGCCGCTTCGTGTACCTAAGTGCCGCTTCAGAGCCGAAATTTGATTCCTATAGCTTTGCAAGCGCCCCTATAGTTCGATCGGCGTCCGTCGCAGTTGTGTTTGTGCGAAACGGCATACGTTTGCTCGAAGCTTATGGCTGTCTGCGAGTAATATCCTGCTAAAAGGCGTGATTTTTTTTGCACGTGCTTGGGAACTGCATTAAAAGAACCGTATTTCAGTAGGGTACTGCCTAGGAGACTATATAATTCGAAACAAAATGCATGACATGCATCGACCAACGCTTGTTACCCCGACCATCCGACAAACCTTTGCGTTTTGTGACGTCACGCAGCACCTACGGGTGTCAGCCATTGACACTGGCGAAATTCGGGGTGCAGTTTCGTACATAGGCTCATGAAAGTTTTAATTAATAACGGGAGATCATATATCAAAATAAAAATGACGTTTGTCTATATGAAGGCTCCCTCGACGTAATGAGCGCAAGAACTTAAGTACTTCCGGTTTCGACCAAACAATCCCTTTGCTCTTAAGGAGGAGGAGGGAAGGGTACTGAAGGGGGCGAAGTGACCTGGGGGGGGGGGGGTAACGTGACGATGCCGATAATGTCATCAGTGACGATGACGATGCGGACTCCGATGACATAATCAGCGATGATGACGATGCGGATGTCGGTGAGGTCATCAGTGATGATGATGATGACGATGCGGATGCCGGTGACGTCATCAGTGACGATGCCGTCATCGGGGAGGTCACGTGACCTCGGCGGGGGAGTCAAGTGACCCTGGCGGGTGGTCACGTGACCTCGGGGGGGTCACGTGACTTTGGGTGTCACGTGACCTTGGGATGACCTTGGTGGGTCGCATGACTTTGGGGTGACCTTGGTGACGTCGCTCAAGCCGGGAGCGGCTCCTAAGAGCTGCGCTCTAATAAAAGATATTTGCATATAGCAATAAGGTTTATCAATTGCTTCAATCAGGATAACTGGGTGTCTCTTTAGGTCTAAATTTATGTCAAATCTGTCATTTACATGCCATCCCAATGTAGGCATTGGACTTTCTGAGGCCACAGTTCATTGATAAAGTTGTATTAAAACTAACTGAGCTTAGAAGTGGACAAGTGTAGGGTTGGTAACAAGCTTCGCAAGTTCAGCTGAATTTTTGTTCAGAGTAAAAGGCTTGGAGAAGCTATTCGATTCGAAAATATTCGGCCAAAACCATTATTCGCTTCGAACTTCACCAATGTTTTATGTGTTCGCCTGCTTATAAATAAGCCCGTGTAGAGGAAAGTAAAAAATTTGCTTGGTATGTGTAGCTATTGCTATAGAAAATCGCTACTCTGCTTCACATCATATTACAGCAAAACTGTTTATGGCTAAGGTTCCATGGACTTTTCATGTGCGTCAACAAAAACTTTATGCTTGCACGGCCGCACGCCTTCCCTGTATAAAAGATTAGAAGTAAATAACAAAAACAAAGCGTTCACGAACGCACGTGCAAGATGCCATTTGTTTTAGGCTTTTGCTTTAGAACAGTCACTGCTGAACGCACGTGCGAAATGCCATTTGTTTTAGGGTTTTGCTTTAGAGCAGTTACTGCTGCAAACGCCGGCACATGCAGCATGTGGAACACCATTCCCTGCATTCTCCTTGATGCTTGGGTAATTTCGCAATAGTTCTATTCAGTAGATTAGTTATCAATGGGCACCAATTTCGAGATCAGTAGACTCTCAGGTAGATAATAAAGGTTTCTCGAAATTTGCCGCTGTGCGACCCACGTCGGCCATGTATACGCTCGCACCGCCCTCTCTTTGTCGTCGTTCCAAGCGCTTGCGTGCCTACTTTCCTTTCCTTCCGCTCTCCCGGGGTGGCGGTCCCGTCTCGTGTGTCTACTTTCCGCCGGGTGGTGGTCCAGCTGCACGTGTCTAGTTTCCTCCCGCTCCTTCGGAGCGGCGATAGTCGTCCAGCGAAATAATAACCGCTGATCAAGACTACAATAAATGTGTGCGCATACCTTTCGTCATAATGACCACCGATCAAGACAATAAATTAATTTGTACCTCTGTTCAAAATTCTGTGTCACGTCTGTGTCGTGTGCTAAACAGCTTCGCTGGTCATCCACTTCACTTTCACAGAATGGAATGGTTCACGATTTTTTTTTGTTGAATTCGTGATAATTCAAACTAATGATATTTTAAACTAAAGTCTGTGGCTTCCTGGAGTTGGAATTAGAATCGACTGTAGCTGGGTATCTCTATAATTTTATGTCAAATGCGTCATTTACTTGCCAACCCAATGTAGACAATGAACTTTCCGAGGCCACACTCGATAAATATAGCTGGATTAAAATTAATTTGGCTTAGAAATGGACAAGTGAAATCTTGGGAACAACCTTCACAAGTTCAGTTGGGTTTTCATTTCAGCATGGTGCAGCAGTGAAAGGCTCAGAGAAACTATTCGACATCCAATTCTAAAATATTCGGCCAAAACCACTATTCCCTTCGAACTCAAAGTTCACTATTTACACATGCTTAGATTGCATAAAGGACTTCTCTTCATCCATGCACCTCTCCTTTGGGGGCATTGCATCATTTGCTCAGAAATGCCACCGTGCTTACAATCTGACCGCCAAATGCCTCCGCGCCTACTATACTCGGCGACAACTTTTCTTGGCATTGCAGTGGAAGGTACGTCCCGCGTCCCCTCTCCCCTTTTGAGTGTACGCAGGCTCTCCTCGTCCCCCATTTCCGGGGAGAGGAGGAGAGCCCGCGCACACTCAAAATGGGAGAGGGGACGCGGGACGTACCTTCCACTGCATTGCCAAGAAAAGTTGTCACAGAGTATAGATTATCCTACTAATACGCAGTTCCTACCCTATACGTAGCGGAACGGGGAAGTGTTAATGTACCACTACCTCGCCCCTCTCCTCTCACTCTAGATGGTGTTACGCCATTGGTCGAACGCTACGACGTCTAACCAACAGCTGCGCCCTGTTGCCGTCTCCCCCTCTCCTATGGCCTTGCTACGATGTGGCCAACACCAACACAAGCAAGCAATGTCCACGCAGGTTCCAATATAAAGCTATCGCTTCATAACAATCGGTGGTATCGGATGCAACATACGCAATGGTTTAAACAGAATCTGTGGTAGCTGAGGGCATTCGTGAGACCCCAGTAGGCCTGAAAGATGTTGTCATAGGCTGGTGCAAGCGGGGAGTTGCCGTACCGTCTGAGTCAACCAGCTTCATTCCCCAGTTGAGACGTTCATAGTCTACATTTTTGGTGAGCAGCTCAAGGATGGCATCACGTCCCAGCGCCGTCATGACGCGACTCGAGACACTCTTGACGAGCAGCAGCATTATGGAGTCGATTTCTTGCTCGTGTTCTGCGAGGAAGACGAAAGAAGAATTGACAATGATTTTGATACGGTTCTCTCTAAAAATTTTTAATGGAAACAAAACTGGGTAATGAATGACCCGCATTATCATTCCCGCTTGTCAAGGGCAACTCGTTAACCTTTGAGCTTAAGTTGCACCCACTTTTCATCAGTTCTTTGTCCGGTTTCTTGGAATCTTTGGAGTCCATGCCGCTGAAGACGTTAATCATGGTCTGGAAGAGGTACTGGACAGCAGTCACTTGCTGGTTGTCTTTGCTGACAAACTGGTTGACCATCATCGGGAGGCCAAATTCCTTCAGCACCAGTGACGCCTGCAGGAATCGATTCACTGCTGTGTTTACTGGAGCATGTACTACATAGTAATCACATAATATGTAGGCTTTTGCTACAATTGTAATGTGATTATCAGCAAGAGTTTCATTTTCCAACCACTCATTCGACCACTCTTGCTTATTCAAATGGAAAACTTGGCGACTTATACCAACAATGTACATTAACGTAATGAATGTCTGCCATACCCATTCGGTACTTTTCTTGCAGAGTTCAGCAAAGATCCTGATGCAAGCAAGCGAGAACTCTGGGCTCTTGAGGCTTCTCATGGCAGCTAGGCACTTGGCAAGTCCGTCCGACTTCACAATCGCCTCGGCGCCGGCTTTCTCCCGAGCAATCACCACGAGGTTGTTTCCTGCCTGAAATGCAGATCGGAAACAGTGTAAAGACGGAATTTCGGGATGGAATGTTCAAGGTGCAAGAGACTCGAGGGTTTTGTTTGAGTGGCTGATGCTAAGAGCTTCTTCCGGTAGATGCCGTCAAGCATGTGCCGATAAGTAAGAATGTGCAAGACACACTGCATTCAGCATGGTAGCCAGATGTCATCAGCATATGACAGATTCTGTGAGCAACTAAGTCTATGAAGTGAGGCAACAACTTAAAAGTGTTTCATGCAGTGAAGCGTTGGAGGTGTCGCATACCTGGACCTTGAGTTCGAGGTTCAATGTAGGGTCACCGACGACTCCCAACATCTGACCGACCTTGTTGCTCGTGCTTGCGTTCTCCTTGGCCTGTGAAACATGACAGACGAAACGAGCATTAGGTTTTCCGGTCACCCTGGGCTATGTTTAATGGTAGTCATGGTGTAACTGCTTACGACAAGGGAAGACAGTGGCACAATCTACCAATCAGTGCTGGAACAATTCTCTGTCTACAGTGGCGCCATCTATTGGGTAACATTGGAACACTTTTGATTTGCACTTATTTTAGGCATCATCCTTTCACTGGGCGCTTTGAATAATTCTGACAATGTTATGGGTGAGCGTTTCTCACAGATGGTCTATATATTTCATCTCGCAAATACTGCAAAACCTTCAGGTTATGCGCGGATCGGGAGTGCTCTGGGGTTACTGGATAGAGGGTGCAGTTTAGAGTTAGCAGTTTAGAGGCGCTTGCAATGCAACAGATTATAGTCAAATGGAATTTGTGAACAAGCCTTAACAGATCGACAGCAAATACTGTCAAAATACTGAGATATCTGCACAGTAGCAACAAAGGCTATATAGTAAGCCCAGCTAACATGAAACAGCCAAGCTTCCACGTCTACCAGAAATTGTTTTTTATTTTCTTCCTTAGAAACGATTAACGTTCAACCTGCTACATACCCTTCCTGGTATGTAGAAACTTACAATTTCCTGAATGGCTTGGCTGAGTCGCCGTAGGCTCGGCTGAACAGCAGTGTTCTTGGGATCCAGGTGAAGCACCTTGCGGGCGTCCCTGAACGCTTCCTCTACCTTTCCGAGCGCCTCGTACGCCTGGCTTCGACGGTAGAGGGCCTTCACGTCCGAAGGCGTCATCTCCAAAACTGCAATATGCCGTTTTGCTCACTTACGAAACGCGTCATTCGCGACTGGGTGGATTTACTGTTTTAAAACTTACAGAGAAAACTTCCAGCCTTTCCACTCTGGTGAAGGAAGACCAGCAAAGCTGTACTATGGTGGGAATGAAGTAATGGCCGGCCACGAGTCGGCAAGGTAGAGTGAAAAAGCCGGAAAGTTTGCTGCCATCTATGAGCGACGGCAACCAGACAACCGGCAACTGGTCGTCTGGTTGCCGCCGTCGCTCATAAATGGCAGTAGCTGCCCAGAGTTCTGTGTCATCATTTGTTTGCTGACGGACGCGATCCTGGGGAAACTGCCCTTAACAGCTCCACAGTAATAGTCCTTTTTTTGCATGGAGATGGGATCCAGTAGTAAATGCATAAAACTCCTTTGGAGGCTATACAAAGATTCTCATTTTAGTAGGGTGACCAGACGTCCCGTTTTGGCCGGGACAGTCCCGTTTTTGAGGTCCGTTTCGGCCGTCCCGTCTTTTTGTCCCAATAAGGAATCATGTCCCGTTTTCGCAGAAGTGCATAATTTCGAAATTACCACAAAGCGAGTTGAAGGAAGCGGAAACTATGCAACTATACCAATTTGTTACAAATATATTTTACAAAAGAAAAAAAAAAAAAAAAAAACGTAGGTACTTTAAAATATCTACCCAGTAAAATTGAGAGAACTGTTCTTGCCTACAAACACGTTTTTTTTGTCGAGACTCGTGAATAGAAATATTTTTTTTTTTAGTTACCGAATACAGCACGCATGTAGTACGTTAATACTTTCAAATAGCAGTTCTTGCATTAAATGTTTTCTCCCAATCTCAATCTTTAGGATGCCCCCCCCCCCCCCCCTTCCCGTCTCTCTCTCTCTCTCTCTCCTCCTCCTCCTCCTCCTCCTCCTCCTCCTCCTCCTCCTCCTCCTCCTCCTCCTCCTCCTCCTCCCCCCTTCCCCTTCCCCCCCCCCCCCCCCCCCCCCCCCCTTCCCCCGGGCTGGGATGTCCCGTTTTCAACCTTGAGGAAAATGGTCACCCTACATTTTAGGCTACCCTAAAACGGAACAGGATTATTTGGATCGACCTGTTATGGCCTTGAAAGGGTAGAGGATCTCTACACGTCCTGAACAGTGGTGAACTGTACTAACACATACGCTCGTGAGTGTGTACATAAAAAGATTGTACATCATACCAGAGCGCAAGGTGACGAACCTCACCTTCGGTTGCATCCTTCACGGCGTCCTCGTATCTGCGGAGCTTGATGTTGGCGGCAGCTCGGTTGTTCAGAAGCACAGCCTTGTGGTTCTCCTCGTCGGTCAGCTTCAAGGCGCTGTTGTATTTTTCCAGCGCCCCGACATAGTCGCCGGCTTTGAACAAATCGTTGCCTTCCGCTTTGATGCTCTGGGCTTCGTCGGACGTCCCCATGCCGTTGATTTTATTCCCTTTTCTTTCCTTGAGGAGAAACCTTAAGGATGGGAAAGGTAAGTTAGGTAACTCCCGCAGCGTGTCTCTTAGCTGTCAAGCGCTCGTGGATGGTTCGCAGGCATTTGATCTAGAAGGTTCTTCTGGTCTAAAAATAAACACAGACCGAGATGTATCCTCCTCCTAGCTTTCCAAACAGGTAGGTTTTGGGATTGCCAATAAATTATAAAGCGGAGACCATACATTAGAGCCGTCTTCAACAGAGCAGGTTGGAACGCCATAGAATGTGACCATATATGGATTTTGTAATTCAAATCGATCGTACACTGCGTGTTGTGTTTATGAGAGTGAACACTGTGGCATACCTGAGACTCGGAAGAGAATCGGATGACAGAAAAATTGCTGTCTCACTCACGTCAACAAAACCCACGCCGGTTCGGAACTTGGATCAATGGATTTGCGCGTGTAAAACCGGTTCCAGTTTTCGCGATCTGTGCGACACCTGCGGAAAAACGCGAAAAACTCGACTGGATGCGCTCGGCTCTGAGGAATCTACGAAAGAACTCGTCAATCCGAGTAACTCTGAGTGGTTCAAATTAAAGTGAGGGACGTAAATAAGTTTTGATGACGTCAAGGATTTTACAGTTTACGACGCGGAAGTTACGAAAGTCGTGTGACGGAACGCGCGCTCTGCTGGCTCGTCGTTTCTGGGTCGCTGCTCGCGGTCTTGGATCCCGTGTTTGCGCGTGAGGTAAAAATAACATTTTCTTTCACTGTCCCACGGAGCCTGAACCCCGGTAGCTTTGGAACGCAGTGATCTGTGCCTTTGAATCGTCCGAGTCCGTCGAGTTCGCTTTCTCAGCTGTCACGTCGGCAGTTTGTTGAGGCTTGCGAAACGTAAACAAGCTGGCTCCTATGGCTAGCGGTGCAGAATGCCGCGGTAATGATTTGCAATGAGTTCAAACAACATCTAAAAAACGAGTGCTTTGCATTTGTGCGTTTATCTTGCCAAGTGTTTCGGGGCGCGTGGTGCCTTGACATATTTGCTGAAGCGCTCGGGCAAGTGGAGTGAAGCGATAACCGTTTGAAGTTGTCGATAACGCCTATCGTTTTTCGGGTGGGAGGTGACTTTTTAACAGCGCCTGTGTGCCCGCGCTTCGAACTGGTTCAGATAGTGTGACTCTAACTGTTGCTGGGGGTGTGTGATTTTTTTTTGTGTTGCGGCGCGATCTAGTGAGTTTGGGGCTTTTCACTTGTGTAAGTTCTGAAATATAAGCCTGCTCTTTTTCTTTTTCAGATATGAGGCTAGTAATTCTGGACAATGACGACGACGTATCCGACTGGGCTGCGAGGTATATTCGGAAGAAGATTCAGGACTTCAAGCCCGGTCCGGACAGATATTTCGTGCTGGGACTGCCGACAGGTTCGTGCTGTGTCGGATCATGTTCTCATAAAATCAAAAACAAAGAAATGCTCCAAAAGAGTGTAGTGTTTATGGGGAGCCGTATGCACCGTTGCGGTGCGAGGAGCTTGTCTGCAGGTGCAAGAGTCTGCCTGTATCGTATTGCGTTTACGCCGTTGTGTTCATCTGCTAACGCGACACATATGCTTGTATTTGCAAATGCATAACGCTTGAAGCTGCATCTATGCACTTCTGTGTGTCTGATAGTGCAGTGATCGGAGAAGCATAGCTTGCCTGTGCAGTTATGTTATTGCTAACTAATGGCTCTACCAAAGTCGTCGTTTTTTTTTGTTTTTTTTTTAGATATATTTGTTTTTTAGAAGTGTAGGTGATATATGTAGATGGGTTTGTTTTATGAATGCATCTACATAATCCACCTACACTTCTAAAAGTTTCTGAAACTATGCTTGTGGAACTGTACTTCATATTCATGGGAATGTTTTCATTTGCTAACCCTTGAAGCACCATGCCGCATCTGTGTGGCTGTTCTTTATAGAAGTACATTCTACATGCATTTCCGTTTAAAATATTTGGGCATTCTATATACACAGTAATTGGCTGTATCCGGTTTTATTATAAACCGGTGCGACTGTAATGTGCAGTGCCAATGCTGATGATGCTTCTCTGATGACTAAGAGATCCTGCTTTCCTCAGGGGGCACACCGCTTGGCTGCTACAAGAAGTTAATAGAGTTCTACAAGCAGAAGACACTGTCGTTCCGTTATGTGAAGACGTTCAACATGGACGAGTATGTTGGTGAGTGCGCTTTAGGAGTCTCGGTCTGCAGTGTCTGGCCTACAAGCGTTTAAATGTTTCCCACAGGGCTACCCAGGGACCACCCAGAAAGCTACCACTCGTACATGTGGAACAACTTCTTCAAGCACATAGACATTGCGCCCGAGAATGCCCACATCTTGGATGGCAACGCCGTCGACTTAGTTGCGGAGTGCGACCAGTATGAGCGACTAATTGCCGAGGCTGGTGGCGTCGATTTATTTGTTGGAGGTGAGATCTACGAATAGTTTTTTTTTTACTCTGTTCTTTCTTGACTGCCTTGCCTGGGAATGACACTGCTTCATTTACTTTAGCTCCACATACTTTTCTTGTGTATTAAAAAGGTGACGGATGTTCTTTGTGAAATCAAGTTCCCAAGCTCAGCCTTGGCACGAAAGAAACTAATGCCATGAGCTAGATGGCTTATTGCACTAGATTGGCAGCTAATGGAAGAGCACAAGTTTCCAAACTCTTCTTGCAGTATCAACCCAAGATGGAAGCGGGTACAATTAGCCTATAACGTAGTAGGATTGAATTACCGTAAAGTTCCAAGAGAATGCCCGCCCCCGCAAGATCACCCATCCCATTTTTCTAGCTGCACATCCGTAACATAAAAATTCCGAAAAATCGCTCGCCCCACGATTCTCACTGAATATTTATTATGCAATGTTCGAAGGGAATCGGATCAATTACGCGATATGCGGTATCGGTACGCGTGACAAGCGTGTTCGCCGTGGGTTCTCTCGTGTTTATCGCACCGCGATACGTGAATCTGCTGTATCCGCAATCTGCAGTATCTGTTGCCATGACATGCATGTTTTTAGTGGATTACCGCACTTTTGTCCGCGATCTGCGTGCGCGATATTGGTTCTTTTAACACTTGAGTTTATAGAGGGTTTTCGCACGTTTATCTTGCTGTGATACGCGAATGTGTTACGTCCGTGTTCTACAGCATCCGTTCTCGTGACGGGAGTTCGTAGCAACTTCCCGCATACTTATTACACCGTGAGACTCTGATTTTTCATATCTTGAATCTGCAGTATTAGTTACGGTTTCACATAGTTCGTAGTGACGGCCCACCCCCTACCCCCTTCGTGCTTATCACCAATTGTTTATAAAATTTTGCTGTTGCATCCCCTAACATCGCCCACCCCATACTTTTTATCATTTACCTCTTTATCTTATCTTGAGTGGGCGTTCCTCCGAAACTTTACAATACACTTATGTCACTTGTTCTGAGAAGACTATGACTTGAATCAGGTGGCTACTACATCAGGAGGTTTTCTGACAGCAAACTCTAGGTTAGTAGCCATGGAAATTGTGACCATAAGTACCCTCTACTGTATAATGGTGGATAATATGAGCTGCGACAGTTCTTCATCCTTTTTGGGTGTACCTACCGGTTTCTAGAAAAAGCTTTGGTTCAAGCTGTTCGGTGAAATGTGAAGCTTAGGTCCTATTCTTTGAACTCCATGACAAATTGAGCGATAATATTAAGTTAGGGGTATTGCAAACGCAGAAAAAAAAAAGCCGGATTGAGTGTCGTAGCTCATATTGTCTACGGGAATATTTACCTTCCACCAGTTCTGCTGTTTGTCGAAAGTGGCTAAGGTCTTCCCCCATTCGCCATTCCAGGCATTGGTCCGGACGGGCACGTAGCCTTCAACGAGCCCGGGTCGAGCCTGGCGTCTCGGACTCGAGTAAAGACGCTTGCCAAAGACACCATCTTGGCAAACGCCCGCTTTTTCGGGAATGACCTCAACAAGGTGCCAAAGGAAGCCATCACTGTCGGCGTCGGTACTGTCATGGATGCCCGTGAGGTACCTCAAACCGAGTTTCACGTGACATCCATCTCTGCGAGACTACTCCCGACATCTCCAAGAAAAGCTTGAAGGCCCGTTCACACACTTGCATTTGCTTACGACCTGTAAGGGTCGTAAGCAAGTGCACTAGAGCGAAGGTTTTGCGATATTTGCGAGATCGAACATACAGTCGTGCAGATACTGAATAGCTCCACTCGAGCGGGCATTCTTTTCTGAGGAGCGCTTGACTGGCGGCGTATGTTCGAATTAGCGCCGACGTCGGGACGTGGCCATGTGGAGCAGATATGGGGGAGCCCATCAACGTGAACTGCCGTTATCATCTGTGCCCAAGTCACCATAAAAATAGCACAGAGAAGCAGGTAAAGGTTGGAGAGCAAGCTTACGGACGGTTGAAAAGTGCCTACACCGCTCCCGACAAGGTCGCAGAAAATAGCACTTACAAAAAAAGAAAGAAATTAAGAGTAATTCAGTAAAAGAAGTTTAAACCGCTGAAAGAGAGAGCTCATAGTTATTTTGGTTAATTTTTTCTCCTCGCCCTCGAATGAGTAGCTGACGAGCTTGCCGTTTCGCAAATCCTTTTTCCCTTTTCCATCGCACCACGGTGACACAGGCGCAGATGATAATGGCAGTTCGCGTTGATGGGCTCTATCTACTCCACGTGGATGAGTCGTGACGTCAGCGTTGGTTTGAACGTAAGCCCATGGTCAACCGCTCCTTGAAAAAAAACGCCCGCTCACGCGAAGTTATTTAGTGTCTGCGTGACTGTACTATGAAAAATGGTCGTTTATAAGACTAGCAAAAGTTTTTTAAATAAAAAAAAAAATTTGGGAATAACAGAAGTGACGAGTGTTCCACGGGTACCCGATAGGTAGCGCCGATGTCTTCTCTCGTCGCAAGAGATCCCAAGGGGTTTTACAGCACTCGGTCGCAAGTGATAGCAACTGTGTGAACCAGCCTTCACTTTGTCTATCCATAATGATTGGGAGGAAGTGGCTCACCGGATGGCTTCACATGCCGCTCATTGATTAAAGTTGCACAGCGAGACGCACCACGAATCTTCTTTGCAGACCAGCAAAACTAAACAAGGGAATGAATTTCGAGATTGAACAAAGTACTTTTTGTAATTTGTCCCTGTTTGGCAGACAAAAAAAAAAAAAAAGATACTAAGAAAACTTTTTTTTTTTTTTTTTTTTTTTTGCTGCACAAATAAACATTGCATTGCTGAATGCATGCCAAAGTTTCAGAGCTTGCCATTATTTGATTCAGAAATGATGAGTGGCTGGAGGAGATTTTTAAGGAGGAAATGGCAGACAAGGAAGGCCATGAATATCTGGAGGTGAATGGTGTCGGCTACCAGGAATGGGCTTTGTTTCTCGTTAAAAAATTTCAGAAAATTGCTTGTAGCTTTTGAATGGGATAACAGCAAGCTCTGAAACTTTGGCGTCTGGTTGGAACCGCTAGAGCTACATTTGGGGGAAGACTGATCGTTTGGCGACGCATAGTTAATTTTCGCGGTGAAACAGACGCCACTTGTAGTATTGCTTATTAAGCAGTACTCAATAGTACTTGCAGGCAGTTGCTAGACATTGGCTAACAGAGGAAAGCAAAGCCATGTTGATTGCGCTTTTACTTTTTGACAGATTTGTTTTTGTAGCCACTTGTTAATGTTCAAATGAATGTTTGGAAGCTAGTAAATATCAAATATTTATAGCAAGTTAGGTTTCTCCAACTACAAATTAAACAATGTGCAGCTGCATGCGCTTGGGTTTTTTTTGTTTTTGTTTTGTTTTTTTGCATTGTACTAAGCCTAATTGAAGGTAGGAGGAGGAGCAGGCTACACACCGGCTCAAGCCAGCCAATTTGAGAAATTCAGAAGTCGAGGTTGGTTGGAACGCCCCCAAGGGTGTGCTTTCCATCCAATGGTGTCTTTTGCTTTTTTTTTTTTTTTTTTGTCATCAGTGGACATCAGTGTCCCTTTAAACCGGAAGTCTCCCCCGGCGTCCGGTTCTGGTGGCATCATCTTGCCTCCACAAGCTTTCTACCTCCATGTAGGGTAGAGTCCATTTAGGGTGAGACTGCCAGTGATTTGCAACCCTCGGATGCCAGTTGTGCTCCTCAGCAAAAAGCAAATGCTTTCAACAGCAGCAATTTCACAATTATCCGCAAACCCTTGTCTTTGCACGCTCGTTCCAGGTGATGATCCTCATCGTTGGAGCGCACAAGGCTTTTGCATTGTCCAAGGCAGTCGAAGAAGGGGTCAACCATATGTGGACGGTCTCTGCTTTCCAGATGCATCCACGAACCATCATTGTCTGCGACGAAGACGCGACCAACGAGCTTCGTGTGAAGACAGTGAAATATTTCAAGGGTCTGATGCATGTACACAACCAGCTCATAGAAGGCCGCGACGATGTGAAGACCGACGACCAAAAGGAGGCCAGACAATAGGTTGTGTGCGGCAGATAATCAGTTTCTTGTAGATAATTCCAAAAACATTTCTTAAAGTCGGTAACCACTATGATTGTGTAGGGAACGACGGTGTACTTACGAGGATGCGCAACCCCAGAAGCTGCATCATGTTGGTGGATGAGGGTCTTGGCTGTGGAAGCCTGTGATGTATGCTGGTTTCTGGATTGTTCTTTTTTACAATATAATGTTTATTTTTTATATTGACCATGATCATATCCAGTTCATTTTGTGTAGACAGTAGCCACGTTCGATTTACCTGCAACTCCTGCATCGGTGCAGAAAAGTGTAAGGTGATGTACTTTCGGTTGTATCTCAATATAGATACCGGAAATAAACTGCCCTACACTTTTCTGCACCCGTGCAGGAGGTACTGTGAGATTGAACGCAGCTAGTGTTCAGCATGTGGGAGTGCTTGTCATGGCTTGTAGTAGATGCATACTCTTTGGTGAGTTTCACTTTGAAGTGCACTGGCCTAGAAGAAACTACAAGATGGCACCTGGAACATGAAGAAAATTCATTAGTTTACTAGGTACTTCCATAAATCAGTCACTGCACGCATTTTATTCTGGGAACCTGTGGGCCAAGAGCGGAGCATGTATGTATTTTGTTTGTTTATTTTGGGGTTGAAGAAAAATGGGAAGCCAGGTGATGTGTGGGTCGTATGCATTTTGCTTCCCAGCGATTCTCACAATGCATAATGTGGCATTAGGCCACAATCAGGCTTTTGGAGTTTTGGAATAAGTCTGCAGAACGCAAGTTTGTCTGCTTCTTTTGCTGGGGTTGCGACGTCAGAATGCTGAGCTCTGATTGGCCACGTTCCAAAATTTACTGAGTATAACTCTAGAGTAAAAGGTTGAGCGTTCGAAAACCTACCCGCATCCAGCATTACTCAATCTGTCTCGTCACATGACATGATTCGCCGGAGTAATTCGGATTCATTTGGCTAAGATTTGGGACACAGCGATTGACTCAAATTGAAGGAAGGTGGGTAGACCTCAAAGCTAGCTGCCTTAAGGTTTACCCACTATCCTTCAATAGGCTTGTTTCTCTCGGCCAGGGGGCACTGTAGCGTAGACAAGACATGACCCAACGTTATTAGAACAACTCGGTTAGGAGACTGCCATACAGCCTGCTTTGAAAAAGTGGCTTCGATCCGTGCTCGAGAACCAAACTAATGACGATCACACCACCACCATTTCTCCCACAGCGGCCACTCCGGGAACTGCACGTCTGCATGTATTGGTTCAGGTCGAGTTGCGCAACGGCCAGTGGCACCATCTTGCATTGCCACTTTGCAGTAGCAATATGAATCAACTTCCACGTTTTGACTAGTCGCTAAAGGGTGGCGCTGTTATCATTATTAGTTTGGTCTCGGTGGACGGGAAGAGTCCGGGTTTCAAGGGCGAGTTTCCCACCCGAGTGTTTTAGTAACATTGACACGACCATAAGGGCCCGTTCACACACTTGCGACTTCTTAAGAGTAAGTGCCTTGGAACTTCTTAAAATCTCTTGCGACAAGAGGACACACTGGTGCCATCTATTGGGTAGCAGTGAAAACTTTGCGGTCCCATATATTTACTATCTCTCTCGCGCATCATCCTTTCTTTCTTGGCACGAAAAACTTTCGTCAACGTTATAAACGGTCATTTCTCATAGGTAGTACGCACATTTGACCTCTGAAATCCCAATAAACCTTGGGTCTAGTAAAATGCAGTTCCAGAGTCGCCGCATAGATGGCGCCAGCAAGCCAGTGTGTTCTCCCGTCCCAAGAGATTTCAAGAGGTTTCAATTCACTCTGTTGTAAAGAGTCGCAAGTGTGTGAACGGGCCTTAAGAGAGGTGCCTCCGCTGGCGTCCGCAAGACACAACCATTTAATGCCAACGTGAAACGGCGTCCTAGCTTCCCAATCGTGCACGATCCATGGGCGTAAACTTGCGTCCCTCAGCATCTGTCCTCAAGCATTAACTGTGTGTTTTAAAGGATGAAGTAGAATGCGCTGCAAAAACGACCTAAAAACCTTTGATTTTGCTCGTCGGGGGGGCACTGCTCAAAGCTTGAGAGCTAGGGGAATCTGTGGCCGAGTGGGCTAACGCGTCTCAGCTCGGTGCATGGAGCGAAAGCTTGCGCTGCAGAGCCTCGTGGATTCGATCCCCACCCCTGCCCATTTCAATCTCGATGAGTTTTGTACTGGTACATGTTTGTGCAGTCATTACTGCGTGGTGCATGTTAAAGACCCCAGGTTAGCGCTTGTACTGCACTGGCTAAATTTCTCGCGATTAAAAACGGCACAAAACACAAGGACACAGAGGAGATACATACAGGACAAGGTGCTGTATGAATTTCTCTCCTCTGCGTCCTTGTGTTTTGCACTGTTTTTCCATCATGAATGTTTACCAACTAGCCCAACTGTCCATTCTGCTAAATTTCTTATCTATGGCTGATACAAGCTACACATTTTTTTCCTTTTAGCTTGAGAGTTACAGGTATATCAGAACTAATCTGGGCTCGACAGTTCCAACGTCGCCATAACCAAAAGTGACCGTATTCCTCATACTCAAAGTGTGTGTGTGTGTGTGTGTGTGGGGGGGGGGCGACGACAATTTAAAATTGTGACGTATAGTTAAAGTCAACTAATCACACTGTTTATTGTTTCATCCACCGTAGCTTATTTAGTGGCACTAATCCACACCATGCAGCATTACTTGCCCTCCAGTTCCGGTACTTTTGGCTAGAATGGATCTTTTTTAGTAGTCCTTAATTTTTGCTGATGTGTCCGTGGTATTGTGCACAGGTCGTGTGCACGTCCACCTTGGGCATTAGCCAGCCGCGTGTCTAAAAAGAAGTGGGGGGGGAAATGCCCCCCCCCCCCCCCCCTTTCAATCAAAATCCTGGCTGCGTGCTTGGCATCAGCATTGCCTTGGGTGTTGTCACTTGAAGCTGCGTCTTCTCTGCAGTTCATAGCGTGTTCATCAACGGAAACACCCTCTCCACTGGTGCATTCGTACCTGGCAAACACATACAGTACTCGATAATTGCCTTCATGTTGCCGCAAGGCACGTCATTTCTTTTGAAATGCTGAAGCACTTCCACCCACCGTTCCCCAACCGGTTTCTTCTGGCTCACCCATTCTTCTCTTCTTTTTGGCCGTGACATAGTGCAAAAGTTGCATGCGTCATCAAATAAAGCGTTCTCCTCAAGACGGACATGCCTGAACTCTGAAGTGATGACTAGACCAGGAGAGACCGTTGATCTCATCAAACTGGTTGCACCATTGCTCGAGGTACGACATGCATGTGTTTGCCAGGTACGAACGCACCAGTGGAGAGGGTGTATCCGTTGATGACCAAGGTATGATCAAGGTGTGACCAAGACCTCGATCGTACCTTGAATGCTGTAGCTGTCATACTTTCCAACCAACCGCTTTTTAGCGCAATTAACCAGAACAATAACCGAAGAGTTCGCAACACCGTTTAATGCGAGGCCTGAATGGTTACACCATCTAAGCAATGTCAACAAAAACGTTTGTAGTCGCAGAGCGATAAATTTAGGTTTAGGTAAAGTACGCGCCATAGTTTCAACGCGCAAACATTGTTGATATGTACCTTTCTTTGGACCCGTATACCTTCAGTTCAACTTGTTGACAGCTGCACCAGCGTGAGAGCCCGCGTCGAACACTTGCACACATATCTTGGCCTTCGACTGGCTTGAACACTTCACTTCTAGCAGCACGGTAGGTCTTGCTTGAAGTGATCATCATCTCGCACACGGCAACAAACAGAGAACGACACGCGTTTTTTTAGTTTATATGCTACCGGTCTACGGAACGGACGATAGAGTTGGTCGTGGTCGCTAATCTTTCTCCTTTTTTTCCGCCATGTTGGATCGATCGGAGCGCCCCCTATATTCGCTGAAACTCTTCAATATTCCGGAGATCTCGTATCTCGTTGTTGCAGTGACACTAAACGCAACAGTACAAACAATGCCATATCGCTTACAAGCTTACTGATACCTTGCTTATTGTTCCTGGAAGTTCCAAGTGGATGAACGCTGCTGCTGGTGAGAATCGAAAAGTCGGCAAACTACACTGGGCCGTTTTTTTTTTTCTTTTGTTTCTTTTTTCGTGCACGCGAGTTTGCGTGCGCTCACGTACTCCGTTCGAGTTGGGTACCTGCTTACGGGTAAGATTTGAGTAACCTCGGCTTCAACAGTTTTAGTTATGATTGTAATCTTCTCTTTATGCGAATTGAAGTCACACATGATGTGTCGTGCATACGGGGTGAACCTCGCCTTCGATGCTGCGTAGTGGCGTCGCCCGAGCCGGCGAACGTTCGGAGCACCGCAGAGCGAACACCCTTCGATCAGGATGGAGACCATCTCCAAGTTCGTCCAAAAGAAGGTAATTTACGCCGGTAAGGGAGACCTTCCTTCCTTCCACAAGGGCGCGAAGTGCACCTTCCACTTCTGCGTGAAGCGGCTGGACACCGACGAGGACGAACCGGACGCCGTGATCGACGACAGTCGCAAGCTGAGTCGACCCATGGAGTTGCTCATCGGCAAGGAGTTCAAGCTGCCCGTCTGGGAACAGTGTCTCAAGTCGATGAAGGTGGGCGAAGTGGCCCAGTTTCGGATACACAAGTCGCTGTTGGACAGCTACACGCTCGTATCGCAGAGCTACCGGTCGTTCGCGGGCGCCGGCGCCCCTCATCGAAGGCGGTGCTGCGGCATGATGACCGACGAAAAGTACTCGACTGGACACGCTGACCTAGACAAGTTACTCGAAAAGCAAGTTGATCTCTCGTTTACGTTCGAGCTGCTGAAAGTTGAGGAGCCGGGAGAGTACGCTAAGGATGTTTGGGCGATGACGGCCGAGGAGAGGTTGGGTGAGGTGCCGCGTCTTCGGGAGCAGGGAAACAAGCTGTTTCAGGAAGGCGACACGGAGGCGGCCATGACGAAGTACAAGGAAGCCTTGGAACACCTGGAGAACCTTCTGCTGCGAGAAAAGCCCGGCGACGACGAGTGGAAAGAGCTGGATAAGATGAAGATACCGTTGCTGCTGAACTACTCGCAGTGTCTGCTGAACCGGGGCGAGTACTACGAAGTGATTCGTCACACCTCTGAGGTGCTGAGCAAGGACCCCGAGAATGCCAAGGCTCTCTTTCGGAGGGCCAAGGCGCACCTTGGGTCGTGGAATCCGCGGGAGTGTCGGACGGACCTGCTCAAGCTCATGGAGGTGGAGCCCAAGTTGACGAAGGTGGTGCAGAAGGAGCTTAAACAGCTAGAGCTGGAGGAGCAGCTGAAGAGAAAAGAGGACAGCTCGAAGCTGATGAAGATGTTTCAGCCCAGTGCGAATGCGTGAAGGATGATGCCCCATCCCGCAGCCCTATGGCAACTGTGTGTTGTGAAGCACAACGAGTAACCAAGAACTGTTCAAACGGATGCAGATATGGCAAGGAGCTCTGCTCCCCCTTTTCTTTTGCAGCTTTGGGTGGTTTTTACTACGTGATAGGATAGAATGTTTATATAGTTTTTGTTGTTTAAATTAAATGGCTTTATGCACTGTTACATGCTTGCATAACACAACTGCATCTCCTGCAGCTTCGGTATTTGATGGTTCTTTCTGGTTCACTGTTTCTCGGTGCCACACTGTTATCACTGCTCAGACACATCTTCCGCCACAGAACCTGGTCCACATTTCCTTGCTTCATATTTCGACTGCTAGATGGCGTCGCCTTACCCGAGTTTATAATTCGCTAAAGGTTTGAGTGCAGTCACTCATGTTACTCTGCTGTATGTAGTTACCCATCTGTCCATTTTTATTCTTACCCTTGGAAGGCCTGGCCCAGACTCTAATGTAAATTTGTTGATCTCACTAAGGATTAACCTCATACGACTGTGATTTTATGTCCAGCAAGGGAAATTCCTAGGTTGAAAAGCCTGAGTATCAAATTGCTTTGGGTTTCCCAAAGAAGTCGCATCAGTACCGATATTTAGTAAATGTAGCTGGTAGAGAGCTCTAAACATACCTAAAGGTAACACTGTACAGGGCTTCATACAGAGCTCCAGGCATATCTGAAGGTAACCAAATTAAACCTTTGTTGGAGCAAAAAAAAAAATGTGAAGCAAACAAACTTGCTCATTGTCCAAGGTCGGATTATTATACAGTTGTCCCTGATTGGTCAACTTGAGCTTCACTTGGCTGGCATTTTCTTGCTTCATGCAGCTGCTGGGCATACTCTGGTTTGGGTGTATTTTGTCATCCTCAATGGCAACTCTCAGAACGCTCTCTATGTGCACACAGTGACACTCCATCATCAATATCTACTTTATGCAATGCTTTGCTCTTGTTTACAAGTTTCAATTGTGTGGAAATATTTTACTAAGTGTATCCACTCCCCACTTGCATGTAAGGTTATGTGCTGCATTTAAAGCATGTCCCAACGCAGTAATTTACATACAAAGTAATACTGTTTGTAAAATTGTTTTATACAATTAGAACTTGCATTTCGAACCTGTCCAAATGCCCGTTTTCAGTTGAATACTTGGGACATCCTAAACGACATTGCACGCGATGCAGCAGTCCAACATTTGGTAAATTGCACCATGAACAAAAATCTGCTACAGTGCAATCCACTTGATTATGAGAAAACCCGATAATGCAATCATTATAACCGATTATCTTACCTGGATTAGAAACTGGTCGTTTCTAGTGTAGACACTCTATAAACTGACCATTATAAGCGGTATATCGTTATGTGTGGTATCGTTATAAATGGATTGCACTGTACACCCGCCGGCAATATGAAGGTGAACACCTTGCCTGGTTTTTTGCCCGTTTTACGGCCCCCTAAAGTTATATTAACTTCCAACGTCTCAATTGGTACGTGGCTTGGGGGTCTAAACTTTGCGTTCTAGCCCTCTTCTGGAACAGAGCTTGTTCCAAAACTTGCAGGAGCGTCAAAAACAAGAAGAGGGCTGTTTACCTTCATATCGCTCGAGGGTGTACATCTTGCGCCAAAATGTCCTTTTTGCTAAAAAAAAAAAAAAAAAAAAAAAAAAAAAATTGCGCCCCACCTGTGCCAAAATAATTAAACAAAAAAAAATACTATTGCTCGATTTTAATATTTAGAGAAATAGCAGGAAGTAAAATGGTACAAATATGCTATACCTCAGATCCTCTCTATACTTTGTTTCAGCTTTGGTCCGAGCGTGGCCGTTGTTTTGAGCCGAAGGTTTAGTCAAAGAGCGCGAAAAGCGCTACGTCATGGCGTTCTCCGCTCTTGATTGGACGAGCCGGCGGAGGAGGAGCATGCACTGAAAGACGGCAAACACCTCTGGTCCTATCAACTGCGCAGAGAACGCCATGACGGTGCGCCTTTTTCGCCGTTAGATTGGCCCTTCGGCTCATAACATCGTCCACGCTCGGACCTCAGGTGAAACAAAGTATAGTCACCGTTTAGTTTGTTTTATCTTGGGTCAGAGTACAGTCGAAGGCGCGAAAACATACAGCCACAAACATACTAAAAGCGCAAGTCACGGGACCTGGACGAGAGAGAGAAAACATGTTTATTGGAAAGATGAAGAGGTTATCCCGCGGGAATTTGCAGGATTGCTACTTCATACATGGGAAAGGGAGAAAGGGGCAAAAAAGACAAAGAAAGAAAAGGAAAGAAAGAAAACTTTGAGGATGGCCGTCAGTTACTTTTGGAGGGTGTCCTACAGTATTTGATCAAGTTGAGTCGTTTGAAGAAAACGAATCAATGAGCTCGTCGGCTTGACTCCTTGCAATGTCGATGGCCATGGCCCCAGGAGATGATTGAGCGTGAGTGGTTCTCCGTTCTGAAGAGTCAGGGAGCTTATCATTTCCTTTCTTTGGTCAGCGTAGAGGGCGCAGTGACAAATAACGTGTTCCAGCGTTTCTACGACGTCACAGCTCTCGCAGATGGAGGAGTCCAGCTGACCGGTGAGATTTAGATAATATTTTGTTGACGCCACGTTCAGTCGTATTCGGTGAAGAGCGGTTTCTGTCCGACGTTTGAGCCCCCGGGGAGGGCGAAAGGTAAGAAAGGGGTCAATGTTATGAAGGTGTCTGTAGTGATATAATGGATTCGCCCAGAGGGTGTTTACTAGAGCCGCAGTAATGCGGTTGGTTGTAGCTCTGGCGTCTGAACGTGAAAATGGAATTACCAGTTTGGACGTAAGATGATGTGCATTCTTGGCTGCCAAGTCAGCACTTTCGTTGCCTCTAATACCGCAATGGCTCGGGATCCACTGTAAAATTAGTGTGTGACCATTATTTATAGCCTCTTCATGAATTTTTAGGATCTGATGTACCAGCTGAGCATTAATGTTCTTGCTTTTGGTAGATTTAAGGCTTTGAAGGGCTGCCCTTGAATCAGTAAAGAGTGACCAATTGTTTGGGGCACTCGTAGAAATAAAGTGAATTGCTTCTCTAATCGCTACTAGTTCTGCTGCCGTCGATGATGTTACATGGCCTAGCTTCCCCTGGAATATTTTGTTTATTGATGGTATAACAAAGCCGTAGCTGGAAGTTTCGCGAGTAGAAGACCCATCAGTGTACACATGAATTCGGGAACGGTGATGCGTATTAATGGTTTCTAGAGAATGTTGCCTCAATACCTCCGTTGGAGTATGCTTTCTTGAATGTATCCCTGGAACATCTAATTTTATAGAAATTACTGGATATATCCATGGTGGTAACAACGAGAACTCTGCTGGTTCAAAGTCTCGTGGAAGATCCGCGTTGTCAACATTCACGATTTGGGAAAAACCAGACGCGCTTCTGCTGTTTCCGATGTCTGCTAGGTAGTGGTCTTTGTGCCTTGTGAGGTGGCGGAGGTGCGCTCGAAGGGTTTCTTGAAGTCTCAGCGCGCCAATCGGAACAGCCCCTGCCTCAGCTACAGTTCCGACATTTGAGGTGCATCTTGGGAGCCCTAGACAGGCTCGTAGAGCTTGAGCCTGCATACCTTCTAATGCTCTTATATTTGTACGGCACATCCCATGAAGTACAGGTAGGCTGTATCGAAGGAAGCCGACAAAAAGGGCGTTATATAGTTGAAGAAGGGCGGCTACAGAGGCGCCCCACTTAGTGCCACTAATGAATCGGATGAGCTGAATAATGCCGAGAAGCTTTCTTTTCATTTGTTTTATGTGCGGTGTCCATGTCAAAGACTTGTCCAGAACTATTCCGAGGAATCTGTGCGTGTTCACATATGATATGGGATGACCATCAACTGTCAGACAGTACCTATGAGTACTCTTTATGGTAAAAGCCATAGCAGCTGACTTTGATGGCGATAGAGATAGTCCACGGTGTTGTAAGTAGCTGGAGATGGTCTCAAGTGATTTCTGTAAGCGGATTCGATTAAATCGCTGCGTAATTGATGACGTCCATATGCAGATGTCGTCCGCGTAAAGTGTAATGTTGACGCTCCGGGGAAGTTTGTTTACGAGTGCCAGGAGGGTAATATTGAAAAGTGTAGGACTGAGAACTCCGCCTTGCGGCACGCCTCGAAACACTGTATGCTCAGTCGTTTTCCCGTCTGCTGTCAGCATGTGAACTGTTCGACTATCTAAGTAGCTTAATAGCCACGCGTAGAGACGTCCTTCTATTCCTGCATAGCTTAGGGCGTCACGGATAGCCTTGTGACTTATTGAGTCAAACGCGCCTTTTATATCTAGAAATACAGCGGTAGTGATTCGCCGACACTTCCTTTGTTCTTGGATGCTAGTTGTGAAATCAATGACGTTGTCCAGGGAATTCCTCCCTCGTCTGAAGCCTGCCATACACTCAGGGTATATCTCAGATTGTTCAAGGTACCATTCTAGTCGTGTGTGAATCATTTTTTCCATCACTTTGCCGACACAAGAAGGCAACGCGACTGGGCGGAAAGATAATATGTCCAGAGGTGATTTACCTTGCTTAAGGATAGGTATGATGCGCGATGTTTTCCACTCCCGGGGTACCTGGCTAGTTTCCCATGACATGTTGTAAAGTTTTAAGAGCCTCTGTCTACCCTTGTTACCAAGATGAGCTAATGCTGAGTAAGTTATACCATCTGGTCCGGGAGAAGACGAGTAGTTCAATCCGGAAAGTGCATCTTCCAGTTCACGAGCATCAAATAATACGTCCATGTGGTTACACGCTCGGATCTGACTATGAAGTTTAACAAGTGTTGCCACCGGATTCGCAACATTTTCTGTAAGTTTTTTGCAGTAGGCTTCAGCCAAAACTAGTTCCGAAACATCTTGTTTGAGTGCAAGTGTCCGGAAAGGGTGACGTTGTTGAGGTGTTGTCCGCAAGCTTCGTGCTAGGTTGTATATCTGAGAAAGAGGCCTGCGTGGATCTAAAGTTACGCAGTGAGCCCTCCAACGGCGCCTAGCCAGTTTGTCTAGGTGACGTTTTATACGTTTTTGCTGGCGTCTCGTTTTGCGCAGATCTTCAGGGTCGTGTGTTTTCCTAGCCTTTCGCTCGCATCTTCTTCGAAGCGCGCGAAGTCGTTCATATTCTGCATCGATGACAGGGTAGGTTCGAGGCAGGTTAT